TATTTTCAAAAATTAATTTTGTATAATTGAATTCTATCTTCGTGTTATCACATGAATAGTACACGGTAAGGTATGTAGTAGGTGCTGAGGTGCCGAGTAGGTGCTAAGGTGCCGAGCAGGTGCCCAGGTGCTCAGTGGGTGCCGAGTAGGTGCTGAGGTGCCGAACAGGTACCGAGGCGCTGACGGCACCTAGCCCGCACTTTCCCCCTTGGACCGAATAATAGAATTTTGCTGTGATTCCGCTTGAAATAAGCTTTTTTCTTTTGAAAATGTTTATTTTGAGTTGAATCATACAAAATCATAAGCCATCTGACGAGTCTTCTTGAGCGGAAGATGAAACTAGTCATGGTAGCTCAACTCACACCCACACCCTATTCAGTTTTTATCTGAATTTCCTCGAAAATATAGTTAGTTATGTAGCCTATCTATGATTTTCCGATCATTTGGATGACTACAAAGTCGAAACTACCTGATGAGACTATTGAGCTTAGTCGAAACGCGTCATAGAATGCTTGACTCACCCACCCACACCCTGAAATTGTCGAAAGTATCGATACTCCTATTCGAATTAGGAACATTTCCATCATTTTGTCGTAAAACTAACTTTTGACGAAGGGTCGCTTTTCCTCGGATGTAGGTCATAGAAAACAGCTGCCTTTTTTTAACTTGAACTTTTCATTAAAAAGATGTTGTAAAATATCTAGGGATGAAAAGATCTCTGCTCTTTCCACTTTATAGATTGTGCACAAAGTTGCCGACTTTTTTGTAACTTTGTTTTTCTAATAAATCTGACCTGTTCATGATCTTCAATAAGTATCCTATAGAAATAAAACATCAGGTCACATTAAATTATAAAAAGTTTTTATATTTGGGTTCCAGTCTTAAAACCCTTTTCCCCAGCTCCAGAGGACAAGTCTAAAACCCTTTATAATCCTACATATGTGTTCTAATAAACAAGCATCCGAGAATAAACCTTCGTCTAAATAGTAAAATTTGGATTTCTGTATATTATAAGCAAACCTAAGAAATTTAAACGTCTAATATTTATTCTAATGCCGTATAAAAGGCGATTGCTTTTAGAATACATGGCTCATTTCTTCTAGAGCTTTCACTTAACCATGTCTTCATTCCAAGCAGGTAGAAGAACTTTCCTATTTTCATGCATTTTTTGCCAATTCTGGCTTGCTCGGATAGTTAAGACTCTTTAGTTTTCTAGATTTTTCTAAAGAGCATGCTTTTTTATTAATGGAATAATATTACACATCATTAAAAGGAGCTACTTTATGTCATTTTGATGTTAAAATTGGAATGAGCAACTCATCGAGTGAAATAGCTTATCTCAACTATTTATCTCGAGCTACCGTTGGATATGGGGGTCTAATACTCCTCATCCTTGGTACAATTGGCAATTCCATCAACATGGTCATATTTTCTTATCTCCCTCAATTTAATAAAGGTCCATCATCCATTTTCCTTCGATTTTCATTCTTTGGTAGTCAAGTAAATCTGCTTACTATTTTGCTGGCTCAAATCGTTGCTCAACTTAGTGGAGTTGATCCACTTGTTACCTATCTTATTCTTTGTAAATTACGATGGTTTATTGGAAGCAGTAGTGCCACTATCGGACTTTATTGTTTATGTTTGGCAGCTATCAATCAATATCTTCTTACATCTCACAACTTTCGACACCATCGGTGGATCAATCGAAAACGGGCATTACTGATGAGTATATGTGCTGTCATATTTTGTATGGGAATAGTTGTTCCAAATTTGGTATTTTATAAACATATAACTAATTCACTTAATAAGACACAATGTGGTGTGACTGATCCTTTTGGTGGAAAATATGATACGTATAGCGGATTAGTTGCATATAGCATCATTCCAATCGTTGTTCTATCACTATTTTCTTTACTCACATGGAGAAATGTTCGAAAGAAATTGGTACGAACTACAATGATAGAACAAACATTAACCCGTTTAATTTTTGCACAAATTATAATGGTTCTTATAGCAGCAATGGCGTTTGCATCAAGACGCAGTTATGCACTGTATCAAATGAACGTAGTAAGGAATGCACTTGAAATAGCGCAAGACACTCTTCTCAACAGTGCATTTCTATTAGTTGGCTTTATTATTCACAGTTCGTCGTTTTATACATATTTGTGTAGTTCTCGTATATTTCGTGAAAATCTTCTATTTTTACTTTGTAAAAAGCCAATTTCAAATCAAATCGTCCCTCCACAACAAATATAATTCAACTAAAGTTCTAAACTGATGTGTAGCTAGTTTTCGATGTTGTGCGTACTGGTCTCAAATAAACATCTGATGCAATGAAAAACTATATCGATAGAAGAGAAGAGAAGAAGAGAGAAAAGACAAGTATATGTTATGTTCAAAGTATTTCCTTTTTTCTGTATAGCAGAAGAGAGAGAGAGAAAAGCGTGGAAAAACCCGAGGAGAAAGAAAGAAAGAAAGTTGATAGTTTCTTGTTTATTCGACCGGTTTCAGTTTATTGATAACAAAACTTCATCAGGATTTAACAAAAAACGTGATATCAACCAATTTAAAGACAGAAAAAACACGAATAAGCAAATGGCAAATAAAAATCTCTTCTTGTTCTGAAACACCAGGATCAAGACACCGGGAGAATGACATCGAAAAGAATATTTTCAATAAGAAATCATTGTAAACCATTGAAAACCGTATATAGGCAATCTTCTTGTTTGGGATCTGTCAGGAAGTTTGTATGGAATGTGGTGCTGCACTGAGAAAAACTCGTCTGGGTTTTTTCTTCATTAGTTTTTTGAGTAGTGAGTCGCAATTGCGGAAGCCGATTATCGGTCCGACCGATGATATCGCTAATTCAGCGAACATCTCATCCCATTTTGTATAGAAAATTGACGGGAAAATTTCCATTCCTTTGCAGTATGTAAAATGCATAATTATGTGCGTGTCGAAATCCAATTTCTTGTTTTTCCTATTTTTCGTTTCAAAGAAAAAAAATGTTAGAAAAAGATTACGAAAATTTCCATAGTTGGGTATTTCCATGGGGTTTCTACCACTTTATACAGAAGGTTTTCATTTCAACGCGAAAATTTCAGGGTTTGTAGAGCTCGACGAGACGATCATTTTGACCTAGTTGGATTTCACAAAATGTTGCGGCATCCCTGACTACCAGAAGTAAACTTTTTAAGCTTTTTTCATACAAAAATGCACAGTCGATCTCTCTTTGGGCAAAGGATTTCTGTTGTGACAAATGGCAAAACCTCTCATCGGCTTCTGGTGATGAATTAAATTGTCTAAACAAATTATAACATATACTTGAACGATATCACTGTTTAACTTCGTTACATTTCTGTGGATGGCCTTTGGCAATTCTGAACATGCCTCAATATAATGTTAAGAAAGTTTCAGTATTCAAGCTGAATCTACGGTGTCATCCGGACGAGGCATATTGGTACAGTCAAGAGCAATGTGCTCTATTCAGTCATTCAATCCTTGCTATTCAATATAGAATTCTTACTATCGATGTGTAAAATTGAACATGTGTATGTGACCTTATTACAAAGTTGACCAATCTTCAGATGCTAGATGTTTGATGTCTACACGACGGACCTAACTCTGATGAGGTGTTAAGGGAAGACCAAATGTTAGAATGGTTAACCTCGAATATACAAGGTATATTTTCTGAAATCAAAAGTATCAGCCAGCGAACAATTTCAAACAACATCCACTATTTATTTATTGATCGTTTAAAAAGCCTAACTGTTGAGTTATACAACTCGAGTAATAATTCAGAAATAAAAGTATTCATTTTCACGTTCTCATACCCTCATCTTTTGATTATTGAGTAAAGAAATATCTTGTGTAGAATTTATTTTAACAGGTGTTCTATATTCTGATGTCAGTAATCGCTTGTGTGAGAAGAATAGCATCTTGCAATACTTATATATCTGTATTTGAAGAAAAAAGAATAGAGTATTATTCTGATTTAATTTCAAAATGTTTTTATTGCTTTTAGCTTTAATCCAATCGTCGTTAGGTAGTCATTCATATTTTCAAGGACTTGAACTTCTCTCTGACGTGAACTACACACAAGGTTTTAGCGTTATTCCAGCCTGTTTTGTCAATCCAGACGCATGCGCCAAAGGACCTCAATTCCGTTTATATAATCCATTTTCCACTGCACCAAATGCAAGTGCGTCATGGCAAATGGCACAATGGGATAGCCACTCAAATATATCTACGAATGGCACATTTGTTCACGATGGAAAGAGTGAAGGTATGCAGTGGTTGTCAGAAGATAAACGTTTTATACTTTTCGAAGACAGTCGTTTACAAATATCAGTCAACGGATACCACGAATATCAGGGTAAATACAGAACGCCAGATGAACCGTGGGTGGCGCTTTTAATACAACAAAGTATCGGCAAATCAGCTGGTTCTGTATCATTAAATCAGGTTACTGAACTACGATGGAATTTAGATATTCAACTTTTATATATGGATCAACATATTCAACCCGGCTACAATCCAAATATTCATGCAGGACAATTTCCTCTGTACATGACTATTCAAAATTTATCTCCAGGTGATCCAGATTATGGAAAATATTTTTGGCTAGGAATCTGCCTGTATGATGATCGTTTCCCGATGAGTCCTTTATATGTCAATGGTGACAAAGGTACAGGAGCATTAATATATCAACCTGCCTTTTCAAATTTTGCGAATGTATCTGTACAAAATGGAAGTATTGTACATGTTACTGGAAATATGATGCCATTTGTTCGATTAGGACTCGAAGCAGCTGTTGAACGTGGATTTCTAAATTCAACTGATCTTAGCAAATATTATGTCGGAGGAATGAACATCGGATGGGAAGTGACTGGATTAAATAATGGTACCATTGAAATCGGCAATTTCAGTTTGAAACAGTATACAGCACAAAATCCGAAATCATATGAATTTAATCAAGACGGGGATACAGAAGGATGGAAACTTGCTTTTAATTCAAATAAAAGTGGAAGCAATCCTTCCAATGGCAAATGGATTTTATCCTTGCCGAATGAATATTCATATGTATCAAGTCCAGAAGTTATGATTGATACATCAGTAGTAAAGAAAGTCATAATTCGTACTAATTACAACATGCTGCAATTACACTGGACTAGAAATCATAAAGAATTATTCAATAAAAACGATCGTTTTCGAAGTGAATTAGAAAATGACGGAAAGTGCAAAGAACATATCTTAGACTTATCGAATCATCCTCATTGGTATGGTATTGTACGTCGATTCCGGATTGACTCTGTGCGACAAGACAATATTACCGACTTTATTATTGACTATATTCGATTTTCCCCTTCGTAATTATTCTTACATTATCAGAAAAGAAAATATTAATGAAGATTAACATGAGGAGTAAATTTTTTATTGTAGTAGCTTTATAATAAGTCTAACAGTTATTAGGATCACTTACATCGTATCTGTAATTTTATCAAAGTTTCTGAGATATCAACGTTGACAATAAGTTGTATAGAAATTAAAAGCAGTTTTGTATATATAATAAATACTAATCATTATTAGCGTACAAATACATGATCTATCCTAGTAAATAGTAACCAGAGCTTATTAAATTATACAGTTGATAAATCACAATATTGTTCAATCATGTAAAGTCTAGTTGTATACCTATTCTTATTTAGTGTATGTGTAAAGCTCTAACCAAAAATACACATAAATACTATTCTACCGATATACCTGAATTTTCATAGATCTAAAAAATTTAATAAGGCTCCAAGAGCATAAAAGCTACTACGGTAGTGATGCTTTAGAATTCTGACGATTTTTTTCAAGAAATCGTAGTAATCTACAGTTATAGTACAGGACATTTCAAGGCACAGTATATGAAGTTCTTATTAACAGTCGACTGAATGAAAGAATCAGAACAATTGTCGGCTATCAAACGTTTTCAACAAATTTATAAAAACGTACATGACGCTATGCTAAAAGAGAAAAAAATTAATTATGTATTAGCAATGCTTGAATAGGTATGTTTGTTTTTTTCTTTACTTTGTAAAAATTGCTTAGCTTCTCGTTCAAAGTTAAACACTCGGACGTGCGAGAAAGTTTTATGGCAAAAAGTGACTTCATTTTGATACATTCCCTCAAACATTTTTAGTCCGAAGAAATTCTTCAACATAATAAAGACATGCTCACTTCTTTCTCTGCATAGATATAATACTTATTTAATATATGACCATCTTTCTACGACTAAACAATCGTTTAATCGAGTCTCGTATTGACGTGTATATCTCTGTAATATTTGCCTTGTATTTCGACTTACTGAGTTTTTTTTTGTGAGAGTTTTAGAATAATATAATCCTTTGAGGAAATCAGGAGATCGCACCTTGTAAGGAGAAATTCGTAAAAATAGCATTAAGAAAGATGAGGTTTCTCTCATGCTGAAACTGATTCACATCTTATTGTAATACTCGACATCACGGATTTTTTACGTTGCTCATGCTTCGATAATATCATTAGCTTTTGTGGGTCAGGATTTAGTTTTCATTATGTCCACACCCTCATCCGTGATGAGAATGTATTTCTTCTTGTGTTCAAGATTTCACTATTCACAGGAATATAACAACTTTCATTAAACAACGCATATACCTGTCCAATGACTTCATCCACTAATCCTAGTTTTTTGAAAAAAAAGTACTTATTATTTTGTACGCTTGTTATGTCTCTGACCGTTATCATCTACGCGTCTTTCGTCCACTCACCAAACAATATTCCAATATTTGCGTCATCCACAACTACCATGATTGCTGCATCGACATCGGCACGTAAAAACTCGACTTGCATTTCATTTACTATACCAGATTCTCGGCCATTCTTTGAGCGAGAGCAGTCTCAATCAAATCTGCCACGGAAACTGTCCAACTCGTCTTATGAACAAGTAGTTCAACAACTGCGATCTCTTCGGTTGGTTGTCGTAGGATGTGCGCGCGATGTCGAAGCTAATCTCAATGGCTACCGAACTCACATCGAACAAATCATCGAGCTTTTCCATCCATCATCGCGCATATTGATATTCGAAAGCGATTCGACTGATAAAACTGTTTCAAAGCTGAATAACTGGGCTAGAGCAGAAATATTTTCACAAGGAATGTTAGTTAAACAGTATGCATCTCGTACCGATCGACTTGCTCTCTGTCGAAATACACTTCTCACTAGAGCATATAACTACGTACCTGATTTCATCTTGGTTACTGATGTAGATATGTTTTCAACTAGTGTTGCTTCGTTTCTATCAAATTTTTATTACAATACAGATGATTGGTCTGTGATGACAGCATCGATTACTGGCGGTTATTATGACATATGGGCATTGCGGACACTATCCGACGACGTAATGAACTACGATGTTTGGCATCGCATATGGCAGTNTTCTTTTTTGTATGAAAAATAAACATCAAAATGAGAAGAAAGGATTCAACAAGGCATAATTTCAAATTGGTATTGTTTTTTCTGGACACTATGAATATCTCTCACTTTTAATGAATAACGGTAACTTCTCATGTTTACCTTGATGTCTTCTAATTCTCCCTTTCTACAAGAATGAGGGTGCAGATTAAGATAACGACAACACCTATCCACACGCATACTGCACTTACAGTATAGAGTGTGGAAGTCATTTTCTTGCAGGTCAAAATAGTTGTTTCACATGCTATCAGTTTTAGATATACTCATGAAAAATGTATTGTCCTAGTCTATTGAGTGTAATGAAATCTATTTGTCTCGTAAAACGAGAATAAATAATCCGTGAAAATATAGTTCTAGTAAAAAACAAAACAGCGAAAATGATTTGGAAATAAGTTGCGTGGATTTCATCAAGACCAAAATAGAGATCAAATTGCAATCTTCTATTCCCCATTTGTCAACAGACGTAGTGTGACGAGCTGGAGGTGTTTGATGTTAATGACCACAAACTCCTATATCTTTTGTAAACTGTTCGTTCATCAGCTTTCTAGATTGTATTCAGATCTAGTTCTACACAAGCTTTATTGAAGGTTTGACATGTCTACAATGACCCTCATCCCACGGAAAAAAATCTCGAAAAACAAAATCTCGAAAGATTAAAACCTCCAAAAAACTGAAATTTCGAAATATTTATATGGCGAAATTGAGGGTGAGAGTGAGCATAAGAGTGTGGGTGAGGAGTGAGGGTGAGCATAAGAGTGTGGGTGAGGAGTGAGGGTGAGCATAAGAGTGTGGGTGAGGGGTGAGGGTGAGCATAAGAGTGTGGGTGAGGGGTGAGGGTGAGCATAAGAGTGTGGGTGAGGGGTAGGAGTAGAGGCGAGTGTGTAAGGGTGATAATGACGGTACCAAAACATTCAATATTCTACATTTTTAGTTTCGATATTTTCTGTTCAGAATCATGCTTTTTCGAGATTTTGCCTTTCGAGTTTTCTTATTTCGACCTTCCTTTTTTCGGGGTTTTTACAGCAATTCGTTTATTGTTACCTAAACCGCGGTTTACTGCGGTTTTTAGCGAAAACATTTTCTTCTGGATGAGGCAACCCAAAGTTGATACTAGCTAAGTGCGAATCAATCCGTATGCGATGCGAATATGCTGTGTATTATCTATGGTTTATCATAACTATACTAACCTAGTGGAATTCGTGTTCCGGAGATGACTATCATTGTTGTGGCTTGTATGTTTGCTTGCAAATTGCTATTGTGATCTGCGCTGTTGTTAAACAATTGACATTTGTAAGTTGTCTCTTGAAAAGTGGTTGCTTTACATTGGGATTGCCGTAAACAGTGAATTTGACATTGGAGGATGTTTGGCGCAGTAGTAGTAACGAATGGTAAACAGTTTGAGTTAGCACACTGAAGTTCCAATCCGTTCATGATTGTCATTTTAACGGACTTTATATCTTGCATGAGCGATTGTTCGAAAAGAGCAAACAAAAGTAGCATTGAAATTCTTATCCAGTCCATAACTATTGCAGTCAAACTTTCACTTGACAACAACAACAATTGTATTTAAAATAAAATGAATAGCATCTGCTACTAGTAGATGTCTTTTTATTCTGTTTTTTTTCTCTCTCTTCCGTAATAAAAACCTACTTTTCTCTGCACCAATAGTTTTTTAAAAAAGTCATGTCTTGATGTAATATTCAAAATTACCATATGAAATATTCATGACGAGAACGATGCACTAATTTCTTTCAAACATTTTGAATAAGTGATGCGCTCAAAAAACACTCTTGTTTCATAGTAGCTGCACAGATAGTGGGCGAAACTGCACATTCATTTTCTTTCTGTTCAATGTAGGAGAAAAAAAGGATTGAGGCAGCATAAAGGAGAATGTGTTATTATAATGAATGTTTATCTAACGTAGGACATTTTTGCAACAGATTCGACTCTTCCAGGATTTATTTGTTATGATATGCAATTTAAATCTGTTGCCGTGCGTTTCAAGCCAGAATTCGACGAGTTCTATCGACTCCAAAGAAAAATATTCATAGATCCACGAAAAAATGTTTTTATCATTGTGGATCTTTATTCCCTCGACTGAAAGGAGGGTCCTATGAAAAAAATTCGTTTGTGTGTCTGTATGTATGTTTGTGTCAGGGTCAAAGGTCAAGATTTATTGAAATTCTCAAAACTCAAAGATATGCCTTCTAGGAGGGATCCCATGGGTATATGTTGGTACGAAAGGGTGAGTGAGGGTGAGGGTGAGGATGAGGGTGAGGTTGTGGGTGTGTATCATACAGTAGAATCCTACGATCTAGATTTCGACCTTTTTCAAGGGTCTTTCATCAGGTAGGAAAATATTCTGCATAGGGTGAGGGTGTGGGTGAGGGTGAGGGTGAGGGTGTGGATGAGGGTGGGTGAGGGTGTGGGTGGGGTGAGTTTGAAAATAGGTATAAAAGAATCGATAATTAGAAATCTTTCCACTTGTCCACGATTGTATGGATGTCAAGCTACTCAAAGGAAGCCACAGAGATATGTTTTAACAAATACGAACAATTTGTTAACGTAGATCATTAAATCAAAGCAGGACTCGAACCCACATCTTCCGATAACCGGTGTGAACATGCTGGTGAGATCAGCTCCCATGACTAGTTTCACGTCTGCTAAGACGATTTACGAATGGCTTGTCTAATCTGAATTCAAAAGAATCCAAAACAAAGATATTAATCTTCTACGTTTGGTGTGGAAATTCGCTGTTGAATATACGAATTTGCGGGGCATATTGGTGGTATTGTAGTCTTGTTTGTTGTACGGTAGTGATTTTAATTATATTGGCGTGGAAATAAAAATAGACGGAGAGGTTAATGGTTTTATAATATGCGGAAGTTTATAGCCGGTTTGTGTGGAAAGAGGTGCTGACATAGTGAGGTCAATTGATAAAGGGATTTGGTTTTGAGATCCTGTTAGAACGAGGCGTTTGTTTGTAATTGTGGTCGTTGTTGAAGGAAAATTTGATTTAATTAGATAGTATAATTATTAGGAATCTAGAAGAAACGAAACCGATCAGTATTATTGTAGAAAATGGAAAAGTTGTGGATGTGAATAAGGAAATGAGATCGTAGTTATATTAGCACAGTATAAGTTTGAATGATATGAATGAAAAATCTTGAGGGTGTGGGGTGGGCGTGGAGGCGTTGGTATCAATGTGTGGGTGCCCGATGAGTACAGAAGGATTATAAGCAAAATGAGAGTGTGTGGTGGGTGTCAAGAGCTTAGCACAGCGGTGATAGCATGCTAATGAGGGCGCAGAATAAGTGCGGAGAGCTTAAGAGTGAAGTGAGGATCATCAATGCGCAGGGACAGTGTACAACTACTGCAACCGTACGACACGAGTACTACACTACTTAAATATTTCCAAAAAAAATCCTTCAACCTTTGAATACGTATCTAAGCACCCAAAATCAGATTTCAAGTTTAAACAGCTGCGCAACATCACACTCAAGTCAAACCAGCACCGATATAATATATCTCATATCAAAAAGCCACGTGCCAACGCCACTCTCCAATAAACAACTAAACACAAGATCTCTGATCTTCCACAAGATGTCACCCTAATACGATGTTACTACCCATTCGCCTCATTGTTTCTCAGCACCAGAATTCAATATATAAACAACGCGAAGATAATATATATTGTACCGTTCCCAACCATATGAGCGGTACATCAAAAAGCTTCTTATCGGCTATCTGTCGAGCTACGCAGTTTATGTAGGCTTATCTGTTATCTTCGGATCATTTGGATAGCTTATGCAGTCTAAAGCCATCTGATGAGTCCTCTAGCAGGGACGAAATCGCGATAATGGCAAGCTTTGACTCACCACTGTAACTAAAATGCGATCTCTACTAAAACAACTAGTGATTCGTTCACTATGTTGTCGAACTATGTAGATCATATAGCCTATCTATGATCTTCGGATCATCTGGATGACTATGAAGTCAAAAACTACCTGATGATGATCCCTTAAGCAAGGATCGAAATCGCGATCGTAGTAATGCTTGACTCACACCCACACCCTCACCCAAAACTTCACAATCGACCTGTACATTTTTTCTTTTGCAGTTTTCTATACTATTGAGCCACATCATCCCATGACCAAAATAAATTTCAATTTTCTTCACTCACCCAGCGCAAGTATAGCAAACCGCAAATTGCCCTTAAGAACTGCGTACCGCTCGTAAAAGCCTTGTGGAAGAATTATATCCACTAACAGAATAAAGACATAACCACCACATATTGAATCAACAAACACTTTAAAACAAGATCATACCACAACTGCAAACTAAATCACGTACTAACTTTCTACCATAAATTCGAATTATTCAGCTACCTGATGAACGACCCTTGAGAAAGATCGAAACTATAGTCGTAGCTATCTTTCCAGAACTCACACCCACACCCACCCTCACCCACCCTCACCCACACCCACACCCATTTTGACAACACACAAGCTCACTAAACAGAAATCTACCAGGCTGCAACCACTTTAAGTCATCACATTCCTGAAAATAGCACGTTTCTGTTTGCGAAGAACATACGCAGTCAGCAATAAGACTTTTCATATCCATAGTGTTGACACCCAGTTTGTTCCAACTCTATCAAATAAAATGAACTCTGATTCCTTCATGTGAAATTCTACCTGCATGAGTAGTTCAAAGTTCTCATGACAGATGCAGGTACAAACATCATGCAGCTTCTTAATTTTAATTCATTTTGGACATAGGTTATAAAAGCTCGATTTTTTCACAGAACTTGTTCCCTGCTTCGCTTGTAGCTTTTGGACAGAGAGTTGATAGGCTTGGCCTACAGTCATTGACATGTGTCGAATGGCAATGGGATTTTTTCGAATGTATATCACATCACGTATGACACATGAAGAGAAATACTCTTTTGAGCCAGATAGCGAGAGACTTCGGAGTATTCTTCAATTTTTACGCGTCCCCATTCAGGTGGAGCTAGGGTAAAGAGATGAACCTGCTCATCTTCGTCACTAGATTTAATTAGAACATTGAAGCCGTCGAGAAGATATTCTTTTTCATCGAGTTTAAGCGATGAGTGACTTGAAAACTGTGCGACATCTTTGGGGGTGCCGTAAGACTTCTGCTGTGGATCGAATCAGTTCAACAGCCATCGTCACTTGTTTGTCTAGTTGATTTGTCTGTCGTCTAAACGGAAATCAAGGTAAGAAATGGAATATACGAGGGTCTACTTACACATCTCTAATCTTGGCAATTCCCAATGTATCAAACACTTGGTTCAGCAGTTCTTTGGATTGTTCACATTTGTAACTGGTTTCGGCACTCTCTATCATGCTATGACTTCCTGCAGATAATGGTGAATCGACTGGATTCTCTCTCATAACAAGTTCGGCAGAGAAGATCGCCTTCAGGTAGAGCAAATCCAACAATCGTATGCGCTTGATAATATTCTTGCGTGATAAATGCAGCCAAATCATTTTCAATAGGTCGATCTCCACGTGGACAAAGAGCGCCTGGACCCGACTTTCTTGAACCTTGGTGAGAGATCGGATGAGCGCTCCACTTCTTATTGCTTTGAGGCATCTGTAACTTAACAACCTATGCTACTTTTTTTGAATAATGCGAGCGTCTAAAGTACGCAACATTAACATAATTTCAAATAATAGATTCAAACTTTTACGTGTTTATTATTGTATATAGTTTCTCTTGTTTACGTCTAAGCAACACCGTATTATTGATGAGTGAATATCATATTCACAACACGAAATATCCACCGTGTCGAAATTTACTCGATAACAGAAGATATACATTAAAACAAACCAAACAAGACACAGAACAGAAGGAGACCAGTTAAACGAAACATGCTGTGAGTCTTGAATTCGGGGATGCGAACAAATCGTCGTAATACCCACAACAAAAATGAAAATATCACCTATCACCTACCGTATATCGATGTGATGAAGAGAAATCCGAGGTGATCCGATGTCGGTTTATTTCGGGAGAAAAAATCGACAACAACGAAACGAGATAACCACTCTATATAACGGAAACGATAGCGGCTAGACAAAGAGAAATCTAACGACGCAATAAAGAAAAAAGAAAAAACACAAAGGTCATCATGAGTACATGATGACGCTAAGAGAAGGTTTCAGTATTCAAGCTGAATCTACGGTGTCGTCCGGGCGAGGCATCTTGGTACAGTCAAGAGCAATGTGCTCTATTCAGTCATTCAATCCTTGCTATTCAATATAGAATTCTTACTATCGATGTGCAAAATTCGGCATGTGTATGTGATCTTATTACAAATTTGACCAATCTTCAGATACTATATGTCCGATGTCTGCACGACGGATCTAATTCGGATGAGATGTTAAGGGAAGAGCAAATGTTAGAATGGTTAACCTCGGATATACAAGGTGTATTTCCTGAAATCAAAAGTATCAGTCAACGAACAATTTCAAACAACATCCGCTATTTATTTATTGACCGTTTAAAAAACCTAACTGTTGAGTTATATAACTCGAGTAATAATTCAGAAATAAAAGTATTTATTTTCACGTTCTCATACCCTCGCTCTTTTAATTATTGAGTAAAGAAATATCTTGTGTAGAATTTATTTTAACAGGTGTTCCATATTCTAATGTCAGTAATCGCTTGTGTGAGAAGAATAGCATCTTGCAATACTTATATATTTGTATTTGAAGAAAGAAGAATAGAGTATTATTCTTATTTAATTTCCGAATGTTTTTATTGCTTTTAGTTTTAATCCAATCGTCGTTAGGTAGTCATTCATATTTTCAAGGAGTTGAACTTCTCTCTGACGTGAACTACACACAAGGTTTTAGCGTTATTCCAGCCTGTTTTGTCAATCCAGACGCATGCGCCAAAGGACCTCAATTTCGTTTATATAATCCATTTTCCACTGCACCAAATGCAAGTGCATCATGGCAAATGGCACAATGGGATAGCCACTCAAATATATCTACGAATGGCACATTTGTTCACGATGGAAAGATTGAAGGTATGCAATGGTTGTCAGAAGATAAACGTTTTATACTTTTCCAAGACAGTCGTTTACAAATATCAGTCAACGGATACCACGAATATCAGGGTAAATACAGAACACCAGATGAGCCATGGGTGGCGCTTTTAATACAACAAAGTATCGGCAAATCAGCTGGTTCTGTATCATTAAATCAGGTTACTGAACTACGATGGAATTTAGATATTCAACTTTTATATATGGATCAACACATTCAACCCGGCTACAATCCGAATATTCATGCAGGACAATTTCCTCTATACATGACTATTCAAAATTTATCTCCAGGTGATCCAGATTATGGAAAATACTTTTGGCTAGGAATTTGCCTGTATGATGATCGTTTCCCGATGAGTCCTTTATATGTCAATGGCGACAAAGGTACAGGAGCATTAATATATCAACCTGCCTTTTCAAATTTTGCGAATGTATCTGTACAAAATGGAAGTATTGTACACGTTACTGGAAATATGATGCCATTTGTTCGATTAGGACTTGAAGCAGCTGTTGAACGTGGATTTCTAAATTCAACTGATCTTAGCAAATATTATGTCGGAGGAATGAACATCGGATGGGAAGTGACTGGATTAAATAATGGTACCATTGAAATCGGAAATTTCAGTTTGAAACAGTATACAGCACAAAATCCGAAATCATATGAATTTAATCAAGACGGAGATACAGAAGGATGGAAACTTGCTTTTAATTCAAATGCAAGTGGAAGCAATCCTTCCAATGGCAAATGGATTTTATCCTTGCCGAATGAATATTCATATGTATCAAGTCCAGAAGTTATGATTGATGCATCAGTAGTAAAGAAAGTCATAATTCGTACTAATTATAACATGTTGCAATTACACTGGACTAGAAATCATAAAGAATTATTCAATAAAAACGATCGTTTTCGAAGTGAATTGGAAAATGACGGAAAGTGCAAAGAACATATCTTGGACTTATCGAATCATCCTCATTGGTATGGTATTGTACGTCGATTCCGGATTGACTCTGTGCGACAAGACAATACTACCGACTTTATTATTGACTATATTCGATTTTCCCCTTCGTAATTATTCTTACATTATCAGAAAAGAAAATATTAATGAAGATTAACATGAAGAATACATTTTTTTTATTGTCGTAGCTTTATAAAAGTCTAGCAGTTATTAGGACTACTTATATCGTATCTGTAATTTTACCAAAAATTTCTGAGGTATCAATGTTGACAATCAGTTGTATGAAAATTAAAAGCAGTTTTGTATATATATTAAATACTAATCATTATTAGCGTACAAATACATGATCTATCCTGATAAATAGTAACCAGAGCTTATTAAATTATACAGTTGATAAACCGCAATATTGTGCAGTCATGTAAAGTCTAGTTGTATACCTATTTTTATTTATTGTACGTGTAAAGCTCTAACCAAAAATACACATAAATACTATTCTACAGACATACCTGAATTTTCATAGACCTAAAAAATTTAATAAGGTTGCAAGAGCATGAAAGCTACTCTAGTGGTGATGCTTTAGAATTCTGACGATTTTTTTCAAGAAATCGTAGTAATCTACAGTTATAGTACAGGACACTTCAAGGCACAGTACATGAAGTTCTTATTAACAGTCGACTGAATGAAAGAATCAGAACAATTGTCGGCTATCAAACGTTTTCAACAAATTCATAAAACGTACATGACGCTATGCTAAAAGAGAAAAAAATTAATTATGTATTAGCAATGCTTGAATAGGTATGTTTGTTTTTTTCTTTACTTTGTAAAAATTGCTTAGCTTCTCGTTCAAAGTTAAACACTCGGACGTGCGAGAAAGTTTTACGGTAAAATGTGACTTCATTTTGATACATTATCTCAAACATTTTTAGTCAGAAGAAATTCTTCAACATAATAAAGACATGTTCACTTCTTTCTCTGCATAGATATAATACTTATTTAATATATGACCATCTTTCTACGACATATAAATTTAGATTAAGCAATCATTTACTCAAGTTTCGTATTGACGTGTATATCTCTATAATATTTGCCTTGTACTTCGACTTACTGAGTGTTTTTTTCCGAGAATTTTAGAATAATATAATCGTTTGAGGAGATCAGGAGATCGCGCCTTGTAAGGAGAAATTCGTAAAAGTAGCATTAAGAAAGATGAGGTTTCTCTCATGCTGAAACTGATTCACATCTCATTGTAATACTCAACATCGCGAATTTTTTATGTTACTCATGCTTCGATGATATCATTAGCTTGTGGGTCAGGATTTAGTTGTCATTATGTCCACACCCTCATCTGTGATAAGAATGTATTTCTTCTTGTGTTCAAGATTTCACTATTCACAGAAAGATATCAACTTTCATTAAACAACGCATATACCTGTCCAATGACTGCATCCACTAATCCTAGTTTTTTGAAAAAAAAGTACTTATTATTTTGTACGCTTGTTATGTCTCTGACCGTTATCATCTACGCGTCTTTCGTTCACTCACCAAATAATATTCCAATATTTGCGTCATCCACAACTACCATGATTGCTTCATCGACATCGGCACGTAAAAACTCGACTTGCGTTTCATTTACTATACCAGATTCTCGGCCATTCTTTGAGCGAGAGCAGTCTCAATCAAATCTGCCACGGAAACTGTCCAACTCGTCCTATGAACAAGTAGTTCAACAACTGCGATCTCTTCGGTTAGTTGTCGTAGGATGTGCGCGCGATGTCGAAGCTAATCTCAATGGCTACCGAAATCACATCGAACAAATCATCGAGCTTTTCCATCCATCATCGCGCATATTGATATTCGAAAGCGATTCGACTGATAAAACGGTTTCAAAGCTGAATAACTGGGCTAGAGCAGAAATATTTTCACAAGGAGTGTTAGTTAAACAGTATGCATCTCGTACCGATCGACTTGCTCTCTGTCGAAATACACTTCTCACTAGAGCATACAACTACGTACCTGATTTCATCTTGGTTACTGATGTAGATATGTTTTCAACTAGTGTTGCTTCGTTTCTATCAAATTTTTATTACAATACAGATGATTGGTCTGTGATGACAGCATCGGTTACTGGTGGTTATTATGACATATGGGCGTTGCGGACACTATCCGACGACGTGATGAACTACGATGTCTGGCATCGCATATGGCAGTTAGAACGTGCTCGAGAAAAGTACTGCAATCATAACTTTATTGAGCTGATCATTCTCACTCATAAGAAACAGATTCCTATCGAACGTGATCTAATTGAAGTGCGCTCTGCTTTCGGCGGTGCTGGATTGTACAAAGTGAACTCGACGTATGGATGCAAATACAACGGTAGTGGTGCAACTTGCGAACATGTTCCATTCCATTTATGTATGCGAGAGAAGAATCGAGCGAGAATATTTATTAATCCGAGATTTTTACTTCGCTAAATGGTAGCGTTATGCGACAGAGAATGCTTTTAAAGATACTATCGATTTTGAAATAAATAATTATACTAAGTGTTGTTTAAATCAATTGCACTTCTGTTTGCAGTACATGTTGTTGATTTGGCACGATCGGGTTGCCTGATAATTTTATTTAGCTGTGAACTCACAGCTGATGATTGTCGAAGGAGATAATAGAATGAAATGAGTTCATTTGCATTTACATTCTTAACTCTTTTGATGTGTAAATACTTTCTATGTTGCCAGAGAAAGGAGAACGAAAGAGAAATGTGACTGTTGACTTTGGGAAGAAAAACTATAACTGTCAGACGCGTTGTAGATACATAATAGACTTTACGATTGTGGATAAAAGTCGAACCCGTGGTTGACAATCAATTACATCTGTTAGTTGACCATTGGAACGTTTGGGCAAACTCCTATTTATGAATCGTAAATATTTCCGATCATTAGAAGAAATATGGTTGCCATACGTTCATGAGTGTTTCTTAGGAGAAATAATTCATAATTAAAGATATTGACGATGAGAAAAACATCGCCATCTTCGTTCTAATTACGTTGATTACTCTGTTAATCCTACAAATTTTGATTCCAAAGCGCTAAAAGACGAACATACGTTTTGCGTTCGCTATGGCCATCAACATTGGTATTGTAATCGAGAATACCAAAGGGCCACAAAAACTTTTGTTTACTTTATAACATATGCATACAACAAATGCGTAATCGCTTAAGAAACGAATTGGATCATAATCATAAGTTAGCTCGAAGATTTCACAGGTGCATTAAATCTGCTTGTGCAAACATTCCAACAGTAACATGGATGACGAATTAACTACGACCATTACTGAAAATGAGAAATCGTCGACGTCGAAATAGAAAAAAACGGTAAAACCAAGCTCGCCAGTGCTCAATACTCATGGTTAGTACTGCATTTATGAGAGAGACAAGGTTGTTAATAGAACGTCATTTTGACATATTACTGTTTCATTGTACGAAGGCGAAGCATCTCGTTAAAAAAACACATAATGTTTAGCAACAATCAGACGTAACAAAAGAGAAAGAACAACAAGAATTATGTTAGTAATACAACACAAGACTGATTTTGCTAATCAATATATAGATGCTTTTCATATATCATTCAGATATTATTTTGTCGTTCTTCTTAGTATGATCATTTTCTTTTCTATACAATTTTTGGAGATAAAGATCTGTCAATAAATAAATCTGATAGAAAGACAAAAAAGATCGGAGGAGAGCTTTAGACTTATACGTTAAGAGAATTCTAAAAAAGTCCAATACAAATTGTCACCACAAACGAATGCATCTCTTCACTTGGAGAAAATGCCTTCTTCTTTATTAAAAAGAACTTTTTTTTTTCTATAATAGCAATTGAAATAAATTAACATATAGCTTTCATGACGATGACTTGCTACTGCTCTTTTTTTATATTGCATTAGAGAAAGGAGGATTTCCGGCTCATTCTTAATGAACTACGGATGAGATGTTGACGCTGTCGACATCTAAACTTTAAGTGAAGCACTTTTAATAGGACTTTTGTAGATGAAAATGTCCACCGCATATATCGCCTCACTTAATTCTGCTAGAAACCAGATTGGCTTGTATTTTGGTATTCCAGTATTTATTATGAGTGTCATCGGAGAAGCGTTAAGTATTATTGTACTTCTTAGTTTAAAAACATTCCGACAGAGTTCTTGTGGCTTTTATCTTCTAAATATGTCAATATTTAATCTGATTCGTCTTTGTCTAAGTTCAGTTTTTGTTATCATGTCCATATCGTTTGAAATCGATTACTCCATTTCAATATTCTTCTTTTGTCGATTACGAAATTTCGTTGTTACTACATGTAACATGGGTTCAATTACTTGTTTAGGCATGGCGGTCATCGATCAATACTTTGCTACCTGTTTTCGTCCACGATGGCAACAATGGGCTAATAAAAATATCGCTTATCGCGTGACACTCATCACCACTCTATTTTGGATACTCAACGGAATTCTCTATATCATATTTTTTAACAACATCTCCCCAACTAGCCGAGCTGCTTGTGCGACGTCCAATTATATCTTTCTTCAATATCATATCTACGGTTATTTTATTATTTACAATAATCTATTGCCATTGGTAACAGTTATATTTGGCATGATGGCTTTTCATAATGTACGACATTTAACACATCGAACAATCCCTCTCGTTCGCCGCGATTTAGAAAAACAATTAACTGTCATGGTACTTGTACAAACGACAATTCATGTGTGCACTTATCTACCATTCGCTACTATCAGTATAGTATCAGCGTTAAAAGCAAACTCTAGTTCTGTTTATTTAGCCGAGATGAATCTCATCAATGCTGTTGTTCATATCATTTCCGTTTACAGTAATGGGGTAAGACGAACTTCTGATCTGATATAGTTTTCACCAGACACAATTTTAGTGTTCGTTCTACACATACGTGTGTGTATCTCAACGGTTTCGTCGACAGTTTTATCATGTTTTATCTAAGATGCATCTTGTGCTATGTGGTGAAAATCGAATTTTTCCAAATCAGATCGACGCATAGCAAATGTAAAATAAACTTATCGCAAACTATTAGGGTGGGTCAGGGTGCCATCATCGCTCCATACTTAAACGCGTGTATAAAACAATTGGTGTGGATATCAATGGCTTATCCAATGCTCTACACTGAATTATTCTGATGGTCGTTATAGTACGTCGTCTCAGAGCGAGAATTAAAATAGAAAACACTCGTATTTTAAAATTTTATACCATTTTCTTGATGATTATCTGTGGAATATGTAGTCGACGCTTGGTCTTAACGTTATCCCTACTCTTCTGCTTACCTTTTTCAATGTAAGTCTACTTGTTCGTTCCATACGACCGAATCAACTGTTCCATCGGCATGTATATTGGAAAATGCATCACTTTTTCTTTTATTTGGTTTACCACTTAGTATATTTAGTATCTTTCAAATATCTGGATGTCCAAATTGGGCATCCGAAGTCGCATCTTATTTCTATTTTCTCACCGCTTCACACATGTTTTCCGAGAGCAAAATAAAATAATAGCGGGGATGAAGATATTGTATTTTTCTTCTTACATGAATGTGTTTATTCAAAGGAAACTGGTCTGTATAAACTTGTGTTGTTGACAAGATTTTTTCCTTGATAATGAAAATAGAGTTGAATTACATGGTTAAATTTCAGTAACTCTCGAAGATGATTCATTTCAACTTCTCTAAACATCGAGTTGCTCGAGTGCCTAAGGGAGAATCGAAGTCTACTGTGTTTTCCTCTAAAGCAACAGCAAGATACTTTGCTCCACGAGCATCGATTTTATTAATCCTAATATTAAAATTTTTTAGTGCCGATATTTCACGGAGAAATCAAGATAGAAAATGAACGAAAGATAACCATTGTTTTTGACGGAGGAAGTGTCTTTGAGCCGAATGAAATCTGGAAGAATTTTCAAAAACAAAACATTTACTTGATCCTTTAATGCATTGTTTCTTTCAAGAGAAAATCTTTGCAGGTGAATTTTATTAGAAATCATACAGCTAAAATACATAATCTATATATATAAAGAAGAAAGTTTGTCTGTCTGTTCGCTATGCATTCAGTCCCTGTAGCAGCTATCGGCGTGGAACTTTCCACAATGCTTCCTGAGACCCAGAGGAAGGTCGACATCTACTTTTCCCCGAGAACAAAGGAGCCAGCCGTTTGCTGCAGGCAATATATGAAACGGACCAATAGGATTGCGAGATTTCCCAAATTGAGGAAATTAATAGCGAAGGCGGCCGAAGGCCGTCTGAGCGNTCATAGGATTCAGGATAAAGTTCGAACCCGTATGGTTGACACTCAATTATATCTGTTAGTCGACCATTGGAACATTTGGGCAAACTCCTATTTATGAATCGTAAATATTTCCGATCATTAGAAGAAATATGGTTGCCATACGTTCATGAGTGTTTCTTAGGAGAAATAATTCATAATACCACGACACAAACCCCCTTCATGCGTAATCAGGTACTACGTAGTTAAAGATATTGACGATGAGAAAAACATCGCCATCTTCGTTCTAATTATGTTGATTACTCTGTCAATCCTACAAGTTTTGATTTCAAAGAGCTAAAAGATGAGCATACGTTTTGCGTTCGCTATGGTCATCAACATTGGTTTTTCGACAGGACTCATGGACTCCGTGTCGAACGACTGAACTGACTTGAAGTTTATTTATGTCCAATAGTTACTCTGATGGAAATGTCAACTAAAATAGAAGATCACTTATTGAAAGAAGATGTGCATTGTTAGCATTGTAATCGAGAATACCAAAGGGCCACAAAAACTTTTGTTTACTTTATAATATATGCATACAAGAAATGCGTAATCGCTTAAGAAACGAATTGGATCATAATCATATGTAGCTCGAAGATTTCGCAGACGCATATCTGTTTGAGAAAATATTCCAACAGTGCATGGATGCCGAATTAACTACGACCACTACAGAAAATGGAGACAACAAGAGAAATCGTCAACGTCGAAACAGAAAAAAACGGTAAAATAAAGCTCGTTAGTGTTCAATACTCATGGCTAGTACTGCATTTATGAGAGAGAAAAGTTTGTTAATAGAACATCATTTTGACATATTACTGTTTCATTGTAGACAGGCGAAGCATCTCGTTAAGAAAACACATAATGGTTAGCAACAATCCGACATAACAAAAGAGAAAGAACAACAAGAATTATGTTAGTAATACAACACAAGACTGATTTTGCTAGTTATTGTATAGATGCTTTTCAAATATCATTCAGATATTGTTTTGTCGTTCTTCATCCTATGATCATTTTCTTTTCTATACAGTTTTGGAGATAAAGATCTGTTAGTAAATAAATCTGATAGAAAGACAAAAAAGATCGGAGGAGAGCTTTAGACTTATACCTTAGGAGAATTCTAAAAAAGTTCAATACAAATTATCATCACAAACGAATGCATCTCTTCACTTGGAGGAAATACCTTCTTCTTTATTAAAAAGAACTTTTTTTTCTATAATCTGAGTCTTATTTCTATAGCAATTCAAATAAACTAACACTTAGCTTTCATGACGATGACTTGCTACTGCTCTTTCTTATGTTGCATTAAAAAAGAGGATTTCCGGCTCATTCTTAATGAACTACAGATGAGATGCTGACACTGTCGACATTTAAATTTTGAACTGAATAGCTTTTAAAAGGACTTTTGTAGATGAAAATGTCCACCGCATATATCGCCTCACTTAATTATGCTAGAAACCAGATTGGCTTGTATTTTGGTATTCCAGTATTTATTATGAGTGTCATCGGAGAAGTGTTAAGTATTATTGTACTTCTTAGTTTAAAAACATTCCGACAAAGTTCTTGTGGCTTTTATCTTCTAAATATGTCAATATTTAATCTGATTCGTCTTTGTTTAAGTTCAGTTTTTGTTATAATGTCCATATCGTTTGAAATCGATTACTCCATTTCAATATTCTTCTTTTGTCAACTACGAAATTTCGTTGTTACTACATGTAACATGGGTTCAATTACTTGTTTAGGCATGGCGGTCATCGATCAATACTTTGCTACCTGTTTTCGTCCACGATGGCAACAATGGGCTAATAAAAATATCGCTTATCGCGTGACACTCATCACCACTCTATTTTGGATACTCAACGGAATTTTCTATGTCATATTTTTTAACAACATCTCCCCAGCCAGCCGAGCCACTTGTGTGACGTCCAATTATATCTTTCTTCAATATCATATCTACGGTTATTTTATTATTTACAATAATCTTTTGCCATTGGTAACAGTTATATTTGGCGTGATGGCTTTTCATAATGTACGACATTTAACACATCGAACAATCCCTCTCGTTCGCCGCGATTTAGAAAAGCAATTAACAGTCATGGTGCTTGTACAAACCACAATTCATGTGTGCACTTATCTACCATTCGCTACTATTAGTATAGTATCAGCATTAAAAGCAAACCCTAGTTCTGTCTATTTGGCCGAGATGAATTTCATAAATGCTGTTGTTTACATCATTTCCGTTTACAGTAATGGGGTAAGACGAACTTCTGATCTAATATAGTTTTGACCGAACACAATTTTAGTGTTCGTTCTACACGTACGTGTGTGTATCTCAACGATTTCGTCGACAGTTTTATCATGTTTTATCTAAGATGCATCTTGTGCGATGTGTTGAAAATCGAATTATTCCAAATCAGACCGACGCATAGTAAATGTAAAATAAACTTATCGCAAACTATTAGGGTAGGTCAGAGTGTCATGATCGCTCCATATTTAAACGCGTGTATAAAACAATCGGTGTGGATATCAATGGCTTATCCAGTGCTCTACACTGAATTATTCTGATGGCCGTTATAGTACGTCGGCTCAGAGCGAGAATTAAAATAGAACACACTCTCATTTTAAAATTTTATACTGGAAACATCCAGCTCCAGAAATTTATATAATAAAATTAACAAGAAAAGGATGTAATTATTTTTTATTTTATCATTTAACAGTGACTCTATACAGTCCCTCAACGCTCTGAAATGGATGGCCCTTCTTTGACGCGTCTACAACGAACAGTCATTCACTAAATGCCATTGATTCTTCTATTAGCATATACTTGTGGAGTGTATCCGTGTTTTCTTCATGATTACCTGCAGAATATGTAGTCGAAACTTGGGCTTAACGTTATTCCTACTCTTTTGCTTACCTTTTTTAATGTAAATCTACTTAGTCGTTCCATACGACAGAAACAACTGCTCCATCGGCATGTAGATTGGAAAATGCATCACTTTTTCTTTTATTTGGGTTACCACTTAGTATAATTAGAATTGAATTGCATAGTTAAATTTCAGTAACTCTCGAAGATGATTCATTTCAACTTCTCAAAACATCGAGTTGCTCGAGTGCCTAAAGGAGAATCGAAGTCTACTGTGTTTTTCTCTAAAGCAACAGCAAGATACTTTGCTCCACGGGCATTCGATTTTATTAATCGTAATATTAAAAATTTTTAGTGCCTATATTTCATGGAGAAATCAGGATAGAAAATGAATGAAAGATAACCATTGTTTTTCACGGAGGAAGTGTCTTTGAGCCGAATGAAATCTAGGAGAATTTTCAAAAACAAAACATTTACTTGATCATTTAATACATTGATACCTATTTGAAATAATTGATTCTAGTCCAATCAGTTTCATGAATTTTCATATGTAAAATGTAAATCGGAAAGAAAACAATTATGGTATTATAACGCAAAAAGATCACCGATATACTGTGCACCAATAGATTTTTCTTGTCGAAATTTTTATAATCGAATACTTGGCAAAGAGAAGGAAAATCAACATTAGTGAGCATTTTTATGAAAGATTAAAACTCTAAAAATGTTCAGTATTTTTTCAAAAAAAAGCAAAACTATTGATGAACAATGTTCTCCGGTCGTTATTTCTTTTAAGAGAAAATCATTAGAAATCATACAGTCAAAAGACGTAATGTAAATATAATTATAGCTTCATCAAACTAAATCTGCTGGACTATAAACGAAAAAATCATGGTAAAAATTAAACTTATAAAAATAAAACGAATAAAAGTTCGGCGATTTTTGAAAATTTTATGATAAACGATACAAGAAATCAAATAACTGATACAAACTTTAATAAAAAGAGCTAACCAAGGATTAATTGAATATCGCGGAAATACAAGTTTATCCATAATGCGATTCGTGTAAACAGCGTTTATCGATACCACCAAAGTTCCCAGGTTTCTATGTTTAGTTTTAGATACAAATATTTCTCGCATTTTATACCGCAAATATTCAAATCGTGGTCGTTGATAAGCAGAAGAAACTCTGTTTGATAACTAAACAATAATCGAAATTGATCTGATATATTCAAAAAGCTTTCTGCTTACTTCTTCTCCAAGCCATAAATGAATACGCTCAGGTATGCCACTCTGCGCTGATATAAAATCTATTTGACATATTGCAGAACGATGAAGAAATTCTTTAATATCATTAACAATTAAATCCGCACGAAATTCTGAACATCTGAGCTGATCACCTAATGACCAGTGAACATAAAATGTTATACTCGATAATTGTTTGAATTGACCAATACTATAAATCATATCTGATCGGGATTGAATTGGCCATCCATTTAAATGTTCAATATTTGGAAATGAATGACTGAATTTGTTCAAATCATATATAATTCCATTTGAATATGCTAATGATCCCACATTTAATGAACGAATTTGTTTCAATTCTACATTTTCATGATACTCGTCTTCGAACGTATGAAGTTCATATGGCGTTTTTCTTTCAATATTCAAAAGATAAAGTTTTTTCATATGACATTGAATATCCGCTAATAAATGATATGATTTGGGAGAAATTGTCAACACTTCAACTTGATTTAAATCCACAATCGATGATAACATTTTAAATGAATCATTCCAATCAACTCGAAGACTTTTTATCGAAGTAAATCGAAATGTATTAGTAAGAGAAATTCTTTTTTGAAAAATCATGTATTGAGGTTCATATAGAACACTATGGTTTGGGATTGTTGAATATAAAGTTGTAGAAGAAGATAAAGTCAGAAATGGGAAACCAAAATCAGTAACAGAAACGGTGAATAAACATTTATCGTAAGCAGCAATAAACCAATGTTTGTCTTCAATCCAAAATGGTGTTCGAAATGAGTCGAGATTTTGACCATTTAGAAAATCTTTGACATGAAAGAAGAAGTTGAAAGAAAGAAATGACTGTGCGATTCGTTGCCATCGATATCCATCAACAAAACTCATATCAACTGATTCCGACAAACATTTGATTTCAAAATGGATTAAATTTGGAAAGTTTTGTAAGAGTTGCTCAATGTTATTCATGGATATTTCGGTGTCTATGAATTCAAGAGAGCATAGATGTGTTTGAATTATATTCTTTTGTTTCAGTTCTTACTTGAAATGATCAAAGTGAGTTTTCGTAATGAAGAACATGATTGTATTTGATGAAAACCTCGAAAATATTCGAGAAGCAAAGTAAGAGCATGAAGTCGAGGTGTATGATAAAGAATGTCATTCACACGATGAAATGTGGATGAATATAATTTTAATTGACGTAGATTTCGAAAGTCAATTGATGTTAATTCATCCCAATAACATGTACTGAAATATTTCAATTGGGATAACAGTTCTGGATAATATTTTGGTAAATTTATCTGAATAGGAATCTTATTTTCGACGGATGTACTGCTAATCTCAGTAAATATTCTCTTTCGATATGAACTGTCAAATGAAAGAGAATCTAATCGTTTAAGGTTTGATAAATTTTGTAAGAATCGATGTAACGATTCCTTTTTCATATGTACCAAAGAAAGTGATCGTAAATTTGTGAATTGTTCAATTTGAAAACAGGATAAAAATAAATCCGATTGACCAGTTGTATCGTTTTCATCTGAGATTACAAGTGACATCACTTGTTCAGGTCGAATTTGTTTACAAACCAGATGAAAGGTGGATTTTCGAATAGATTGAAAATTGATTCGATATGCGGAATAAGATTTGAGAATTGAATCGATTCGATCATTAAGATTGGAAAATGAATGAAGAATTTCATCAGCCCAAAAGTACTCAAATAAAAGATGAAATAATTCTGTTGGAAATCGATCTATTTTCATGTGACAATTGCCGGCGATCAATGCTTTCCCGTCGTTATTTCTTTTAAGAGAAAATCTGTGTCGAGTTAACATCTTTGACGATGAAACCGAATAGAAACTCAGTTAAGGTAGATAACATTCGCTTTAATTTCCATTTATTTGATTGTGATAAGAAATCTTTTTGAAAATGTTTCGTTTTCAACTGATGATTACATTTGTTTTGAAAACTATAATTGTGTGTTCTTCTACAAGCTGATAGAAAGGCTCTGTTCATATTGCCGAGTTATTCGTCAAAAATCATTTTCAATTTTGTAATGACATTCTACCATTGATCATCGTTTCTGATTATTTAGTTTCTCGTATTTATTCAAAGTGCAAAAATATACAAAATAACTGAAATCTTCTCACATTCTTTAATGTTGTTATTCCAAAAGCTGATGATCAATCCATCCAGACATATAACTGGTTCCACTGAAAATAATATGTTCCATCACTACAAATGTGATTCTGTTGTAAATATTTGTCTATGATTTCTTTAGGTGTTTTCATTGGATGAGACCATTGAATCGTTGCACTGACTAAACATTGAAGTTGAGTCAAAATTGGAAGAATCTCGTCTCGTTCTTTTCCACACAAAGTAATTCGTTCAACTTTTGGAAATATACGACTGATTTCATCCAGATCATTTCTGTCGACGATATTTGTTATTGTTAAACACTTTATTTGTTCATAAATGACATTTTCCGATAGACGACAACCGTTGAGCTTGAGTGAAGTCGAACTTTTCAAAGTCAATTCGTTGAGATTTGGTGCTGAATATAAAATTTCATCGAATGCCGCAGAAGATAAATCATCGATTGATTCAATTTTCAAATGTTTCACTGAGAAAAGATTCATTATAGATTGCAATGCATCAATTTGAGGAGTTGAACCTTGTAAAATCAACGTTTCTATTTGAGGAAAACATGAAGAAATTGAATTGTGTTGCGAACAATCAAAGATGTTCAATTCTTTGTAATGTTGATCGAATGGAAATGACGATAAAGAATATTCATAAAAACCCAAATTTAGTGATGGAAACCAATGATGACGAGGTGAAAAAGAAGGAAGAGAAAAGATTCGAACACACGATTGACTTGAAGATGAAATGAGACAACCCATTTCACAATGTTTTTCATTGATCCAAAAAGAATTTTGAAATAAATTTAAAACTTCATCGCCACTCATCGTGTTTTCGTCAACTGAAATATCAATGTGAAATTCTTTTAAATTTTGTAATTTTTCCTTTATTAATGTTTCCCATCGTTGTCCATTGAGTAAAGAATGATCACCATTAGTTTCTAAGAGAAAAGATTGAAGTGAAGGAACCAGTGGAAGAACATTTTCTAAATCTTCAAATAAAATCCAAAGTTTTGATTTGATTTGTAAAGATTTCAATCGAGATGGAAAATAATCAATGATTGACATTTGTCCAGATGAAAAACAAACATTGAAATGTGTTAAATTGGGTACAAATCGAAGAATTCGTGAGAGATCTGTTGTATCACAAGATTCAATTGTTAAATGAGTCAATTTCATCAATGATTGACAAAGATTTTTCAATCCTCGACTATCGAACAATGTCAAATGTTTCAAAGAAGATAAAGTGATTAAAACATCTACGATTTGTCGACCAATCCGTTGATTTAACCCAAATGAACAATTTTTAATCGCTAAAAAACGAAGTTGAGAATGTTCCTCGAGATAAGAGAGAATTAAGCCGAATAATTTTGGATCGTCAAGATGAGAAAGTGTTAAATGTCGAAGATGAACACATTTGATCAATGGGACCAAAGCAAGGAATGATTGGATTTGATTTGGAGTTTCGTATTGATTTGAAAGAAATAAAAATTGAATTTGTTCAGCCAAGACATTTTCACAAATAAATAGAAATTCAGATTTACGGGTTGATTTGAAATTCAATCGAATTCGTTGATATGAATGAAGAATTTCATCGATTTCAGGATTAATTTCATTAAATGAATAGAAAAGATCAGCAGGATGGAAATAATCAAAAATACAATGAAGAAGTTCACAAGGAAATTTATTCAACGCACAAACCATCTCTTCAAATAACAAAATGAAAGAGTTGTAATTTCATCACTCATTCATCCTGTAATGATATTCACAAGAGAAGACGAGAAAAGAGGTCGTTAAGCGACGATAAGAAAAGAACTTCATTGTAAATGGTTTTGGATGAAATCATTTTCCTTGATGAAGAAAGTGAAGAAATCAATGAAATAACATGATTTAAAATGCTAAATGATTGACTTTCAGATTATCAACAGAGGGAATTTCTTTGACTAGATAAACTTCGACATTTCCCGCTGTTAACCACACGCTGGTAACGATCCCAATAAAGTTAGATATGAAATCAAATTCTCAATCATCGTCATTCTCTTAATAAACTGTTAATATGTACGAATTCGGTGTTCCTTAGCAAAAATACAAACATTATAATGTAAGATATAGTAAATATTTTTACTATATTCACAAACAACCCATTCATTACCGCCTACAACAGATCTCCGAAAAACATCTCTTTTGGAAAAAGAAGTCTAAGCTAGGTGAATAAGAAAAAAACTATAACCTCAGATCTGAATTTTTTGACATCGATTAGACTCTTCAGCCAATCCTTAATCTATGTATTAATATTTGATGTCTAGTTGACAGCTAGTTAATTAACCGCTAAAATAAACGTTGTCCAGCATCATGTAGTTTCCTTATCTATCCATTCGAACAAACTCATAGAGACTAAGAGTGTCGACGTTGAAAAATACTTTTCACACGTGTACACGCACTTTGTATACGTCCGCTTCGTACGAACTCGTCGTTCGTACTCAACGCAAACAGAAATGACAAAGAATGATTTATATATAAGAACGTGCTGTTAGTTATTCTCCATGACAAGCAAACAGAAAAGGTGTACTTTCAACAAGGTTTTTTCTTCTGTCAACGACGATTCAGGTGCATCTCGTTTAAAACATATCTTTCTTGAAGGATTACTCACGTTAAACGGACCGTTATGAGTAAACCAATTCCACAACCTCAAGAAACATTTTTAATCGGCAATGTCAAANCATGAAAGAAGAAATTGAAAGAAAGAAATGACTGTGCGATTAGTTGCCATCGATATCCATCAACAAAACTCATATCAACTGATTTCGACAAACATTTGATTTCAAAATGGATTAAATTTGGAAAGTTCTGTAAAAGTTGCTCAATGTTATACATGGATATTTCTGTATCTATATGAATTCAAGAGAAAATAGATGAATTTGACTGATATTCTTTTGTTTCAGTTCTTACTTGAAATGATCAAAGTGAGTTTTCGTAATGAAGAACATGATTGTATTTGATGAAAACCTCGAATATATTCGAGAAGCAAAGTAAGAGAATGAAGTTGAGGCGCATGATAAAGAATTTCATTCACACGATGAAATGTAAATGAATATAATCTTAATTGACGTAGATTTCGAAATTCAATTGATGTTAATTCATCCCAATAACATGTACTGAAATATTTCAATCGGGGTAATAGTTCTGGATAATATTTTGGTAAATTGATCTGAATAGGAATATTATTTTCAATGGATGTACTGCTAATGTCAGTAAATATTCTCTTTCGATATGAACTGTCAAATGAAAGAGAATCTAATTGTTTAAGGTTTGATAAATTTTGTAAGAATCGGTGTAATGATTCCTTTTTCATATGTATCAAAGAAAGTGATCGTAAATTTGTGAATTGTTCAATTTGAAAATAGGATAAAAATAATTCCGATTGACCAATTGTATCGTTTTCATCTGAGATTACAAGTGATAACACTTGTTCAGGTCGAATTTGTTTACAAACCAGATGAAAGGTGGATTTTCGAATAGATTGAAAATTGATTCGATATGCGGAATAAAATTTAAGAATTGAATCGATTCGATCATTAAGATTTGAAAATGAATGAAGAATTTCATCAGCCCAAAAATACTCAAATAAATGATGAAATAATTCTGTTGGAAATCGATCTATTTTCATGTGACAATTGCCGGCAATCAATGCTTTCCCGTCGTTATTTCTTTGAAGAGAAAATATGTGTCGAGTTAACATCTTTGACGATGAAACCAAATAGAAACACAGTTAAGGTAGATAACATTCGCTTTAATTTCTATTTATTTATTTGATTGTGATAAGAAATCTTTTTGAAAATGTTTCATTTTCAACTGATGATTACATTTGTTTTGAAAACTATAAATATAACCCAACTTCTTACTCTTCATAGAAGTACTCGCCGCCAAGATCCTCTAGATTTTGGTATTTGATTTAACCATTCTTGTGTGTTCTTCCACAAGCTGATCGAAAGATTCTGTTCATATTGCCGAATTATTCGTCAAATATCATTTTCAATTTTGTAATGACATTCTACCATTGATCATCGTTTCTGATTATTTAGTTTCTCGTATTTATTCAAAGTGCAAAAATATACAAAATAACTGAAATCTTCTCATATTCTTTAATGTTGTTATTCCGAATGTTGATAATCAATCCATCCAGACATACAACTGATTCCAATGAAAATAATATGTTCCATCACTACAAATTTGATTCTGTTGTAAATATTTGTCTATGATTTCTGTAGATGTTTTCATTGGATGAGACCATTGAATATTTGCACTGACTAAACATTGAAGTTGAGTCAAAATTGGAAGAATCTCATCTCGTTCTTTTCCGCACAAAGTAATTCGTTCAACTTTTGGAAATATACGACTGATTTCATCCACATCATTTCCGTCGACGATATTTGTTATTGTTAAACACTTTATTTGTTCATAAATGACATTTTCCGATAGACGACAACCATTGAGCTTGAGTGAAGTCGAACTTTTCAAAGTTAATTTATTGAGATTTGGTGCTGAATAGAAAATTTCATCGAATGCTACAGAAGATAAATCATCGATTGGTTCAATTTTCAAATGTTTCACTGAGAAAAGATTCACCATAGATTTCAATGCATCAATTTGAGGAGTTGAACCTTGTAAAATCAACGTTTCTATTTGAGGAAAACGTGAAGAAATTGAATTGTGTTGCGAACAATCAAAGACGTTCAATTCTTTGTAATGTTGATCGAATGGAAATGATGATAAAGAATATTCATAAAAACCCAAATTTGTTGATGGAAACCAATGATGACGAGGTGAAAAATAAGGAAGAGAAAAGATTCGAACACACGATTGACTTGAAGTTGAAATGAGACAACCTATTTCACAATGTTTTTCATTGGTCCAAAAAGAATTTTGAAATAAATTTAAAACTTCATCACCACTCATCGTGTTTTCGTCAACTGAAATATCAATGTGAAATTCTTTTAAATTTTGTAATTTTTCCTTTATTAATGTTTTCCATCGTTGTCCATTGAGTAAAGAATGATCACCATTAGTTTCTAAGAGAAAAGATTGAAGCGAAGGAACCAGTGAAAGAAGATTTTCTAAATCTTCAAATAAAATCCAAATTTTTGATTTGATTTGTAAAGATTTCAATTGAGATGGAAAATAATCAATCATTGACAGTTGTCCAGACGAGAAACCAACATTGAAATGTGTTAAATTGGGTAGAAATCGAAGAATTCGCGAGAGATCTGTTGTATCACAAGATTCAATTGTTAAATGAGTCAATTTCATCAATGATTGACAAAGATTTTTCAATCCTCGACTATCGAATAATGTCAAATATTTCAAAGAAGATAAAGTGATCAAAACATCTACGATTTGTCGACTAATCCGTTGATTTAATCCAAATGAACAATTTTTAATCGCTAAAAAACGAAGTCGAGAATGTTCCTCGAGATAAGAAAGAATTAAGCAGAATAATTTGGGATCATCAAGATGAGAAAGTGTTAAATGTTGAAGATGAACACATTTGATCAATGGAATCAAAGCAAGAAATGATTGAATTTGATTTGGAGTTTCAAATTGATTTGAAAGAAATAAAAATTGAATTTGTTCAGCCAAGACATTTTCACAAAGAAATAAAAATTCAGATTTACGGGTTAACTTGAAATTCAATCGAATTCGTTGATATGAATGAAGAATTTCATCGATTTCAGGATTAATTTGATCAAATGAGTAGAAAAGATTAGCAGGATGAAAATAATCAAAAATACAATGAAGAATTTCACAAGGAAATTTATTCAACATACAAGTCATCTCTTCAAATAACACAAAGAAAGAGTTGTAATTTCATCATTCATTCATCCTGCAATGATATTCACAAGAGAAGAAGAGAACAGAGGTCGTTAAGTGACGGTAAGAAAAGAACTTCATTGTAAATGGTTTTGGATGAAATCATTTTCTTTGATGAAGAAATTGAAGAAACCAATGGAATAACATGATTTCATTTCATCAACTTCTTCTCCAACACTTTTCTTTTACAATTTTTTGTAACACAATAAATCACAACAAAAGATTTGCTTATGCATACATTTTTTTCTTCACCATTCATCGAATTTTTTGGCGATTTTCATGTTTCAAATGCTAAATGATTGACTTTCAGATTATCAACAGATGGAATTTCTTTGACTATAGATGAACTTCGACATTTTCCGCTGTTAACCACACGCTGATAACGATCCCAATAAAGTTAGATATGAAATCAAGTCTCATCAAATTCTCAATTATCGTTATTCTCTTAATAAACTGTTAATATGCACGAATTCGGGTGTTCTTTAACAATTACAAACATTATAATGTAAGCTTTTAAACTACTATATTCACAAACAACCCATTCATTACTGTCTACAAAAGATCTCCGAAAAACATCTATTTTAGAAAACGAAAGGAAGAAGTTGAAGCTAGGTGAATAAGAAATTATAACCTAGTTCAGATCTGAATTCTTTGACATCGATTATACTCTTCAGTCAATCCTTACCCCATGTATTAATATTTGATGTCTCGTTGACAGCTAGTTAATTAACTATCAATAATTAGTCAAAACTAATTGACCACTAAAATGAACGTTGTAGAGCACCATGTAGTTTCCTTATTTATCCATCCAAGCAAACTCATAGAGACTAAGAGTGTCGACGTTGAAATATTTTTCATACACGTGTACACACACTTTGTATACGTACGCTTCGTACGAACTCGTCGTTCGTACTCAATGCAAACACACATGACAAAGAATGATTTATATATAAGAACGTGTTGTTAGTTATTCTCCATGATAAGAAAACAGAAAAGGTGTACTTTCAACAAGGTTTTTTCTTCTGTCAACAACGATTCAGGTGCATCTCGTTTAAAACATATCTTTCTTGAAGGATTACTCACGTTAAACGGACCGTTATGAGTAAACCAATTCCACAACCTCAAGAAACATTTTTAATCGGCAATGTCAAANATAGGCCGACCTTTCGCATGGCAAGAAAGTCTTCTAACTATTGCGCTTATTTTGAAACATTTCAATCTTGAATTTGTTGATCCATCGTATAATCTTCGCATTAAACAAACATTGACAATTAAACCAGAAGGTTTCAAAATACGGGTTCGATCGCGGCAACAAATTGATATTTCGTTGAGAAAAGATGTTAAGCAATTGGAAAACATATCCGAAAAAGCTAAATCGAACGACACGAGAAATCTTCGACCAATGGTTATTCTTTTTGGAAGTAATTCTGGTTCATGTCAATCATTTGCAGAAACATTAGCATCCGAAGCGCCCTTATATGGTTATAATGCTACTGTATCTACTCTTGATTCTGCTGTGGGTTCTCTTCCTCTTAACCAACCTGTTATCATCATTACAGCATCATATGAAGGTAAACCATGCGAAAATGCGAAACAATTCGTTGCTTATCTAGAATCAAAACCAAAATTAGAAGGTGTAAACTATGGTATTTTCGGCGCTGGTCATCATGACTGGGTAAAAACTTATCAAAAGATACCACTTTATATTGATCAATTATTGGAAAATGCCGGAGGTAAGCGAATTATTGAACTTGGTCAAGGCGATGCTGGAGGAGATTTCTATGGTGCGTTTGAAAGTTGGAAAGAAAATCTGTTTCAAATGTTAAGAAAAGACACGGGTGAAGAAAACGTTATTAGTGAAGAGAAACTTTCAATTGAAATTGTTAATTCGAAAAGAAATTTCGGGCAGATAACAATGGATATTGGTTTTGTTCTTGAAAACAAAATTCTCGTTCAAGCAAATGACATTGCACCGACAATACGACATTTGGAAATTAAACTTCCGAAAGGACAAACTTATCATACTGGAGATTATCTTGCAATATTACCATCAAATCCAATTGAAATTGTGTATCGCGTTCTCAAACGATTCAATTTAGCTACAGATACGCAAATCAGAATTCTATCCTCGACAAGTACTTTCTTTCCAACTAACAATCCAATCAGTGTTTTTGATATTCTCAGTGGTTATGTAGAATTATCACAACCGATTAGTAAAAAACAAGTCGAAATTCTTGCAGTATTATGTAAAAATGAAAAAGAACAAGAACAACTTCTTCATCTGGGTGAAAATTTATATGNGTGAAAATTTATATGAAACCGAAGTTTTAAACAAACGTGCAAGTATATTGGATGTACTTGAATTATATCCATCATGTGAACTTTCATTCGCACAATACCTTCGCATGCTACCATCACTTCGTGTTCGTCAATACAGCATCTCTTCAACGCCATTGTGGAATGCTGAAGTTGTTACATTGACAATTGATATACTGAACACTCCTGCATTGAGTGGAGTAGGACAGCATATTGGTGTAGCATCGAATTATTTAGGAAATTTGAAAGAAGGTGATCGAATCAGTTGTGCCGTTCGAACGAGTAATGCTCGATTTCATCCGCCAGAAGATACGAAGATACCCATGGTGTTGATTGCAGCTGGAACTGGCATTGCACCATTTCGCGGTTTTATTCAGGAGCGAGCAGCACAATTAGTATGTGGCAGAAAAGTTGGACCAACCGTTGTTTATTATGGGTGGCGATCGCAGGATGATAACTTATATTTTGATGAACTCGATCAATGGTCCAAACTTGGCGCTGTTAAACTACGAATTGTTTTTTCTCGTCAAACGGTCAGTGAGAAAAGATATGTACAAGATTTATTATGGGAAGATCGGGATGAGATTAAGAATTTATATTGTAATGGTGCACGTTTTTATACATGTGGAAGTGCAAGGAAAGTCGGTGCATCCGTGAAAACGTGTTTTGTTAAAATCATTCAAGATGTTAAACAATGCGATGAAGAGGAAGCATCAAAGATTTTAGAAGAAATTTCTCAGGATCGATACAGTGTTGATGTTTTCACATGATAGACTAACTTCTTTCATCTGTATAATATGTGATCATTTTCAATAAACAAAATATGTATTCTCAAGAAAATGTCTCATCGATACTGTTTTAATTATCGATTGCACGAAAGTCTAATCAAACGTACGGTTTCTTACAGTCAAATCAATACAGAATTTTTTCGCTATTCTATGTTTGTATATTATAGATGATAATTCACAGCGAGTTCTAAAGCATTGGGAAGTTAAACCACATAATTTACCACTGTTTTCCGATTTAAACTTTTTAACAGAATGCATCATTTGCTCGAATTTGAATAAATAAATATAATAATAATTAAAACTCTTTACATCGTATTCATTTCTTCTGTTCTTGAGCGTTTTTACTTGAGGTTTTTCTTCCAATGAAGTCTGACTATTTCATAATATCAAAATATTATACTATACATGTTTTAACATCACGCCTTGCTTACAGCACATGCCTGAATATTACTCGCTGTCATTGACAAAGATTCTTACGATTCAATACTATGCCAGTATGCACAATATTTCATTTTCTTGAACGCTGATGTTCGATTTTATTCAATCCACAGCGTGGTCATCTGATACAAGGGGAGAAAAGCTAGTCTTCATCTACTTCACATTCTGCGTGAAATCAAATGAAGTACAGGTGAAGTCTGACATCTCGCTTTTCCTCCTTATGTGTCGTACATCCATATTATGCATGTTGGAGTACACATTTTGGGTATCTTCTTTCACAACATGGATGTTCACTCTTGCAGAATTAGGACGACATATAGATAGGAGTTCGGTTTGTTGTAAGTGAAATCGAACAGCAAGATAGATTAGACGATCTTTCCAACTTTTCTCTCGGTTTTCTAACCATATCAACACTATTTGTATATCTATTGTATAATTTATATATATATATACTTTCATATGAAACACAGTTATCATTCTAATAGTATAATGTACTTAGTTCATCAATATGCACACCCAAAATAACACCTTCACTCTCATTCAAAATAAAGCGATAAAGTTTGTGACTGTGAATTACACGTTGTACCAGATATTCCTCCCCAGTAGGCGTTTCCCACACATGGTCTAATAGCATAACCTGCGTTACAAGAGCAGACACCATTCGAATTTATACTAAAACCACCCCAACATGTATTGATACTCCAAACAGCTCCATTTGAATTAATAGTAATGGTACCGTTGTATTTTAAAGCTGCGGCAAGTTCAGTAACGAGAAATGAATCTGTTATAGTCACACCTGTGGCATCATTTGATCCATAGATGTGCATTTTCGAATAACTCTTACAATTCAAACTACTTGTAAACGTTTGCCAAGTTGTGCATTGAGCTGTTGTTGGTACTACAAGATACGTGAAAGTATCACTGTATGAAGCTGCACATGCTATCGAAAGATAATATGATGTATTACTACAAGAAAATATCTCAGGTCGATCACTTACGAGTTGAACTAGTCGCATCTAAGAAATATAAAGTAATGAGCGAGTGAGAGAAAGAAAAATACTTTGTTGTAGACTTACCAAGTACAATGACAACAATGGGAATGACCAAAGCTGCCAATGCAATAAGGGCCAATAGAATCAATAGTTGAATGCACATACATCGTGAAATGGAACATCTAAGTAGTTGAAAAATAGGTGAAGATAAACGAGTGATATAAAAAACAAACTTGGATTTTCTTGTTGTTGAGACATTGGTTAGTTGAGTTATATTGGTAATTTCTAATTGTTTTGGTGGATTTTTCGCAATCGGTCTCGAAGAAGAAAGAGTACTGTTCATGTCAATGTGATTACCGAAAAATGTGTTCTATGCAGAAATGATTGAAGACTATTTTCTTTGTACTTTTACCACTCAAAATGAAATGCACTTAACTTTTCTCAGGAAGAAAGAAAACGAAGCGTTTGTCAAAATAGAAAATTGCATTAGTAGTGCACAGAGATGAATGAAACAAACGTGTTTTTCGGCAACAATGTTACTGTAGTGACATGTTTTGGACGTTGTAACACAATGCGAGAAAAAGCTTGCATTCATTTAAAGGATAGGTAAGGTAAATATTTCTTCACTTATTCTCTCAAAACATATGAGAGCTTTTAGCTCAGCATTCTCATGCTCTCCTATTCTCGCTTATCCCGTTTCTTTCACGGTGCAAGAAAGTGCGTAAATAGGTTTTGTTCGACATGACTTTCCTCGTCTCCAATTTCGGCAACAAAATGACGAAAAAATTTTTCTTCTCTGACTAAGACATCTTATGTTCCCATAAATACTAATCAATATTTTCTGAGTACTTCTCTTTTGTTTCGATTACTCTCTTTCACGCGAAGAGATATTTTACAAACACAAGTTGCTGGTTTCCTTGTTTGCTTATGTGTGGACACATTACTATTCGGTCGAAAAAAAAATGAAATTATAACCATCATTCTTTGTAAGGATTAACAACCAAAGGATAGTCAGGATCGAAGAGTGTGATATTATAAAATATCCAAAGAAAATATAACAACCACAGAAGAGCGATATTAAAGTAATCGTGAAAATGATCATATCCGCTTTTAAGATACACTAAAATTAGCGGCACTTTTGTTCTTCATGTTCGACATTTTTAATAGACGTTTACAAGTAAAATATGTTAATTATAAATCTCAGGATAATCGCTTTATTCTATAATGTTAAATATTGCAGAATCCGTTTCGATTCGAAATTGATCAAGATCAATTATGTGTAGGGTATATAGAATTCTCTCTTTAGTGTATTGATCGATAATGTTTATTTCTTGTAACTAACATCGAATAGTAAACGAAGAACTTGACGAAAACGACATCAAAACGGAAATGGTATAAATATAAACAACATACAAAAAGGGAATTCATGTCTATAAAAGAGAAATGAATCGGACTCTGATTAAGCTCACAAAAACAACATCAATCGAGTATATATCGATAGCTCAGACGTGTACTCAACCATTTTTTAAATAATCACGGCGTCTCGAAGTGGTTGTTGGCAAGTGTTGTAATTCTGTGCCTGTAATAGGTACTACGGCCCAACGATTCCAACACGGAGTTGCTCTTTTCAGTTTTCCGTGTAATTCATCCAAAGTGCTCAAACATACAAAAGGAAACAGTGGTGGCATGCACATAGCCACCGGGATTGCCCATAGACTAAATTCTACTCCAAAAGTTGGATCATACAACATTTGTCCTATTTGAACGACGAAGTAACCACCATTTGTCAAAAGAAATAAGAAACACATGCTGAATAATTGCACTGCCATTTTACGATTCTTCTTCCACGTCATTTGTCTGCCCATTCGAGCCTTTTGCTGAACAACTCGAATAAATAATAAAACATTAAAAATGAAAATCAGCAGCATCAATGCAAAACCGTGAGCAATCTGCTCATACAAAGCCATCATAGCATTTGTTCTCAAATAACAAGCTGGAACACAGTATGATGTATATTCATCATAGTAATTTTCACATGGGTAGAAAAATATAAAGTAAACGTAATAAATCATTGGATAAGTTACGCAAATCATCAAAGGTATATAATGATAAGCCACACGTTTACGATGTGTGTTGAAGACATATATATGGAAAATGAGAATATGCCGTTCGAATGAGGACCACGTCAAAAGTAAAAAGCAGGTTGTAAATAAATAGAAATCAATAAAATAAAAGTAATAACAATAGCTGAGCGTCAGAGGCCGATTTACACCTAGGATATAGTAACTAAGCTGCCCTGGTACATCGGTTAGAGTTTGAAGACAATTGCTAATAAGTAAAAGAATGATGACATGATTGTTGGCAGCACGATAGAGCGTTTTCGTTGATAAGAAGTGATGAAGAACAAAAATTGAACACGGTAGGGAAAAAATTGCAATTGTTAATAAGATACTGAACTGAACAGGTCGGCTCGTTGGAATATAGGGAGCGATCGTTGTCGTCGTCGTAAGATTGCCGAATGTCGACATAATGAAAAATCTAAATTATGACGACAGAGTTCTTTATTCAACAAACATCCGCATCACAAAAAAAGAGTGACATAGGAGTGCTATTCTTCTTCATCTTGACTCTTACCGTCAAGTATTGCAAAGTGTCATTTTCTCATCATAGGTTTTTCAGTATACTTTTAGATTGTTTTTCCCCTTGAAAAACAAGATTAACAGACAATCTCTCTGTTCTACTCGTTCTTACTGCTTTTGTGTGAGTAGTCAAACATGACAGTTGACGTTTGTCTGAGAAAAACACACTCAGAGACAATCTAAAAGGAGATCGAGTGTATGAAACGTCGTTCGTCTTGCTTTACAAAATTTGACTTTGTCCTTTCAGTTAATAGAGATGAAGAAAACACTCTTAAAGGATTATCTAGACACGCGATATAAACACATGACGATGTTGCATTCCACCACTCTCCTAACAGACAAATTCTTTGGTACTTTATTTATCTAGTCTTTCAACATGTGATGTAAGCTTATTACATTATAGCGTTATTGCTGTGAGAAGCTCTAAACATTATCTCTATATAATCTGTCTAGTAATAAGATCATCACTCACTTTTAGCATATGACAAAAGCTTTCAAAATGGCTCAATCGGATGTTTTCTTCTGGAAAACAGAGTGTCACTATGTAACTAGTTTTGATTAATCGGCGAGCATACTCAGAAAGACAACGCTTCGATTGTTGACGAAGCAGCAAACATTACAAATTAGCGATAAATTCCATTGCTTAGTAAAAATAGAAGATGACTGATAAAATAAAACAGTACAATCTTAATTGTAGACTATGACTTTCCTATGTTGAGGACATTTTATAATCGACTTAAAGGCGTAACTGAAAAAGAATAACCACAAAAATGATGTATTAATTGCTTTTTATCAATGTGAAGTTGGCATCACAAAACAAAAGAATTATATACAAGTTTTCCCATCAATAAAAATACTACCATTCGATACGGAATTATTTTTATGGACGGAAATTCATTTAAGTATAGTTTTTTGTATAGTGGTACTATTTTCACACTGATCTACTTTTTTGTTGAGAAAGACGTCAGAGGATAATTATTTCTCTGTCTATTTTTGGTTTATTTGGTCTATCGAATCATTAACATGAAATATATATGTGTGCATGTATCATGTTGTCAATTCATTTTTCAGCTACTTAGAAACTAATGCTGATCAAAATACTAGCATACTATAGAGAACTTATGCGAGTAAAAACTTTTAACTAGAGGATAGTTTTTCTACAAAAGATATCTGAAAGAATACACGTTCATATACCAATATTTGTCCTGTTGAAACAGTTGCAGTGAAACTCATCCGTGTAGTCAAAATGATCACGAGAAAAGTTCTATAAAAAAAACTAATTATCTCGCATGTTGACGTAGGCATTACGTCGATCGTTTCCATTATTTTTAGATTGAATCGCAGATTAGATCATAAAGTAGCTTTCCTTTGATGTACATTAATATACAAAATGCTACAATAGAAACAAAATAGTCTCTACGGATTATATCTCATATAGAAACACTTCATTTCATCGAGCAAGTCATCTTGTACAACAGGGTTAACATTGAAATCTATTCGTATATATCCTGTGACTTGATCTGCTTATATTTGACAGATGACGCGTTTTTGACAGTTTTATTTTTATTCAAGAACGAATTAAACATTTATTTAGTGAAAAGATCTAATCTGAATTCAGTTTTCATTAGTTTACTTGCATGTCATAAGTCAGATCTTTTCGCAGCTAACGATTTCGTACGTTGTGCATTCGTGCGAAGTTTGATATAGACTTTGTCTTCAATTTAACAAGTGTATCCATGCGATTCTCATGGTTGATACGTTTGCTCGTAATGCGTTCAGGATAACCACGAAGGAACATATTTGTGACGTGCTAAAAATCGACAAAAACGAGTCAGTATTTAAATAGATGAAAATAATAGCAAAGAAAAGAAGATTTTTGCACTGAAGTCGTTCTCATCGGTGCATTTCTCCATGCACAGATGATTGTTTACATGATTTTCCTCTTGGTTGAAAAGACTCACGCTGACTTTCAATCTACTACAATCAAACCGCGCACACGTTTCCTCCTTATATACCCTCTTCAGTAAAGAAAACTATATACTATTTCATTCACTACTTACTTCTCCATAGTGCACGAAATCCATGCTATCTGCATTGTTGAACGGCTTAATAATTTGCTGGAAATTCGGTTCGTGAAAGTATGCCAGACTATATCTCTCTTTTTGAGTAAGGTGTACTTTGTGAGGGGTAGAGAGTAGAGTAGTATGGGGGAGTAATTGAAACATGTCACCTGGAAACACCACTAGAGTAGAACGGACTGGTTTGACATAGTTCCATTCTTCAGAATCTTCATACATTCCAGCACTGGATTCTGAGGGTAGCCAATTACGATTACGAATCTCTCCATTGATAGGTGGTCGAATAGACAATCCGCCAGCGTCGTCCTGGGTAATAATGACGAGAAAACCATAATCGGTATGTGAACCAGTTCCACGCGACGACTGAGAGGAAGTAGGAGGGTATCGAAGAACACGTGCATGATGCCAACCATCGTTAGCTATTGATTTAAGAGCATTAAGATTTTGAAGACCCAATCCCAATGAAATGAGTTGTAACAGGCGGTCACCAATAGAGCCAAGCTCTCGTAGATATTTCTGAAGAGCTTCCTTGAAGGTAGAACTAGGCCATGGGACAGGTCCATGTCCTGGCCATCCATCTTGCACGCGTTTATCGGTCAGCGGCAAATCTTTAACGAGAGTAAAGATTTCGCTGGAGTCAGCCTCACCTGCTGTTAATTCTTCTCCACTAGCGATATATCCTGCAAAGGTGAGATCCGACACATATGACAACTTTTCGGACGTCGGACGTGCAAAGAATTCACGGGAAGCTTCAAATGCCAACTGTGAAGATGTATATACGTCGGGAGTACATGCGACTTGAAACATTCCTTCTGTCTGCCACTCTAATACCATACTTTTACCCAGCTTAATATCTGCTGCATTGCCAACAACCACTGGCGGGATATGAAATGTTTTCAGATTTGCGATACGATTCAGTCTATTAGACCAATCAGCTGCACGTGGAGTAACAGTTGAAACTGGTGCAATATTCGAATCACCAGCCATTTTCTTAATCTAAAATTAAAAAAGTACACTGATTCAGAACTGTGTAACATCATGGAATAAGATGTGTTCTTTGCGTCTTGGACATTCGAACGAGAGCCTTTTTCTTTCGCACAGCAGAAAGTCTGACCGACGAATAACACTTATAATTTTTATGCACAAAAAGTAAATTACACTGACAAATTCTCAGAACTTCACAAAATGAGTTTCAGTTTGTGTATCCAACTTTTATTCTTACTTGTTTTCTTTCCGTGGAGTATACGAAATTTCAATCGATTTCTATCAACAAAAATCAACAAAGACGATATCAATGAATCTCAAACTATTAAGAAGAAATACCACGAAAGTATAAAACAGAGGTACCTACACGTGTGTCTGGGAGACTCGGTATGACAAAAACAGAGTGTTAATGAAGAAGAGTCGCATAAGTAAAAATTGAAATAGATTCCATTAGCAGTGAGAATATTCTATACCATCAACTTTCAAAGCACATCATTTGATTTGATATTTTAGTTCAATAAGTAACGCAACTTACCTGATTTAGCTACTTTAAACAAACGTCTATTATGATTATACTTCATATAGAGAGAATGTAGGCGAATGAAAGAAGGCGTATCATCCTTGTCCTTCATTTATAATCGTATAAGGTCAGTCAGTGCAGATACCCAGTTACGCTCTATATAGAAGAGACGGCGGTCACGTGAAAGAGAACACGCCATCATTGTCCTTCGTATATAATCTCATACGACCATTCAGTGCATATGTAATGATGGCTATCCGCTATATAAGAAAGACGGTTGATACGTGATAGAGAACGCATTGTTCTTGTTTTCTATATACAACTACGGTAAGATAATAAATCTACGCAACTGGAGCGTCTTTTTCGTGAATTCTCTATTTAATTGGATACAATTCCATGAACTGAACTCGAATATGCGCATTATTTTTCGAAAGATCATGGATTTATATTTCAAGTTGTGAAAGATGGTTCTATGAATATCATACAGTTACTGGTTCATTTGGCTTGTCCATTTAATTAAAAAAATCGTGTTATGTCCTTGTATACAGTTTTCAACTTTCGGGTCAAGTTTTATGCTCCTGCTTCGATGGGTCGATGTAACTTTTTACAGAATACTTAGTTACCCTTGAAAACATTAAGAAAAACAATCAAATTCTGTTGAGAAGATAAAGTGTGATACCATTACGCTTGGACGAACTCGTGGGGAATGGAAATCGAAATATAATTGCTTTTTTGTTTTAGACACACGAGACAACAACAATGGCAAACAAGCAAGTCGAGGCGACGAGGGTAAGACGAAATGCTTTTCTTGTTCTGCTGCAATCGTTTTCGAATGATCATTGATTATTGAAACCATATTCAACTCAAAGCCCGACAGCACTTGTATCGTAGGCGCAAAGATTTCTCGCAGAAGATAGATGAATGAAAGTTTTGTTTTATGTTTCTAAGCTAGATGTGAGACAAAGGATACTTGTCAAAAGTTGAAAGCAGCAGGATTTGTTTGTTTTATCTTTTAGGATGATAAATTCGGATACACAATTCATACTTTAAAGGATCGACACGATCTCCGTACATCTATTGAAGAACTTAACATGATTTCATGGCCAAAGTTTCTAGCGCAAGACATCGTTACGAACAATGCATGGGACGTTTTGTTCAAGGAATGGAACGAATATCAAGTAGTAATCGTAGATAACAATGGAGATAAACTTATAGGTGTTGGACTAACAGTACCAATACATTGGGACGGCAATATCAACACATTACCTTCCGGCTGGGAAGCTGCTACTCAGCTAGGACTAGATGATCTAGCTGCTGGAAAAAGACCTACAGCTCTGTCTGCTTTTGCAATTATGGTGAACCCTCAAATGCAGAAGAAGGGTATTAGTGCTCTTATTCTTAAAACAATACTCAACATAAGTCGACAACATGGTTTCCATTCGTTCGCCGTCAACGTCCGTCCGATTCTCAAGATGAATTACCCGTTGATTCCTATTGAAACATATGCATACTGGACAAATGACAATGGAGAACCATTTGATCCTTGGATGCGCGTACATTTCCGAGCAGGTGCAAAGCTAATAGGCGTTTCTCCACGTGCCGTTCTCGTCAAAGGAACGGTATCCCAGTGGCAGGAATGGACTAAAATGGAATTCCCTGACAGTGGAAGGTATATAGTTAGCGGTGCTCTTACATCAGTTACCATACAACACGAACACAACTTAGGAATTTACTTTGATCCCGCCGTTTGGATGATTCACACCACTGGTTCTGTTTGATATACGAAATAAACGGACATCTGCCTTTGTATACATTCGATTTCATTTTGTTCATGTACATGATGTAAAAATAATAAAAAATAGTTTCTAATAACTTACAAGTAGAAGAATTGATTAAATTCCATATCGACATGAGCACTTTGTCTTTCATCTCCATTTTAATAAACGATACGTCTTTGAGATAAACTCGCTAGACAGGATATCATCTTAAACATGACCGGATGATTTAGTCAGCTGATATTTCATATACAAGCGGATGTACTATTCGCGAGATAATAGAAATATCAGATGTTTATCTTTCGCCTAGGCGACGATATATGTGAGCTCCTTCTACTGATGATTACATACACAACCATGTCCTCGAAAAATAAATATCTGAGTTTTGTTCCTGTTTATTAAGTTTCTTTTATCAAATGAGCTTCATAAGAAAACTTATGCTGTTGTGGTTTTGGCAAGTCTCAATTCTGCATCGTCTTCAAGACCATATAGTACTTTATAGTCCACTGCATAGTCGAATAGACCACCACCCGAGCAGATCCATGGATTGAGTTCAATAATAATCATTGTCCCATCTTCTAGTATAACAACGTCAAGAACACAAATTGATGGAAGTTTAGGTGAATGTGCATAGTTGTTAATAGTATTTACAACTGTATCAATATATTCTTGTGAATGATCTAATTCTGCATACCAATGTTGTTGCGTAGCCGCTGTGACTTGATTTAACCATATGAATAAACGAAATTCATTCTGTTTAGTGATCAATGAATTCCATGGTTTGAGGATGATGTAAGTAGGTTTATTTCGATGTTGCCACTCGACTTTGTACAGAGTCGGACTATTTGTAATTACATTTAGAACATCTTCAGCCGTTTGAACGCTTTTGACATTGAAATCATGTTTACTTGACTGTGCAGATAGTTTAACGAACCATGTTGGATGAGAGACCATTGCTGCTCTTATCAATGGTAGTAAATATTCAATGGCATCTCGTTCGAGAAAGTTCGTGATTGAACGATCGGTTTGCATTCGAATGAGAGTAATCTCACCCATTTCACCTTTGTGTTTATTTGGAATAGGGATAATATTGGCTAATCCCATCGTTTTCTCATCATGATGATGCTGATAATCAAAAGATTCGTGGTATAAGATCAATAAATTATTGAATCGATCGGACGCGGGAGTTTGAGGCGTGTAAGGAAACGTAAAATCATCCTCTACTCTATATTTTTGTGCGATGAGATAGTCTAAAACAGATTGCGAAAGACTTTTGAAGAAAGGACGCCATAAGATAATTTCATCATTGAGTTCTCGGATCGGTGCTACTGACATAACGTTACACGTATTTAATGGACTAGTAGCCTGAATATCAACATATTTGACTTGCATAGTTCAATTTTACTTGACGCAGCTATTTGCACAAGGAAAAATATCTAAAAGAAAGATGATGAATAGATTGATTCTTGATAACTGGAGCGATTCTTTCGAAACAACATTGAAACTTTCACTGCTTTACCTATGCGTTTACCACGTGAAGTTGTTGTTTTTTCTAAACAGCATAACAGAACTGAAAAAAGAGGAACGACAAACGCCAAATTCGAAGGTAAAGGTGTGAATATATTTGTGCCTCAGCACACACACCTCTTTCGAATTTTCTGTCTGGAATCCTCTGCTAAAAGGATGTCATTAGATTTGTCCTACAGCTTCAAGAATAGAATTGAAACGATGGGCATATTTTCTTGCGATATATTGCAGCTAGAATTTTATCGAACGATCTGGTGTATCGTATTAATGGACGAGATCAAAATTCGATTAAGTTCACACCCTCACCCTTGGGAAAACAAACGAAAAAATTCACTCAGATTTATTCGTGATTATAAAATGAATTGTATATCGGTTTATTGTTCGCGTTTATCGTACATTACCATGAGCACTGGGTAAACAATCCAAGCAAAACTAAGGAAACGTTGTTGTTCATTGTTTTCTTCTTGTTTTCGACGCTTTCGCTGTGAGTTTTTATTCGATCGATTTTCTCCGATTAGCCATTTATATGTAACACGAAACCATGCCGATGCTTTCTTCATGATTTCACTATTCTTTGTTATTTCATTTCGAGCATAAAACTCAAATAAGGTAAATTGCTTTTGCCAAGTTAACTTTTTCGTTACATCTGACCATTGAAAATCGTCATCGACTTCTTCTTGACGGTAAAGTTCCTCATAAAAGATGCGTAAATATCTAACACAAGAGTGAAAACTGTCGTCGAATAAATGAGTTACTTACTTATCTTGTATGACATGTACCGCATAGCTGATCTCATTTCTTAGATCGAATAATTTCGATTGTTTCGCGTATGGTTTCGAAGTAAATTTAAGAATGTATCCAGAGACAAGTTCCGCTTCACTGTGAATTCCATATTGTCGCATAACTTGTCTCAGCTCGAAATCATATTCATTCTTTGTTGTCAACGCTGATTCCATATAAGCATCTGATCCGCGAACAATTAATGTTTGATAAGGAAAATTCAACAGATTCGTGTCGTTGGTTTCTTGACTTGAATGTAGACGTTCTTCGAATTGTTTAACATCGTCGTATAATTGACCAAATATACTTGTCGCATGATAACTTTCTTTGAATTTGTTCTCCATAAAATGAGGATATCTCGAAGGACGAAGATCTTGCGTTAANTTCAACAAGGTTTTTTCTTCTGTCAACGACGATTCAGGTGCATCTCGTTTAAAACATATCTTTCTTGAAGGATTACTCACGTTAAACGGACCGTTATGAGTAAACCAATTCCACAACCTCAAGAAACATTTTTAATCGGCAATGTCAAAGATGTTGATCCAGATTTCTTTGTAGAATCATTGCAAAGACTTCAAGAGCTATATGGTGAAATTTTTCGATTGACTTTTTTTAAAGATAACGTTATAGTTGTATCCAGCCATGAGCTTATCAATTTCGTATGTGACGAATCGAAATTTGATAAAAAAGTGGCGGCAGCTATATCAGAACTACGAAACGCAGGCGGTGATGGTCTTTTCACAGCTCATACATCGGAACCGAATTGGAAACTTGCTCATAAAATCCTAATGCCCGCTTTTGGGCCACAAGCAATTCGAGATATGTTTCCTAGTATGATGGACATCGCATCTCAACTGATCCTTCGATGGGAGCGATTCCATGGAGAAGAAATTGACGTTTGTGACAATCTTACACGATTGACATTAGATACAATTGCTTTGTGTAGTTTCAATTATCGGTTCAATAGCTTTTATCATAGTAAAATGCATCGATTTGTCGAAGCAATGATCAATGTACTTATGGAAAGTGGCCGACGTTCTCAACGACTTTCTTTACAAAATACTTTGATGGTAACAACAACACGGTGGTATTATAATGAAATAGCTCATCTTCATAATCTATGCGATGAAATTGTGAAAGAAAGACGAGAAAATCCCAACGATGTTAAAGATTTACTCAATCGTATGATTCACGGCAAAGATCCCGATAGTGGTTATCAATTATCTGATGAAAATATTCGTTACCAAATGTTGACATTTTTAGTAGCTGGCCATGAAACAACATCCGGTCTACTTTCGTTCGCTTTGTACTATTTACTGAAAAATCCGCACACATTACAAAAAGCACAAGCAGAAGTTGATCAATACGATGAAATAAAAATCGACACGTTAAACAAATTAAAGTATATCGATGCTGTCTTAAAAGAAACACTTCGTTTGCAACCAACGGCACCAGGATTTATTCTACAATCGAAAGAGGATCGTGTTGTCTTACCTGGTGGATATGAAATTCGAAAAGATGATTCCATCATCGTCCTTTTACATAAATTACATCGTGATCCAAAAATTTGGGATCAACCCGAAGAGTTCATTCCTGAACGTATGCTAAACGGTGGATATGAAAATCTTCCAGCGAACGCCTGGAAACCATTCGGCAATGGTCAACGTGGTTGTATCGGTCGACCTTTCGCGTGGCAAGAAAGTCTTCTAACAATTGCGCTTATTTTGAAACATTTCAACCTTGAATTTGTCGATCCATCGTATAATCTTCGCATTAAACAAACGTTAACTATTAAACCAGAAGGTTTCAAAATACGGGTTCGATCGCGACAACAAATTGATATTTCGTTGAGAAAAGATGTTAAACAATTGGAAAACACGTTCGAAAAAGCTAAATCGAACGACACGAGAAATCTTCGACCAATGGCCATTCTTTTTGGAAGTAATTCTGGCTCATGTCAATCATTTGCAGAAACATTAGCATCCGAAGCGCCCTTATATGGTTATAATGCTACTGTATCTACTCTTGATTCTGCTGTGGGTTCTCTTCCTCTTGACCAACCTGTTATCATCATTACAGCATCGTATGAAGGTAAACCATGCGAAAATGCAAAACAATTCGTTGCTTATCTAGAATCAAAACCGAAACTAGAAGGTGTAAACTATGGTATATTTGGTGCTGGCCATCATGACTGGGTAAAAACTTATCAAAAAATACCACTTTATATTGATCAATTATTGGAAAATGCCGGAGGTCAGCGAATTATTGAACTTGGTGAAGGTGATGCTGGAGGAGATTTCTATGGTGCGTTTGAAAGTTGGAAAGAAAATCTGTTTCAAATGTTACGAAAAGGCACGGGTGAAGAAAACGTTATTAGCGAAGAGAAACTTTCAATTGAAGTTGTTAATTCGAAAAGAAATTTCGGGCAGATAACAATGGATATCGGTTTTGTTCTTGAAAACAAAATTCTCGTTCAAGCAAATGAGATTGTACCGACAATACGACATTTGGAAATTAAACTTCCGAAAGGACAAACTTATCATACTGGGGATTATCTTGCAATATTACCATCCAATCCAATTGAAATTGTTTATCGTGTTCTCAAACGCTTTAATTTAGCTACAGATACGCAAATCAGAATTCTATCCTCGACAAGTACTTTCTTTCCAACTAACAATCCAATCAGTGTTTTTGATATTCTCAGTGGTTATGTAGAATTATCACAACCAATTAGTAAAAAACAAGTCGAAATTCTAGCAATATTATGTAAAAATGAAAAAGAACAAGAACAACTTCTTCGTTTGGGTGAAAATTTATATGAAACCGAAGTTTTAAACAAACGTGCAAGTATATTGGATGTACTTGAATTATATCCATCATGTGAACTTTCATTCGCACAATACCTTCGCATGCTACCATCACTTCGTGTTCGACAATACAGCATCTCTTCAACGCCATTGTGGAATGCTGAAGTTGTTACTTTGACAATTGATATACTGAACACTCCTGCATTGAGTGGAGTAGGACAGCATATTGGTGTAGCATCGAATTATTTAGGGAATTTGAAAGAAGGTGATCGAATCAGTTGTGCCGTTCGAACGAGTAATGCTCGATTTCATCCGCCAGAAGATACGAAAATACCCATGGTGTTGATTGCAGCTGGAACTGGCATTGCACCATTTCGCGGTTTTATTCAGGAGCGAGCAGCACAATTAGTATGTGGCAGAAAAGTTGGACCAACAGTTCTTTATTATGGATGTCGATCGCAAGATGATAACTTATATTTTGATGAACTCGATCAATGGTCAAAGCTTGGCGCTGTTAAACTACGAATTGTTTTTTCTCGACAAGCGACCAGTGAGAAAAGATATGTACAGGATTTATTATGGGAAGATCGGGATGAGATTAAGAATTTATATTGTAATGGTGCACGTTTTTATACATGTGGAAGTGCAAGGAAAGTCGGCGCATCCGTGAAAACGTGTTTTATTAAGATCATTCAAGATGTTAAACAATGCGATGAAGAGGAAGCATCAAAGATTTTAGAAGAAATTTCTCAGGATCGATACAGTGTTGATGTTTTCACATGATAGACTAAATTCTTTCATCTGTATAATATGTGATCATTTTCAATAAACAAAATATGTATTCTCAGAAAAAAATGTCTCATCGATACTGTTTTAACCATCGATTGCGCAAAAGTTCAATCAAACATACAGCTTCTTGCAGTCAAATCAATATGAACTTTTCCCGCTATTCTATGTTTGTGTATTACAGATGATAAATCACAGCGAGTTCAAAAGCATTCGAAAGTTAAACCATGTAATTTACCATCGTTTTCTGATTTAAAAGTTTAACAGAATGCATCATTTGCTCGAGTTTGAATAAATAAATATAACAATAATTAAAACTCTTTACATAGGATTTGCTTCCAATCAAGTCTGACAATTTCGTAATGTCAAAATATTATGCTGTAAATTTTTTACCATCACAGCTTTTCCTCCTTATGTGTCGCTCATCCGTATTATGCATGTTGAAGTTCACTCTTGTAGAATTAGGACGACGTATAGATAGAAGTTCGGTTTGTTGTAAGTGAAATCGAAAAGCAAGATAGATTAGACGATCTTTCCGACTTTTCTCTCGGTTTTCTAATCATATCAACACTATTTGTTTATATGTTGTATAATTTATGTATATACTTTCATATGAAACACAGTTATCATTCAAATAGTATGATATACTTAGCTCATTAATATGCACACCCAAAATAACGCCTTCACTCTCATTCAAAATAAAGTGACAACGTTTGTGACTGTGAATTACACGTTGTACCAGATATACCTCCCCAGTAGGTGTTTCCCACACACGGTCTAATAGCATAACCTGCGTTACAAGAGCAGACACCATTCGAATTTATACTAAAACCACCCCAACATGTATTAATACTCCAAATAGCTCCATTTGAATTAATAGTAATGGTACCGTTGTATTTTAAAGCTGCTGCAAGCTCAGTAACGAGAAATGAATCTGTTATAGTCACTCCCGTGGCATCATTTGATCCATAAATGTGCATTTTCGAATAACTCTTACAATTCAAACTGCTTGTAAATGTTTGCCAAGTTGTGCATTGAGCTGTTGTTGGTACTACAAGATACGTGAAAGTATCACTATACGAAGCTGCGCATGCTATCGAAAGATAATACAATGTACTACTAGAAGAAAATATCTCAATTCGATCACTTACGAGTTGAATTGGTCGCGTCTACGAAATATAAAGTAATGAGTGAATGAGGGAGTAAGACAAGTACTTTGTTGTAGACTTACCAAGTACAATGACAACAATGGGAATGACCAAAGCTGCCAATGCAACAAGGGCCAATAGAATCAATAGTTGCAGGCACATACATCGTGAAATGGAACATCTAAGTAGTCGAAAAATTGGTGAAGATAAACAAGTGATATAAAAGACAGACTTGGATTTTCTTGTTGTTGAGGCATTGGTTAGTTGAGTTATGTTAGTAATTTCTAATTGTTTTGGTGGTTTTTTCGCAATCGGTCTCGAAGAAGACATAGTACTGTTCATGTCAATGTGATTAACAACAAATGTATTCTGTGCAGAAATGATTGAAGATTATTTTCTTTGTACTTTCACCACTCAAAATGCAATGCACTCAACTTTTCTCTGGAAGAAAGAAAATGAAGCGTTTGTCAAAGTAGAAAATTGTATTCGTGATGCACAGAGATGAATGAAACAAACGTGTTTTTCAGCGGCAATGTTACTGTAGTGACATGATTTGGATGTTGCAACACACAATGCGAGAAATGCTTGCATTCATTTAAAGGATAAGTAAGGTAAATATTTCTGTACTTATGCTCTCATAACGTATGAGAGCTTTTAGCTCAGCATTTTCATGCCCTCCCATTCTCGCTTATCCCGTTAATACTAGTGAATATTTTCTGAGCACTTCTCTTTTGTTTCGATTGCTCTCTTTCACGCGGAGAGATATTTTACAAGCACAAGTTCTTGAGCTGACGTTTAACGTTACTTACTTTCTAATCGATATTAAAGTGATCATGAAAATGATCAAGATCAATTATGTGTAGGGTATTTGTCTAAAGGTCGAATGTCCGATACTAGTTAGAATACTTTCTTTAGTGTATTGATCGATAATATTTATTTCTTCTAACTAACATCGAATAGTAAACGAAGTACTTGACAAAAACGACATCAAAACGGAAACGGTATAAATATAAACAACATACAAAGAAAAAGAATTCACGTATATAAAAGACAAATGATTCGTATTCTGATTAAGCTCACAAAAACAACATCAAGGGAATGTATATCGATAGTTCAGTTGTGTACTCAACCATCTTTTAAAAATCACGGCGTCTCGAAGTGGTCGTTGGCAAGTGTTGTAACTCTGTGCCTATGATAGGTACTACGGCAAAACGATTGCAACACGAAATTGCTTTTCTCACTTTTCCATGTAACTCATCCAAAGTGCTCAAACATACAAAAGGAAACAGTGGTGGCATGCACATAGCTACCGGGATTGCCCATAGACTGAAGTCTACTCCAAAAGTTGGATCATACAGCATTTGTCCTATTTGAACGACGAAGTAACCACCATTTGTCAAAAGAAATAAGAAACACATGCTGAATAATTGCACTGCCATTTTACGATTCTTCTTCCACGTCATTTGTCTGCCCATTCGAGTCTTTTGCTGAACAACTCGAATAAACAGTAAAACATTAAAAATGAAAATCAGCAGCATCAATGCAAAACCGTGAGCAATCTGCTCATATAAAGCCATCACAGCATTTGTCCGCAAATAACAAGCTGGAACACAGTATGATGTATATTCATCATAGTAATTTTCACATGGGTAGAAAAATATAAAGTAAACGTAATAAATCATTGGATAAGTTACGCAAATCATCAAAGGTGTATAATGATAAGCCACACGTTTTCGATGTGTGTTGAAGACATACGTATGGAAAATGAGAATATGCCGTTCGAATGATGACCATGTCAAAAGTAAAAAGCAGGTTGTAAATAAATAAAAATCAATGAAATAAAAGTAATAACAATAGCTGAGTGTCAGAGGCCGATTTACACCTAAGATATAGTAACTCAGCTGTCCCGGTACATCGGTTAGAGTTTGAAGACAATTGCTAATAAGTAAAAGAATGATGACATGATTGTTAGCAGCGCGATAAAGCGTTTTCGTTGATAAGAAGTGATGAAGAACAAAAATTGAACATGGTACGGAAAAAATTGCAATTGTTAATAAGATACTGAACTGAACAGGTCGGCTCGTTGGAATATAAGGAGCGATCGTTGTCGTTGTCGTAAGATTACTGAATGTTGACATAATGAAAAATCTAAATTATGACAACACAGTTCTTTATTCAACAAACACTCGCATCGCAGAAAAAGAGTGACATAGGAGTGCTACTCTTTTCTTCATCTTCACTCTTACCGTCAAGTAGTACAAAGTGTCCTTTTCTCATTACAGGTTTTTCAGTATACTTTTAGATTGTTTTTCACTTTGAAAAACAAGATTAACAGACAATCTCTCTGTTCCACTCGTTCTTACTGCTTTTGTGCCAACAGTCAAACATGACAGTTGACGTTCATCTGAGACAAGCAGACTCAGAGACAGTCTAAAAGGAGATCGAATGTATGAAACATCATTCGTCTTACTTTACAAAATTTGATTTTGCCTCTTTAGTCAATATAGGTGAAGAAAACACTCTTAAAGGATTATCTAGACACGAGATATAAACACATGACGATGTGACACTCCGCCATTCTCCTAACAGATAATTTCTTTGGTACTATTTTCAACTAGTCTTTCAACATGTGATGTAAGCTTATTACATTATAGCGTTGTTGCTGTGAGAAGCTCTAAACATTATCTCTATATAATCTGTCTAGTAATAAGATCATCACTTACTTTTAGCATATGATGAAAACTTTCAGAATGGCTCAATCGGATATTTTCTTCTAGAAAACATGGTGTCACTATGTAACTAGTTTTGATTAATCAGCGAGCATACTCAGAAAGACAACGCTTCGAATTTGTAGACTATGACTTTCCTATGTTGAGGACATTTTTATAATCGACTTAAAGGAATAACCACTAAAATGATGTATTCATTGCTTTTAATCAATGTGAAATTGGTATCACGAAACAAAAGAATTATATAAAATTTTTCCAACCGTTTTCGTGTCGAAAAAAATATTACCATTTGATACGGAATAGGCCTACGACAGTTCCAGTTTAGTTCATCAAACTAGAACTTTTAAGCAGTTCTAATTCAAAAGAACTGTGATGGCGAATAATTTCCTACTCAAAGAACTCGACATGAACTCGTAGCTTGAAAACTCTCCTATTGTGATGTTTATGTTCTTTATTCGTTCCTTGATGCGCTTGATTTGAAAAGATATGCGTGATCTAATAAGAATCTGTGGGATTGTCGACTTAAACGTTGTTTGATAGTCTCTGTATGTCTGATCCTTCGCGATTAACAATATGCGACTCGTTTCCTTTCGTAGAACCACGTTTGAGTCGACGATCTAGCAGATTCTTATTAGATCACGCATATCTCTTCAAATCAAGCGCATCAAGGAACGAATAAAGAACATAAACATTAGCATACTATATACAGAACTTATGCGAATAAAAGCTTTTAACCAGAGGATAGCTTTTCTACAAAAGATATCTAAAAGAATACACGTTCACCTACCAATATTTCTCCTGTCGAAACAGTTGCAGTGAAGCTCAGCTGTGCAGACAAGATGATCACGAGAAAAGTTCTATAAAAAGAACCAATTATCTTCCATGTTGACGTAGGCATCACGTCGATCGTTTCCATTATTTTTAGATTAAATCTCAGATTAGATAATAAAGTAGTTTTCTTTTGATGAACATAAATATTCAAAATGCTACGTAGAAACAAAATAATCTCTCCGAATTATGTCCCATATAGAAACACTTCATTTTATCAAGCAAGTCATGTTCCACAACAGGGTTAATTTTGAAATCTATTCATATGTATCCTGTGACTTGATCTGCTTATGTCTGACAGATGATGCGTTTTTGACAGTTTTATTTTTATTCAAGAATGAACTGAATATTTATTTAGTGGAAAGATCTAATCTGAATTCAGTTTTCATTAGTTTACTTGCATGTCACAAGTCATATCTTTTCGCAGCTAACGATTTTGTACGTTGTGCATTCGTGCGAAGTCTGATATAGACTTTTTCTTCAATTTGACAAGTGTATTCATGCGATTCTCACGGTTGATACGTTTGCTCGTAATGCGTTCAGGATAACCACGAAGGAACATATTTGTAACGTGCTAAAAATCGGCAAAAATGAGTGAGTATTTAAATAGATGAAAGTAATACCAAAGAAAAAAAATTTTGCACTGAAGTCGTTCTCGTCGTGGGTGTTAATGATCTCTTCGTACATTGCGATTAAAATCAGTGCTATTTACGCAATGGTTCATGATCGATTAGGCACACAGGATGTTTAACCTGATTGAAATTTTAGAATTCTTTCTCGTCGATGCTTTTCTCGATGCACAGATCGTAAACATAAAGTTTGTATTTTGTTCATGTGATCTTCCTCTTATTTGAAAAGGCTAACGCTGACCTTCAATCTACTACAATCAAATCCAATACACTTTTTCTCCTTATATACCCTTTTCAGTAAATAAAACTACTATTTCATTTACTGCTTACTTCTCCATAGTGCACGAAATCCATGCTATCTACATTGTTGAGCGATTTAATAATTTGTTGGAAATTCGGCTCATGAAAGTATGCCAGGCTATATCTCTCTTTTTGAGTAAGGTGTACTTTGTGAGGAGTAGAGAGTAGAGCACCATCAGTGAGTAATTGAAACATGTCACCTGGAAACACCACTAGAGTAGAACGGACTGGTTTGACATAGTTCCATTCTTCAGAATCTTCATACATTCCAGCACTGGATTCTGAAGGTAGCCAATTACGATGACGAATTTCTCCATCGATGGGCGGTCGAATAAACAATCCACCAGCATCGTCCTGGGTAATAATGACGAGAAAACCATAATCTGTATGTGAACCAGTTCCACGTAACGACTGAGAGGAAGTAGAAGGGTATCGAAGAAGACGTGCATGATGCCAACCATCGGTAGCTATTGATTTAAGAGAATTGAGATTTTGAAGACCCAACCCCAATGAAATGAGTTGTAACAAACGGTCACCAATAGAGCCAAGCTCTCGTAGATATTTCTGAAGAGCTTCTTTGAAGGTAGAACTAGGCCATGGGACAGGTCCATGTCCTGGCCATCCATCTTGCACGCGTTTATCGGTCAGTGGCAAATCTTTAACGAGAGTAAAGATTTCGCTGGAGTCAGCTTCACCGGCTGTTAATTCTTCTCCACTAGCGACATATCCTGCAAAGGTGAGATCCGACACATATGACAACTTTTCGGACGTCGGACGTGCAAAGAATTCACGGGACGCTTTAAATGCCAGCTGCGAAGATGTATATACGTCGGGAGTACATGCGACTTGAAACATTCCTTCTGTCTGCCACTCTAATACCATACTTTTACCCAATTCAATATCTGCTGCGTTGCCAACAACCACTGGCGGAATATAGAATGTTTTCAGATTTGCCATACGGTTCAGTCTATTAGACCAATCAGCTATACGTGGAGTGACAGTTGAAATTGGTGCAATATTCGAATCATCAGTCATTTTTTAATCTAGAATTGAAAAGTACACTGATTCAAAGCTGCGTAACATCATCGAATAAGATGTGTTCTTCGTGTCTTGGACATTCGAACGAGAACCTTTTTCTTTCGCACAGTAGAATGTCTGACCGACGAATATAACACTCATAATTTTTATGCACAAAATGACTTTCAGTTTGTGTATCCAGCTTTTATTCTTACTTGTTTTCTTTCCGTGGAGCATACGAAATTTTAATCGATTTCTATCAACAAAGATAAATAAAGACGATATCAATGAATCTGAAGAAGAGTCGCATAAGTAAAAATTGAAATAGATTCCATTAGCAGTGAGAATGTTCTATACCATCAGCTTTCAAAGCATGTCATTCGAATGAATATTTTAGTTCAATAAGTAACTCAACTTACCTGATTTAGCTACTTTAAACGAACGTCTATTATGATTATACTTCCATATAGAGAGGATGCAGTCGAATGAAGGAAGGCGTATCGTCCTTGACCTTCATTTATAATCGCATAAGGTCAGTCAGTGCACATACCCGGCTACGCTCTATATAGAAGAGACTACGGTCACGCGAAAGAGAACACACCACCATTATCCTTCGTATATAATCTCATATGACCATCCGCTATATAACAAAGACGGTTGACACGTGATAGAGAACGCATTGTACGGTAAGATAAGAAATATACACAACTGGAGCGTCTTTTTCGTGCGCTCTCTATTTAATTGGATACAATTCCATGAACTGAACTCGAACATGCGCTTATATTTCAAGTTGTGGAATATGGTTCTATGAATATCATAGAGTTGTTGTTCATTAGCTTGTCCATTTCATTAAAATCTCGCTATGCCCTTGTACACAGTTTTTAACTTTCGAGTCAAGCTTTATGCTCGTACTTCGATGGGTCGATGTAATTTTTTTTATAGAATATTTAGCTGTCCTTAAAAACATTTAGGAAAATAAACAAATCCTGTTGAGAAGTCTAAGGATGATACCATTACGCTTGGACGAACTCGTAGGGAATGGAAATCGAAATATAATTGCTTTTTTTATTTTAGATACGCGAGACAACAACAATGGCAAACAAGCAAGTCGAGGCGACGAGAGTAAGACGAAATTGTTTTCTACCATATTTCTGATCTAGATGTCAGACAAAGGATACTCTTCAAAAGTTGAAAGCAGCAAGATTTGTTCGTTTTATCTTTTAGGATGACAAATTCGGATACACAATTCATACTTTAAAGGAGCGATACGATCTCCGTGCATCTATTGAAGAACTTAATACGATTTCATGGCCAAAGTTTCTAGCGCAAGACATTGTTACGAATGATGCATGGGATGTTCTGTTCAAGGAATGGAACGAATATCAAGTAGTAATCGTAGATAACGATGGAGATAAACTTATAGGCGTCGGACTAACAGTACCAATACATTGGGACGGCAATATCAACACATTACCTTCCGGCTGGGAAGCTGCTACTCAACTAGGACTAGATGATCTAGCTGCTGGAAAAAGACCTACAGCTCTGTCCGCTTTTGCAATTATGGTGAATCCTCAAATGCAGAAGAAGGGTATTAGTGCTCTTATTCTTAAAACAATACTCAACATAAGTCGACAGCATGGTTTCCATTCGTTCGCCGTCAACGTCCGTCCGATTCTCAAGATGAATTACCCGTTGATTCCTATTGAAACATATGCATACTGGGAAAATGGCAACGGAGAACCGTTTGATCCTTGGATGCGCGTGCATTTTCGGGCAGGTGCCAAACTAATAGGTGTTTCTCCACGTGCCGTTCTTGTCAAAGGAACGGTGTCTCAGTGGCAGAAATGGACGAACATGGAATTTCCGGACAGTGGAAAGTATGTAGTTAGCGGTGCTCTTACACCAGTTACCATACATCACGAACACAACGTAGGAATTTACTTTGACCCTGCCGTTTGGATGATTCACACCATTGGTTCTGCTTGATATACGAAATAAAGAGACATCTGTCTTTGTACACATTTGATTCCATTTTGTTCATGTACATAATGTAAAAATAATAAAAAATAGTTTCTAATAACGTACAAGAAGAAGAATCGATTCGTCTTTGAGATAAACTCGCTAGACAGAATATCATCTTAAACATGTCCGGATGATTTAGTCAGCAGATATTTCATATACAAGCGGATGTGCCATTTGCGAGCTAATAGAAATATCAGATGTTTATCTTTCGCCTGGGCGATGATATATGTGAGCTCCTTCTACTGATCATTACATACACAACCATGTCCTCGACAAATAAATATCTGACTTTCGTTCCTGTTTATTAAGTTTGTTTTCCCAAATGAGTCTCATGAAAAAAACTTATGTTATTGTGGTTTTAGCAAGTCTCAATTCTGCATCACCTTCAAGACCATATAGTACTTTATAGTCCATTGTATAGTCAAACAGACCACCACCAGAGGAGATCCATGGATTCAGTTCAATAATAATCATTGTCCCATCTTCTAGTATAACAACGTCAAGAACACAAATTGATGGAAGTTTAGGTGAATGTTCATAGTTGTTAATAGTATTCACAACTGTATCAATATATTCTTGTGAGTGATCTAATTCTGCATACCAATGTTGTTGTGTAGCAGCCGTGACTTTATTTAACCATATGAATAATCGAAACTCATTCTGTTTGGTGATCGATGAGTTCCATGGTTTGAGGATGATGTAAGTAGGTTTATTTCGATGTTGCCACTCGACTTTGTACAGAGTTGGACTATTTGTGATTACATTTAGAACATCTTCAGCCGTTTGAACACTTTTGATACTAAAATCATGTTTACTTGACTGTGCAGATAGTTTAACGAACCATGCTGGATGAGAGACCATCGCTGCTCTTATCAATGGTAGTAAATATTCAATGGCATCTCGTTCGAGAAAGTTCGTGATTGAACGATCGGTTTGCATTCGAATGAGAGTGATCTCACCCATTTCACCTTTGTGTTTATTTGGAATAGGGATAATATTGGCAAGTCCCATCGTTTTCTCATCATGATGATGCTGATAATCAAAAGATTCGTGGTATAAGATCAATAAATTATTGAATCCATCAGACGTCGGAGTTTGAGGCGTGTAAGGAAACGTAAAATCATCCTTTACTTCATACTGGCGTGTGGTGAGATAGTCCAAAACAGATTGTCGAAGACTTTGGAAGAACGGACGCCATATAATGATGTCACCATTGAGTTCTCGAATCGGTGCTACTGACATTACATTACACGTATTTAATGGAGTAGTAGCATGAATATCAACATATTTGACTTTCATAGTCAAATTTTACTTTATGGTTATTTGCATATGAAAAATATCGAAAAGGAATGTGCTAAATAGGTTAATACATTTCATCACTGAAGTGATTCTTTCGCAAGAACATTGAAACATTCATTGCTTTACCTATGCGTTTACCACGTGAAGTTGTTTTTTTTCTGAACAGCATAACAGAACTGAAAAATGATAGAAACGACAAACGCGAAATTCGAGGATGAAGGTGTGAATATATTTGTGTATCAGCACACACGTCCTTTCAAGTTTTCGTCATGAAGAAATCTCATCAATAATTATGATTCGATTTGAATAAAACATCCACTGGCTGTTTCTTCGAGAAAAAGAACGTGATATTACGTTTGAGGCTATGTTTTTCATGGCTACTTTCGTCATTTGTATATATGCAATAGCTCTGAATGTGAATTTGAACATCACTCTACATTCAACTCACACAGTAATCGTGTTTTCAAAGTTTCGGCATACTAGTCTATTATGGAATTTTGAAAAATGGTAACATTTTACTTGAATTTCTGCACTCTGTTTACGTGATAAAATATTCGTTTCGTTTTTACATTACAATTACAATTGATGGCGCGCTGAAAGATAAATAGCTGTTGTTGGCACTACAAGATACGCGAAAGTATCACTGTATGAAACTGCACATGCTATCGAAAGAGGATTTCATGTATTAGCACTAGAAAATATCACAGTTCGATTACTTACGTTTTGAGTTTATCGTATCTAGGGAATACAAAGCGATGAATGAGAGAGGGAAAGTACTTTGTTGTAGACTTATGCCAAGTATAATGACAACAATGGGGATGACCAGGGCTGCCAATGCGATAGAAGAGTCAACAGGATCAATAGTTGAATACACATACAGCGTGAAATGCAACATCTAAGTAGTAGAAGAACTTGATGAATACAAATAAATGCTATGAGAGAACACGAACTTGGATTTTTTTTGTTGGCGCATTGCATGGTTGCGTTATGTGAGTAATTTCTAATTGTTTTGGTGGATTTTTCGCAATCGATCTTGAGGAAGAAAACTTACTGTTCATATCAATGCCAGTAACAAAGAATGTGTTGTGTGCAGAAATGATTGAATAGTGTTTTCATTTTTACTTGTGCAATTCGAAGTTATATACAAATTCGATCTCCATTGGAAGAAAGAAAAGAAAAGCTTGCCGAAATAGAGAATTTTCTTTTCTTTTTTTCTCGGATTTAAGAAGTATTCTTGAAACATGGTGAAGATTAAAACATTTTCAGTAAGAATATTTATGCAGTTACATGATTTGATGTTAGAAAACAATGAAAGAAAATTTTTTGAGGGATGAGTAAACGAAATTAATCTATGCTTGTTCTTTCAAAACAAAGGCTTCTCAGCTAAGATTTGTTATTCTCATCCATCTTCGCTCTTCGCGTTTCTTTGCAACTGTAAAAAGTACATGGGTAGATTTCTATTCACATCGTTCTTCTTATTCTTAATGTCGGCGAAAAGATGAAGACTTTTCTTCGTCTCACACATTATATTGCCACAAACATCAATTAGTTTTTTGTAAGCATTTCTGTTTTATTTCAATTATTCTCTTTTATTTAGAAAGAAATTTTAATGTTCTTGATTGTATTTGTTTGTGTGTTCACATTTTACTATTTGACCGAAAACATAGCGAAGTCATAGAAGATTCTTGAGGGTGTAGGCGTGCATTTATACGACGGTGAACACAAGTTCAATACTCACCCACTCTCTCAAGATGCTTTTTTTGTTAAGTCTGTCGTTTGATTTATCAATATAGTTGTTGAAATGAAAAAATTCGATATGGTTTTCCAGTTTAAATTTCGTGATTTATTGTTAAAAATGTAAAACAAAAAAGAATTAATCAGAGATCTGTGAAATATCTAAAACGTTTTGCTCACGCAGATATTCGAAAACCGGCCCATAAATAACATCAGCCGGACATTCACAATAATCTGCATAGTTTTTTACACCTATTGCGGATAGTGCCATGCTAGCAGCTGCTAGAACACTTGTCCCTACCAATGGATTAACTACGAAACCAATAGTGGCAAGTGCTAACGCTCCGGTACCAGTCGCTAATACCTTGGCTACATCAAGCTTTTTCATTTGTGTGGCAAAAACTGTTAGTATATCAAATTTGCCATTCTTATATTCACCACGAGCAATCCATGATTTTCGCATTCTGTGTTCAACGTCAGTTGTGGCCAATAAAGTACTTTGGTCATCTTGTTTATCAGCTAGACATCGAATCTGTTGAAACAATTTTCGTTTGTGAAGATCAGAAATTCGATTAATTAAAGCATCGAGTTCGTTGACTGTGACACCTTTCGTGAATGTATGAGTTATTGTAAATGTTTCACATATTAACTTAAAAAAGCCAGGTTCAGCTTGAGCCTTTCTCATATATTCGGCAGCATTTTGAGGATTTAATATTTGAATGGTTGGATTCACAGATTCCGTCTCGACATGTTCAAAACTTGCGACCTCCTGAAGAGCCATATAATTTCAACGATTTTATAATTGTATACCGTCGAATGGGTATAAGTATTTTCGATTTGATATTGATAGAGACGCTCAAGTTTTAAACATTTTCCAATAATGCAGAAGGCATTTATAATGGTGAAAGCAAGATTATTGACATATTGTTGATATCTTCCTTCCTTCCTCCGATTATCGAACGTAACGAAGACGTGATAATATTCCCTTCTCCAATATTTGCTTTACGATTTGATGACTCAGAAAGACAACAAAAAGATCCGCTCTGTGTGAACAGCAATCATTCGTTAAATACTAGGTTATATTGGAGACGAGCGGATTTCACCAACAAAGTAGGGTTTTTTCTCAATACAAGATCATATCCATTGGCTCAGAATGATTTTTTTCGATAAGTTGGAGTTTTTAATCTTCCAATAAACTCGAATGGAGAGCAACTATGATGAGTAATATTTATAGCCGAAATATGCAATATCATACAATATGAAAGCATTTAAAAAGCTACACAGCCACTAACAGTTCCCTGCTCATTGTTAGCTTCTTTGTACACATAGAAATCAATCCAAATTTAGATGGCGCAACCATGGTGTGTTACTGGTTTACACTCTCGAGATATTGCAAAATACAAAACTGAATTAGATAACAACACTGCTTGGTTAGGATTCACAAAAGAATCGTTTGATATTAGTTATACTGTAACAAGAGGTATACAAGACAAGGATATGCCCGCTATCATTCAAAAAACAGATGAACTCGTACTCAAAGACGTGCTAAAAGAAGTTATGCTGATTGGTGATGGCGAAATAAAAATTAATCAAAGTGATGTGTTTCAAAATGGTCAATATAGGAAATACTTGGTATTTTATTATCGCCGCTCTGATAATCTCTACGATCTCGTCCGTGTTTATGCCACTCAAAAAGTCGAGATTAAAACAGCTAAGTTAATTACATTGGGACTTGCCAGTGCAGTTAGCGGTGCAATAGCTGGTGCGTTGATAGCTGGTCCGCTTGGTGCAGCTGTTGGTGGCGTTGCTGGAGCAGGAGCAAATACTCTAAAAGCAACTTATGACTATACAACAGTATCAAATGTACTTTCTGGTTATATGTTGGGTGAACTTCAACGATCTAATGTTGTAAAGATCACTAAGGATAATACTGTCGAAATGGTTGTGTGATGTTTTCTTATTCTTTCTTTTATATGAAATAAAACGAGAACAATGATTCGACTTGCTTATTGCGTACGAGCGTGTGTAAGATGAATCCTTTCGAACAAAATATACCTTGAAAACTTTCTATTATTTGCTTAATTATCTTAATAGAAATCCATTATTCCTAGCAATGACAACTACTTATATTTTGATATCTGAGTTTGTTCGTTTTTCAGTTTCTGCGACATAATTTATGTATTGACAATTAAATGCAACAATAGCTGAAATCTTTTTATCACTATCCAAAGTACCGAGGGTGGGTGAGAGAAGTGGCACCTTCATCTTCATCCACACTCAAAAGGTTAATATTAATGATAGTAGTTTGAATGTATCTCTATTCTTATCATTAAAATGAATGATTTTTTTCTTCTTACTCTATAAAACGGTAATCATATACAAAAAAGAAACATCACCATTTGCGTTCTCTTCCCTTATAATAACAAACAAATGTTTTCTAATCATCGAAGATAGAAAGAAGTAACGAGAGTGTAACAAGATGTATAACGTTCTCTCGTCGCTTTGAAATATATTCCTACTATGATAATTATGATGACTATTCGAGGTTATCAATTCTAAAATCTTTGTTGAAATCAAAATTAATTTATCACATAAAATTTGACCACAATTTTTCTACGAATAAAAAACATTCGATAGAATGTTGATAAAAGGACACACCTTGTTGTACACTAAAATCATTCTGTATCAGTTATATTTTTTAGGTTTATGCACTAAAGCGTTACAAGCGTAGAATATGCTTATTGTGAAAGAGTATAGGCACATTGAATAAATACATATTTATCACGAAGAAGAAGTACTAGCACCGAAAGTATCAAATCCAACGAATTAAATCATAACAATCAGAATGAAAATACCAGTAATAAATCATATAATGAACAAGTATGTATGAAATACTGATTAAAAGCGTAGAGTAATATTCTTGTTATTTAAGGATGAAAATTCATTAAAAAGTGAAGGAATGGCAGACGAAACAATGGAAAGTATTGATCTCGACAAAAAAATATCCAACAGCTGTGTCCAATGCTAATCAAACAACTACAGTACAACCTCGCTAATCTGAACGCCAACGGGACTTTTCAAAATCGTTCACAATAACGGGGTGATCATATAGGAGGGGGTTTATGGAGGAAACGTTTCTTTCGATTTAAATCGTGTATTTATACCATTTACTATTGAAAAATATGTACTGGAATGAATTTGAGTGAAAACACGACTGTTGAAGAGAGAATTCGAATCGTGGTCCACATTCTTATCCGTTCTCAAGATTTCCATACAGAATTGATAGCCTGGTTAAGAGATCAAATGAGTAGAAAAAAATTTAATACTGATCTAACAAATAAAGTTCATTTTGTTATGTAAAATAGTCATTGATATTTCTTAATTCTTTTTTGAATAGTGTGTTCACTGGGGTTCTAAATTTATTTCTCAATTCTATGTTTTGCTGTGTTTTTGTTCAATTCGTAATCGCATGTCCATTTTCCAGTTTTCCCTTGAAAATTCTTGAAACAGCTACATACGATCCTTGAATTTATTAGCTCAATAACCGGCCAGAAAAGGGAATGCTCTTCTTTCTTTCTTATAAAGTTTAGTTTTTCTTCAAAAGGAACTTCATAACAGTTTGTGGTATGCAATAATTTATCCTTAATTCTTAAACATACGAGATGTATATGTAATTCCATTTATAGGGAACATTGAAATTAATTTTTTCTCTTTCTCTCTCTGGGGGGGGGGGGAGGGGACCGGAGAGTGTTCGGTATAGCAGGTTGTTCATTGAGGAGGGGTGTTCAGTAAGCGAGGTTTTACTGTATTTGACTTTCATAGTGAAATTTTACTTTATGGTTATTTTCATATGAAAAATATCGAAAAGGAATGTGCTGAATAGGTTAATACATTTCATCACTGAAGTGATTCTTTCGAAACAACATCGAAACTTTCATTGCTTTATCTATGCGTTTACCACGTGAAGTTGTTTTTTTTTCTGAGCAGCATAACAGAACTGAAAAATGAGAAACGACAAACGCGAAATTCGAAGATAAAGGTGTGAATATATTTGTGTCTCAGCACACACACACCTCTTTCGAATTTTCAGTCTGGAATCCTCTGCTAAAAGAATGTCATTAGATTTGTCCTATAGCTTCAAAAATAGAATTGAAACGATGAGCATATTTTCTTGCGATATATTGCAGCTAGAATTTTATCGAAAGATCTAGTGTGTCGTATTAATGGACGAGGTTAAAATTCGATTAAGTTCACACTCTCACCCTCGGGAAAACAAACGAAAAAATTCACTCAGATTTATTCGTGATTATAAGATGAATTGCATATCGGCTTATTGTTCGCGTTTATCGTAAATTTCCATGAGCACTGGGTAAACAATCCAAGCAAAACTAAGGAAACGTTGTTGTTTATTGTTTTCTTCTTGTTTTCGACGCTTTCGCTGTGGTTTTTTCCTTGATTGATTTTCCCCGATTAGCCATTTATACGTAACACGAAACCATGCCGATGCTTTCTTCATGATTTCGCTATTCTTTGTTATTTCATTTCGAGCATAAAACTCAAATAAGGTAAATTGCTTTTCCCAAGTTAACTTTTTCGTTACATCTGACCATTGAAAATCGTCATCGACTTCTTCTTCACGGTAAAGTTCCTCATAAAAGATGCGTAAATATCTAACACAAGAGTGAGAAGTGTCGTCGAATAAATGAGTTACTTACTTATCTTGTATGACATGTACCGCATAGCTGATTTCATTTCTTAGATCGAATAATTTCGATTGTTTCGCGTATGGTTTCGAAGTAAATTTAAGAATGTATCCAGAGACAAGTTCCGCTTCATTGTGAATTCCATATTGTCGCATAACTTGTCTCAGCTCGAAATCATATTCATTCTTTGTTGTCAACGCTGATTCCATATAAGCATCTGATCCGCGAACAATGAATGTTTGATAGGGAAAATTCAACAGATTCGTGTCGTTGGTTTCTTGACTTGAATGTAGACGTTCTTCGAATTGTTTAACATCGTCGTATAATTGACCAAGAATACTTGTCGCATGATAACTTTCTTTGAATTTGTTCTCCATAAAATGAGGATATTTCGAAGGACGAAGATCTTGCGTTAAACGCGGTGCTTTGACACCATTTTTAGCAAAATCAACTGCCGTACTGATAGAAAAAAATAGAAGGAAATTTTTTGCATTAATCGATAATCAATAGTCTATACCTGTGCATTCGCGCTAATTTCAGACACTCTGGAGCTTTCGCTCGCCACGTTGATTGATCAGCAAAAGCCAAGTGACTATTTGCAATCACGCCAAGGCTGAAATTGATCCAGTAACTCAACAGAAGAATATGATAAACTCGTCACTTACTTATCAGCTTCGATGTATTCAACAAAAAAGTTACACACATCTTTGATACCATACACAGTCGATTGATCAATTTCGACTTGCTTAGCATCTTCTACAGCTTGATCATGATAATCGAATGGTTGTTCGTTCTTTTGAAATATCAGGCGCTGATCCTGACAAACCCAAAACGTATCACCATCGAGATCACCACCTGACATCTCTGCTGGATGAGGTCGATCACCNTTATCAGCTTCGATGTATTCAACAAAAAAGTTACACACATCTTTGATACCATACACAGTCGATTGATCAATTTCGACTTGCTTAGCATCTTCTACAGCTTGATCATGATAATCGAATGGTTGTTCGTTCTTTTGAAATATCAGGCGCTGATCCTGACAAACCCAAAACGTATCACCATCGAGATCACCACCTGACATCTCTGCTGGATGAGGTCGATCACCTTTCATTGGAAATACAACCACATTTTTCAGCTTATGTAGTGCAGGAACATCAACTGCTGTCAATCGACGAATATCACCTACACTTAAACGCACGTTACACACTGTCACTAACAAATATTGTCAATTAACCTGGGTGAAAGCATGGATTTCTGGTTATGATCACCGGACCGGCTAGAATTCTTGGACTCAATTCAGCTTCATTTTGTTGTTCGATTTGGATGAACACTTCTCCATATTGAAGAATGTTGGTTTCGTCAACAACACCGAAGATACACCAAGCATTTGGAACGAGTATTCGTGCCTTTATTCGCAATTCTTTCACCAAAAATCCTTGAAGGGCTAGAAGAACGTGTTGAGCAAATGGCTCCATGTTTTTACCAAATCTATTCAGATACTCCAATAGAAATTTCGGATACGCACTTCCACTTGCTCCACCGAAATTTCTCAAGAACTCGCAGGCTTGTTGAGGATCTTTCGTAAGCACTTGTAAATCATCAAGCATTTTGTCCTGCATCGAAAGAAATATTTCATCTCCAATACCCAGGCATGATAATAGAAGAATAATCTGCCGATTTAGAAAATTAGCAGCTGGCATCGATGATACACGAACAATATCAATCGAATTGTTGTTCGAGTCGAATTTATTCATCGATTCACGAAGATACAACCCAACAGTAGGCTCCTGAATATGATTCGCAACATCTAAACACACCATTCCTGAAATCAATAAACTTCATACATAATTAAAGGCGGTATTCAACTCAGAAACTGACCTTTATAACCACCAAATCGAATTTGAAAAGCACACGGATGATAAGCGTTTTCCTCAATACCTAATTCTTCGTACAACTTGTTCACCAATTGTGGTGAAATAATTCCAATGCCGTCAGTAAAACATGCATTGTTTGACTTCACATCAGGTATTTTTCTATAGTCCTGACGGGTAAGTTCGAGACCTTTTCGAGAAGTTGAAAATGATTGACCCAACTAGAAAGGTAAAAAGCTCGCTTTTACGATGGCGACGATCGGTACTTACTCGAGCAGCCATTTTAGCCACAGGATGAATATGTCGAAAGTCACCCATCCAATCTCGAATGTGCTCCACAGAAATGTTGTTTATTGTTGCAAACATCCAACAGCAATGTTCGCGTAATTGTGAACTTGAAAATGCAAGAAAATTGAATTGTCGTTCACACACATTCACCCCATTTATCAAGATTGCTTTCATACGATTGTACAGTACACCCATATCAGCATTCGCATACTGTAGTTTCTTATAATCTATACAGAGAAAGTCTTCCTAAATTGGAGCAAACTTCGCACAAACCTTCATCACGGAAACTGACACGCAAAAATCCTTCTTGTTCTCGAGCAAATTTCCGTGTCACAGGGCATCTTTCTTCACGGTATGGTCCTTCATAGAGAATAGTGCACGGTGTAATGTAAATTTTCCGAATGAAAAACGAATTCTTGTTGATTTTATGTAATTCATGTTTGGTCACATATATGCCGCTGTCTGAATTTCGACGAAGTTCGTGTTTCCGTCGTAATTCGTTAAGTGCAATGACGAGAAAACGGCTAGGATAACCAAGTTCATCTTTTCGAATTGAACGAACCATAGCACCTGTTAGACACAGAGGCTCTGTTGAGGTCATGTTGACTAACGAACCAGTTGCCAAGAGAATGTCAAAAGATGGAAAGTCAACTTCCATAGGTATGCTTGCTGTTGTTGACGTTCGCTCTACTTCCTCCTCCTCCTCCTCTTCTTCTTCTTGATCCTCATTATCACAAAAATAGTGGAGCCAACGAGGAGCAAATTCGATGATTTTATCTAATAGGAACTTATAGGGCAAATGTCAATTGAGAAGAAGAAACTTACTAACGCATGCAATGAACGTGTCTAATGAACATTGCTCTAAGATTTTATCGAGGCTTTCGTCGACAATCAGATCATGGATTGTAATGATGTGTTTAGAAATTAATTTCATCAGTTCAAATTTGATTTCAAATGGATACCGAGGCCATCGATCATGAAGAAAACGATCAACTATCCGACGATTTTCATTGACCCAGTCAATGTTGGATAAGATTTGAACATGCCGAAGGTTTTCCCTAGCTTTTTGTATGGGAAAAATACAATACAATGCATTCCGTTGTGCAAATTGCCGTGGTGATAAATTATGACAACAAAGAATATTAAGCAATTTTCCATACTCATATACAATTCTCGAACTATTCAATTGAAAAACCCAGGCATTGGCATGGCCGATCAGTGGAGTTCCCGGCATACGCACATCGATTTTTTCATTGGTCTGGGCATCTGAATAAGTCTGAATGATAACCGGTGGTCGTTTCAATTCAACAAGTAAATAAACACTTGAATTGTTGATTAAAACCGGACTAATCTTTTCGCCCTTTAAACTGAAAACAGGAATAATATATAGAAAGAAATATATCAAACACTCACGCGCCAAAAGTCCATTCGAATGTGAGATGCTGTTTGAAATTTTCTCCATAGGAAACGATGATTAAAAATTTTCTTTCTTCCTCATCAATTCGTAAACGACTACGAACTTTTTCTTCATTATTGACAAGTCGATTGGCAATCAGACCGAAGCTATCTGCATTATTCACGCCGGTGATATTGTTCATAGCTGCTCCCATAATCAATGTGCCATAAAGAATTTGTCGAATATCGAAGTCATTTGCATTGCCTAATAATTTTTTATTAGCGATAGATACTTTCGAGTGTGATTGGGATTTCCGGCAATAATCGATCTTTAACTGACGACCTCGGAAGCAAAACTCGCTCGGATTTCTTCCAAAACGATAGAGGATGTGTCGAGCAATTTCTGCCGAACCAAATTCGACGAAACCAATGCAACGACGGCCTGTCTATATTGAAAAATAGGCGAAGATTAACAAAGTGAGAAAAGAAATTTACTTTTCTTACGTTATTCACAAGTTCGAGATTCACGACTTGAAAACCGCGTGCTACCAAAAACTCTTTCAAGTCTTTACCGTTGGCTCTGTAACAGATATTTCCCACGAATAGTTTGGCTGCTCTAGTAGTATTCAATTGTGATTGGTCAATCGTCGAATTCAACGATAAATAGTACGATGAGTCATTTCCATTCGACTGAAATAATGTTGGAGCTTCAATATACCAGCGAATTGAATCACCGAAGGTTGAGAGGGGTGAAGTTTGACCCACAGAGAAACTTTGAATAGCAGACCGAACTGTACAAGCTAAAGATTGATCAATTACGGGTGCAGTATCAGAAGGTACGAATGAATTGTATAATGATGTTAAATGACTTGTTTCATTGACATCCAATGTACCATCTAAACCATCATCATTATGCACTTCATCATTGGCATCATCACTCTCCGACGAAGACATTTTAAATGTTTCTTTGTTACAAAGGAAAGATTAATGTTTTAAAAGAAGAAGTCTTTTCTAATTTTCACTGGGTTTTTTCCCACTAATATTTTTCAGTCATAGGTAGAAATATTTAATAGAATAACACATTGGTAGATATCAATATTTGAAAGTATTTCATTTGTTCTCTTCTACTTCTCTTCCAATAATACTTTTAATTCAACTGGAGACACCTTTTTGCCTACTCAAAAGATAGTTACCACACCAAACCACTGACTCGCCTTTGATGAGTCACAATGTTTCTGTTTTCATTCTACAAATGTTTTGCAGAGTGAAACAAAGTGTCATATGGATCATTACAATGATTGTGCATGTGATACGATCTGATATACATTGGCTACAGAGAGAATATAATCGTATATTATTTATGTAATTCCATATATGAATTCAAGGTCTTTTATTGACAACGAATATGAATTTATTGAGAAAACGCGCTATACAAAACGACACTTATCATGTTATATGTAACATTGGTTTTTAGTTTATGTTGTCGGTATAACCCGTGCTGTTTGCCATTTCAACTGTAGTATTCGTTTGAATTTAATTTGCATTTCTGGCAATGAAAGTGCGCAAACAAATGGATAAAGCAAAATGACAAAATAGGTGAAGAAATTAATGTAAATATAGAAAACATTAATGAAATAATTTGAGACGCTGTAAATGTTTCGTGTAATATAAACGATTGTGTAGGGAAGTAAGATAACAACATATAGAAACGCAATTGACAACGCTTGAATAACCATCTTTCGATGCTTTCGCCAATGGATTGCACGATGCATACGATATTTATGCTGTAAAGTACGTAGAATTAAACCACTGCTAAATACTGTAATGATCACAATCGGCACTATCTGATGAGCAACGAAATCCCACATCGAAAGCGTGTAGTTGTCATACAAACATGGATATATACAAACAAGTGAAGTTGGACGAAGACGATTGTCGCAAGGTGGAAAGAAGTACACAACGAAATAAAAGACAAACCAATAGAGAAGTAGAAATATAAGAGGAAAATAATGAACGAACAGACGCTTCTTTCGTGTGGATACCCAAGAATTATGAAATATCAAAATATGTCTTTCANGCAAGGTGGAAAGAAGTACACAACGAAATAAAAGACAAACCAATAGAGAAGTAGAAATATAAGAGGAAAATAATGAACGAACAGACGCTTCTTTCGTGTGGATACCCAAGAATTATGAAATATTAAAATATGTCTTTCAATCATTGCCCATGCGAAGATCATTGTGTGGGCTATGTAAAGTGACCAATCAATAAATCCTAGAACGAGGCAGAACATGTACGATCGTTGCCAAGCACTCTGCCATGGAAGATAATAAAGCATCCATGGATAGAACGTTAACTCATCGACTAAACAAATGATAAGCAGAACGGTGATGATATGATTGTGAAGCGCTTGACGTAAAACTCGATCGAATAGAAGATGGTACAGAACAAATATTGAGCAGAGTAAGGAGGGAATGAAAACAGGGAGAAGAATCCAAAATTTAGCCATCTCTGGTAATATTTCCATAGTTTTGTCAGAACAGTATTCTTTCAGGTATGCTTAGTGTAGGAGAAAAATATGAAAATGAATACACAATAAAGAAGAAGTATTTATGCGAAAAGGATTTTTCTTCTGCTTTCTCAGTATAAGCCAATTACAGTTCGCTGGTAACTATAATATGTTTGTCTATGCTACATTAAGTCTTCAGTCGATAATGCGTACTATAGAAGTTCATCTATTAATGGAGACAGTGCGATGAGGACAAAATGACAAGGTATGTCATTGCGTTTAGTAGATAAGGGACGCATATCAAGTATTTAACTACACTATGCTCTTCGAAGAAATAGATTTACAACGTAATAATGAAAGTTATTCGCTTCCCTATCGAAATAAATACGCTAAAGAGAATGCTAACAAATATCAAGCAAAGATATCGAATGAATTTCTGTTACCCACATCACATCTCATCGCGAAAAATGTAACTTACGATTTCATTTTCAACGTCTTTTTCTGACATTTAAAAAACATCGAACTCTGAAATACTACAATTCTTCTATATAATAGAGTTAAATGATATATCTGCTAAAAATCCACACTTCGTTAAACATTACTTGCTGATGTCTGTATGCATCATTTACTGTTCCGCCATATGTTAACATGCCATTAGAAGTTTAATCTCAGCACTTTCGTGATCATATGAATTTTATTGTTATTACGCAGCATTTCTATCGTTCCCTAATCGCTTTCATAACTCCCATTGTTGTCTCCTATGTAGTACATGATGAAATGTGTTTGAAAAAATCGGCCACAAAAGAGTAATTTTAACGTTTCCCCACGCGAACAATACTAATTGTTGAAAAAAGTACGCAATCGGCATACTTTCAATAGGCGCTTTGTTTTGAGATCTATTACGTGCATCAAGTGTGTGTACCTGTTTACACGTCCCTCACTTCCTGCAAAACAATTACATCGTCATACTGTGAAAAATGAATGCGAAAAGCTATAGGGTCAATTATCATTGTTTTGTTTTATAGAATTCGGTACAGTGTTCGTAACTATTTTTTATCATATAAATGCACATTGACAAACTTGTGCTCCGTTTAGACGAGTTCAAATGATGCTGTTTCAATGCGTTATATTCATTTTAGTAGCAAATCTTTCACTTTCCACAATTCTTCTATGCATCAACTCGACCGAATGACATACTCGACGATGTCGAAACAGTGCACTTCATACTTTCTGCGAGTTTGCGTCCGTGTCAGTGTTACGTTTGAAGTAAAACTTCAAATTAGGACGTTCGATTATTCTATCCAACTTGTTTGTTTAGATGTTATGATTTGGTTTCATAAGATAATAAAAATCCATTCTGTTCTTTAGATATGCGATACACATACTTTCCGTTCTTTCTCTTTTTTAAATTTTTCGATAGCACATATAGAACAAGAGAATAAACAATCTCATAAAGAATACTATGGTGGCATACATTTTGGTATCAGATTTTTTTCTCCATTTACCCTTAATCATTTTCTTCTGTACTTAATAAACTGATGCGCTTTTTCCTCGATAAAATCGACCTTAAACACGTGATTACAATACAACATATTCTATAAAAGTGAGTTAAGAACCATTTTGCACTCATTAAGATATTTCTATGCCCTCGACTCGTACCGCTCTTGAGCGAGCTCGTTTTGCCACGTCCTCACGTCTCGTTGCATCCCTTATCAATGAAGGTTTAGTCCAGGTCAATGCTGATTCACCGTACATGGTCGTTGTAAATCGTATTGATGATAGTGGTATAGAATACAAGCTTTTTCTTTCGCTTATTAGCCCAGTTCCAGTTGGTAATCTGCAATCATTAGATCCTGCTGATATTGTACCATTTCATATTTATGATGAAAATGGCAAAGAATTTCTCTGTCCAGTGGCGATTGCCGATCGATTCTGGAAAGGATGTACTATTGATTTAAAACAACAATTGATAAGTTCTGTTCGAAATCAAGAGTGGATTTACAATCATCTTCCGACAAAAACTCCATCTCTCTTGTCGTCGGCTATTGAATGGGAACAGTACATAATCGAAGGTCATCCAACTCATCCCATGCATCGCACACGAATCCCTTTCGACGGTTTCGAATCCATTCTATTGGCTCCCTCGATAAAATTTATTTCCATTCCTCGCTCAAATATGGTCATTAACGGCAACTGGGAATCGATTATGAAAGACTATCTTCCATCGACTATGTCACCTGATACTATCGTTTTGCCAGTTCACGAGTTACAAGTAGCCAAAGTACTTTCACTGATGCCATCGGCAACACTTTATTCAAATTTTGAACGGAAAACTCTCGCACAAGCTTCTCTTCGATCGGTCCTACCAATGCCTGCCTTGGATTTACCTGGTTATCATCTCAAAATGTCATTGGCCATTTTGACTACTGGTGCATGGCGAACGATTTCTTATTTCTCTGTTTACAATGGTCCTCGTATTACTCCACTCGCCAAATCCATTGCTCCTGATTGTCTTGTTATCATCGGTGAAATCGCCTCGATTGGATCGAATTCTCTCGATGAGACGAACAGTAAACATATCGCATGTATTCTTCGTGAAGATCCCGAAGTTCTCATGCCTGATGAGTCAATCATCGTAGTACAATGTCTGATCGAAAAAACACCTGATGGAAATATGTCTCTTGTTCGAGCCATTTTCCATCTCGATACTGAAAAGAAATGCGTTGATTTTCTTCGAAAATATGCTGAACTTGCCTGCGCGGCTTTCTTACCGCCGATGCTTAAACATGGATTTTGTTTCGAAGCACATGGACAAAATACACTTGCCAGATTCGATCGACATACTGGTCGGTTAATCGGTTTTGCTATTCGAGACTTTGGTGGAGTGCGAATTCATCGAGAACAATTTGAAAGTACAACACCGTTCAAATTGGATGTTTTACCTGATTCTTGTATTGTTACTGATGATATTACGGAGGTCTATACTAAAGTATTTCACTGTTTTATTCAAGGTCAAATGAATCGATTAGTGCGCGCATTAGATCTTCATTATTCTCACAAAGGCTGGACAATTGTTCGTCAAGCTGTGGAGAAACATATTAGTATTTCTTCACCGGCAGGTCGGTTATGGTTTAAAGAGACAGTTCCATACAAGGCGTTTCTCAAAATGAAACTGGAACATAAATATCGAGATTATATTTATAGTGAAGTACCAAACCTTCTTCTACTCACAGAAAATGACAAGAACTGTTAGTTGTTTTGAAATAAAATATTGAAATCCATCAATATTTGAAAATTAGTTACTAGAATATAAAAATAGCATGGTAATTATTTTATTCTGTGCAGTAGTGAGAATGAGCAATTCATTGTCGAAGTCAAAAACAAGTGACTCAATCAGGTAAAGAAAGTAAAACATAAGAAACTTGATGAAAATGCCATTCAAACTCACTTCTGATCTAAACCCATTTCTGTAGGAGCATATCGAATGGTTGTTAAGTCTTTGCGATAATCGTTCTATTGAAATTCGACCCAATATTGGTAAGTACGTCAAATGTTGTTTTTTGTCGAAATGTTTACTCCGAATGGATTAAAATGGGTCGACCGGATTATTTGAAAGATTATCAACGAGCCTATTTTGTGTGAAGTTCAAAATAACCAAGTTGTTTTAGATCCATTTTATGTTGCAATTCATTCGATCGATTTGCTTCAAATTACAAATCTCGATTCGTATCACTCGTAATCAACGAACAAAAAAAAATTAATGACAGACAGTTTCACTATGTTTTGCATTCTTTTTTATTCTTGAGGGCATGGTTGGGAGTGACATAGCTAAAAGAAAACTCCCAGCCACTCTCGCTCTCTTCACTTTTTCCCACTGATGCCAGAAAAAACACAATAGTTATAGACAAACAAATTACTAATGGCGACTTTATCTCTTTGCTTTCCCACACTGTACATAATCCTATTGCATAAATGCACCAAAATATATGTGAATGCAACCATCACATTCTCATTTCTTACATAAGTTGCTTGAGGCTACTGATAGATAATAGGTGGGAGTAACTGACAATTTCTCGCATAAGTCATACCTTCCTTGGGAAAATGATATGATTTCATCATCTACACATGAAATTTGAGTGTTCTACTGAATCATTATCAAAATAGCATTTTTATCACGTAAAACAAATTTACACTATTTTATTTCCTACTTGATTACGTTCGTTTTTTCCAACAACCTATTCACACAGCATATAAAAAGAGTACAACCAAGAATTTTCAGCGAGAAGTGCGTCTTTTACGTTGGAGAAAAGAGCAAAATTTAAACTCTGATCTTTGAATTATCACGCATAACATTTTGCTTTTTCTTCGACTTTTAGATTATTTTGATTTATTCGACATCATGTCTTTCATTAAGCGTCTCACCGTTCATTACAAAGAATTACAAAAAAATCCAGCTCCTTTATGTCACGCCGAACCTGAAGATTCAGACAAAAGTATGTTTCATTGGATCGGATGGATAGAGGGACCAGAAAATACTCCATATTCTGGAGGGAAATTTCGCTTAATCATCGATTTTCCACCTGAGTTTCCTTTCAAACCTCCCGCTGTACGATTCACTACACAGATTTTTCATCCCAATATTAGTTTAACAGGAGAGATTTGCTTGGATATTCTACACTCGCAATGGTCACCTGCGTTAACTATACGAGGTCTCCTAATATCATTATGTTCATTATTAACCGATCCTAATCCAGAACATGGTCTGAACAAAGAAGCTCTGCAACTCTATCGAACAAATCGACAGATGTACGATGAAATAGCGAATGAATGGACAAAAAAATATGCTACAGAGAAGAATAGTTGATAATCTGTTTTTTCATATGTTTTTGAAATAATATTCGATGCTATAAATCCTTTTTTCAGTCGATGTACAGTGTATCGTTTTAAGTAAAAGACAATTACTATGCATAAAATGTGATCCTCAGCCACATCTAAATCCAATTCGTTCAAAAAAGTTTTTTTTCGTCATTTCGATGCTTGCTGAATTTTACCAAATATTTACCTCACGTGTTCACGCCTTCTTTCATTTTTGTTTGTTGTAAGAACAACATCACGCGATTTGTTGATGTTTTTTCTTCATTTCGATTCAGAATCACTTCCTTCGAGAAATCTATTCAGCGCTCCTACTCTTGGTGAGCTTTATTTCAAGTTGTTTTCATTTGCAAACATATGACGCATAGAAGCTGATGCAAGAATCTCATTCTAATTCTATCCTCCACGTTTCATCAGCATTCCTCACTGACACTCTATTTGTTTTCTAACCGAAGAAACTTCGAAGTGATGAATCATTTATGTGATCTCAATCATCTGTTTTCGCCGATCGAAGTGTTAAACTCGTTTCACTGAAAGAATTGTTGCAACCAATTCAATCGCAGAGTGATGTCATAATACCATTACCCCGCGGGTATCCGTTTAAAAATCGACAAGAGTATCCAAAACCTGAAGGAATTTGAGTGAATTTGATAGACACCCAGTAGGTAACAAGATGGATATCGACGAATCGCGTTTGAAGAAGTTAATGTTTATGACCGAAGTTTAATGAGAACACGTAATGGTATCTAGAAGCGAATATAGTTCGGTACTTTACGCCTAATTTTTTTAGCTTGAGTAGATGATCATACGAAGCGCTCGTCGATGCATCACGTATTAGAGTTAACCCTTAAAAGCCGAAGACGGATTTTGTGAAATGGAGAAAGAATTAATCACATAAATAGAGAGTTTAGACCCCCCAATATGCACAAACCGTGGTTGGAACTGCTGGGTGGGGCTAAAAAAGTTTTCCACCCAGATGGCCTGGGTGAAGTATGATCGTTATAAATTTTTGCTTGGGTGATCCTGTTATACCCACGGAAAAATTTTTGAATAAAAACCGCGGTAATCAACGGTTTAATATATGCGGTTTTGACTGGTAATTTTGAACCGCAAAAGTCAGACCTTTTATTAGGTTTTTCCACACCGGCTAAAATCGCGGTATGTCAAACCGCGGTTATTAACGGTTTTAACGAAAAATAATATACCATCATGATGGTACATAATTTCTGACAGGCATTCTATATTCTCAATCTCTCTACCATCTTCATACGGTCATCTAGCACCTCGGTTAACTCATTAAGCACCACTATCTATTTTTTATTTAAATTCTTCTAATTAGATTCGAACGTCTTACCTTATGCTTACCATCCACTTATTCCATTGAACCATCTGGTGATGTTTATATTAAGATTAAATATGATAGTCTATCTTATTGAAAAGTCTTCATTTAGTCGAATATGTTTCATTTACTAATAGCTTTATGAAAATTTTAGAATTGCTAATAATATTTCTATTATCTCTCCGATTTCTATGATACTTTCTTGGATACTCATGTTCATGATGAGATGTATGTAAATTATAATCTGATTTTATTTATATTTATGATAATTGATTATTATCGTACAAATAAATGATATATTTTAATAGAAAGTAAATAAGATAAATAGATATTTATTAAAATATGCAATTGATAAACCGGAGTATTGTACTGCGTTATGAAAAGTCGAGCTGCATTTCTATTAGAACTTAAATTAGATGTAAATCAATACTTCGAAACATACATAACTATACGAATTGATAGATATAAGTCAATTTGATCAAACAACAACGACGAAATCTCGTATAAATATTATATATGAATTTCTATTATCTCCTGAATATTANCTTCGATGTATTCAACAAAAAAGTTACACACATCTTTGATACCATACACAGTCGATTGATCAATTTCGACTTGCTTAGCATCTTCTACAGCTTGATCATGATAATCGAATGGTTGTTCGTTCTTTTGAAATATCAGGCGCTGATCCTGACAAACCCAAAACGTATCACCATCGAGATCACCACCTGACATCTCTGCTGGATGAGGTCGATCACCCTTCATTGGAAATACAACCACATTTTTCAGCTTATGTAGTGCAGGAACATCGACTGCTGTCAATCGACGAATATCACCTACACTTAAACGCACGTTACACACTGTCACTAACAAATATCGTCAGTTAACCTGGGTGAAAGCATGGATTTCTGGTTATGATCACCGGACCGGCTAGAATTCTTTGACTCAATTTAGCTTCATTTTGTTGTTCGATTTGGATGAACACTTCTCCGTATTGAAGAGTGTTGGTTTCGTCGACAACACCGAAGATACACCAAGCATTTGGAACGAGTATTCGTGCCTTTATTCGCAATTCTTTCACCAAAAATCCTTGAAGAGCTAGAAGAACTTGTTGAGCAAATGGCTCCATGTTTTTACTAAATCTTTTCAGATACTCCAATAGAAATTTCGGATATGCACTTCCACTTGTTCCACCGAAATTTCTCAAGAATTCGCAAGCTTGTTGAGGATCTTTCGTAAGCACTTGTAAATCATCAAGCATTTTGTCCTGCATCGAAAGAAATACTTCATCTTCAATATTCAGGCATGATAATAGAAGAATAATCTGCCGATTTAGAAAATTAGTAGCTGGCATCGATGATACACGAACAATATCAATCGAATTGTTGTTCGAATCGAATTTATTCATCGATTCACGAAGATACAACCCAACATCAGGCTCCTGAATACGATTCGCAACATCTAAGCACACCATTCCTGAAATCAATAAATTTCATACATAATTAAAGGTGGTATTCAACTCAGAAAGTGACCTTTATAACCACCAAATCGAATTTGAAAAGCACACGGATGATAAGCCTTTTCCTCAATACCTAATTCTTCGTACAACTTGTTCACCGATCGTGGTGAAATAATTCCAATGCCGTCAGTAAAACATGCATTGTTTGACTTCACATCAGGTATTTCTCTATAGTCCTGACGGGTAAGTTCGAGACCTTTTCGAGAAGTTGAAAACGATTGACCCAACTAGAAAGGTAAACAGCTCGCTTTTACGATGGCGACAATCGGTACTTACTCGAGCAGCCATTTTAGCCACAGGATGAATATGTCGAAAGTCACCCATCCAATCTCGAATGTCCTCCACAGAAATTTCGTTTATTGTTGCAAACATCCAACAGCAATGTTCGCGTAATTGTGAACTTGAAAATGCAAGAAAATTGAATTGTCGTTCACACACACTCACGCCATTTATCAAGATGGCTTTCATACGATTGTATAGTACACTCATATCAGCATTCGCATATTGTAGTTTCTTATAATCTATACAGAGAAAGTCTTCCTAAATTGGAGCAAACTTCGCACAAACCTTCATCACGGAAACTGACACGCAGAAATCCTTCTTGTTCTCGAGCAAATTTCCGTGTTACAGGGCATCTTTCTTCACGATATGGGCCTTCATAGAGAATAGTGCATGGTGTAATGTAAATTTTCCGAATGAAAAACGAATTCTTATTGATTGTATGTAATTCATGTTTGGTCACATATATACCGCTGTCTGAATCGCGACGAAGTTCGTGTTTCCGTCGTAATTCGTTAAGTGCATTGACAAGAAAGCGACTAGGATATCCAAGTTCATCTTTTCGAATTGAACGAACCATAGCACCTGTTAGACACAGAGGCTCTGTATGGGTCATGTTAACTGACGAACCGGTTGCCAAGGGAATGTCATAAGACGGAGAGTCAACTTCCATAGCTACGCTTGTTGTTGTTGGTGTTTGCTCTGCTTCCTCCTCCCCTTCGTCTTCTTCATCCTCATTGTCACAAAAATGGTGGAGCCAACGAGGAGCAAATTCGATGATTTTATCTAATAGGAACTTATAGGGCAAATGACAATTGAGACGAAGAAACTTACTGACGCATGCAATGAACGTATCTAATGAGCATTGTGCTAAGATTCTATCAAGGCTTTCGTCGACAATCAGATCATGGATGGTAATAATATGTTTAGAAATTAATTTCATCAGTTCAAATTTGATTTCAAATGGATACCGAGGCCATCGATCATGAAGAAAACGGTCAACTATCCGACGATTTTCATTGACCCAGTCATTGTTGGATAAGATTTGAACATGCCGAAGGTTTTCCCTAGCTCTTTGTATGGGAAAAATACAATGCAGTGCACTCCGTTGAGCAAATTGCCGTGGTGATAAATTATGACAACAAAGAATACAAAGCAATTTTCTAAACTCATCTACAATTCTCGAACTATTCAATTGAAAAACCCAGGCATTGGCATGACCGATCAGTGGAGTTCCCGGCATACGCACATCGATTTTTTCATTGGTCTGGGCATCTAAATAAGTCTGAATGATAACCGGTGGTCGTTTCAATTCAACAAGTAAACAAACACTTGAATTGTTGATTAAAACCGGACTAATCTTTTCGCCCTTTAAACTGAAAACAGGAATGAGATATAGAAAGAAACATACCAAACACTCACGCGCCAAAAGTCCATTCGAATGTGAGATGTTGTTTGAAATCATCTCCATAGGAAACGATGATTAAAAATTTTCTTTCTTGCTCATCAATTCGTAAACGACTACGAACTTTTTCTTCATTATTGACAAGTCGATTGGCAATCAGACCGAAGCTATCTGCATTATTCACGCCGGTGATATTGTTCATAGCTGCTCCCATAATCAATGTGCCATAAAGAATTTGTCGAATATCGAAGTCATTTGCATTTCCTAATAATTTTTTATCAGCGATAGATACTTTCGAGTGTGATTGAGATTTCCGGCAATAATCGATCTTTAACTGACGACCTCGGAAGCAAAACTCGCTTGGATTTCTTCCAAAACGATAGAGAATGCGTTGAGCAATTTCTGCCGAACCGAATTGGACGAAAGCAATGCCACGATGACCTGGCTATATTAAAAAATAGGTGAAGATTAACAAGGTGAGAAAAGAAATATACTTTTCTTGCGTTATTCATAAGCTCGAGATTCACGACTTGAAAACCGCGTGCTACCAAAAACTCTTTCAAGTCTTTATCGTTGGCTCTATAACAGATATTTCCCACAAATAGTTTGGCTGCTCTAGTAGTATTCAATTGTGATTGGTCAATGGGCGAATTCAACGATAAATAGTACGATGAGTCATTTCCATTCGACTGAAATAATGTTGGAGCTTCAATATACCAGCGAATCGAATCACCGAAGGTTGAGAGGGGTGCAGTTTGAGTCGCAGAGAAGCTTTGAAAAGCAGACCGAACTGTACAAGCTAAAGATTGATCAATTACGGGTGTAGTATCAGAAGGTACGAATGAATTGTATAATGATGTTAAATGACTTGTTTCATTGACATCCAATGTACCATCTAAACCATCATCATTATGCACTTCATCATTGGCATCATCACTCTCCGACGAAGACATTTTAAATGTTTCTTTGTTACAAAGGAAAGGTTAATGTTTTAAAAGAAGAAGTATTTTCTAATATTCACTGGGTTTTTTCCCACTAATATTTTTTAGTCATAGATAGGAATATTTAATAAAATAAATCACTGTTGGATATCAACATTTGAATTAACTAGTTCATTTGTTCTCTTCTACTTCTCTTCCAATAATGCTTTTAATTCAACTGGAGACACCTTTTTTACCTTCTTGAAAGACAGCTTCCGCACCAAACCAATGACTCACCTTTGATGAATCATAATGTTTCTGTTTTCATTCTACAAATATTTGCGGAGTGAAACAAAACGTCACGTAAATCATTATGCTCATGATAGGACCCGGTATACATTGGCTACAGAGAGAATATAATCGTATATTATTTATGTAATTCCATATATATCGAAGATCTTATATTGACAACGAATATGAATTTATTGAGAAAATGCGCAATACAAAACGACACTTATAATGCTATATGTAACATTGGTTTTTAGTTTATGTTGTCGGTATAACCCGTGCTGTTTGCCATTTCAACTGCAGCATTCGTTTGAATTTAATTTGCATTTCTGGTAATGAAAGTGCGCAAACAAACGGATAAAGTAGAATGACAAAATAGGTGAAGAAATTAATGTAGATATAGAAAACATTAATGAAATAATTTGAGACGCTGTAAATGTTTCGTGTGATATAAACGATTGTGTAGGGAAGTAAGATAACAACATATAGAAACGCAATTGACAACGCTTGACTAACCATCTTTCGATGCTTTCGCCAATGGATTGCACGACGCATACGATATTTATGCTGTAAAGTACGTAGAATTAAAGCACTGCTAAATACTGTAATGATCACAATCGGCACTATCTGATGAGCAACGAAATCCCACATCGAAAGCGTATAGTTGTCATACAAACATGGATATATACAAACAAGTGAAGTTGGACGAAGACGATTGTCGCAAGGTGGAAAGAAGTACACAACGAAATAAAAGACAAACCAATAGAGAAGTAGAAATATAAGAGGAAAATAATGAACGAACAGACGCTTCTTTCGTGTGGATACCCAAGAATTATGAAATATCAAAATATGTCTTTCAATCATTGCCCATGCGAAGATCATCGTGTGGGCTATGTAAAGTGACCAATCAATAAATCCTAGAAGGAGACAGAACATGTATGATCGTTGCCAAGCATTCTGCCAAGGAAGATAATAAAGCATCCATGGATAGAATGTTAGTTCATCGATTAAACCAATGATAAGCAGAACGGTGATGACATGATTGTGAAGCGCGTGACGTAAAACTCGATTGAATAGAAGATGGTACAGAACAAATATTGAACAGAGTAACGAGGGAACGAAAACAGAGAGAAGAACCCAAAATTTAGCCATCTCTGGCAATATTTCCATAGTTTTGTCAGAAAAGTATTCTTTATCGTGTGCTTAATGTAAAAGAAAAATATGAAAATGGAAACACAATAAAGAAGGGGTATTTACGCGGAAAGGGTTTTTCTCCTGCTTTCTCAGTATCAGCCAATTAGTTCGCTGGTAACTATACTATGTTTGTCTATGCTACATTAAGTCTTCAATTGATAATGCGTACTATAGAAGTTCATCTATTAATGGGGACAGTACGATGAGGACAAAATGACAAGGTATGTCATTGCGTTTAGTAGATAAGGGACGCATCTTGAGTATTTAACTACACTATGCTCTTCGAAGAAATAGATTTACAACGTAATAATCAAAGTTATTCGCTTCCCTATCGAAATAAATACGCTAAAGAGAATGCTAACAAATATCAAGGAAAGATATCGAATGAATTTCTGTTACCCACATCACGTCTCATCGCGAAAAATGTAACTTACGATTTGATTTTCAACGTCTTTTTCTGTCACTCAAAAAAAAACATCGAACTCTGAAATATTACAATTCTTCTATATAACAGAGTTAAATGATATATCTGCTAAAAATCCACACTTCGTTAAACATTACTTGGGGACGTTGTTTGCTGATGTCTGTTATGTATCATTTACTGTTCCGCCATATGTTAGCATGCCATTAGAAGTTTAATCTCAACACTTTCGTGATCATATGAATTTAATTGTTATTACGCAGCATTTCTATAGTTCCCTAATCGCTTTCATAACTCCCATTGTTGTCTCCTACGTAGTACATGATGAAATGTATTTGAAAAAATCGGATACAAAAGAGTAATTTTAACGCTTCCCCACGCGAGCAATACAAATTGTTGAGAACAGTACCCAATCGGCATACTTTCAGATAGGCGCTCTGTTTTGAGATCTATTAAATAAGACGTTGAATTAATCCGTCCGAAGAATTATAACCCACCGGAAGAAAAAGCATGTCAATTAATTCAAAGAAATTTCCTATCACAATAAGTTGCCGCAGTATGATAGAAGTATTCTTTTTACTGCGTTCTAGTTTTATAGCCGACGATCTCTTTAAACTCAACTATCTCAAAGATTACGATTATCAAAGAATATACTCTTGTATTCGTACGAGTTTGATGTTACCGGTCGTGCGTCAAGTGTGTGTACCTGTTTACACGTCTCGCACTTCCTGCAAAACAATTACATCGTCATACTGTGAAAAATAAATGCGAAAAAGTGTAGGATCAATTATCATTGTTTTGTTTTATAGAATTCGGTACAGTGTTCATAACTATTTTTTATCATATCAATGCACATCGACAAACTTGTGCTCCGTTTAGGCGAGTTCAAATGATGCTGTTTCAATGCGTTATATTCATTTTAGTAGCAAATCTTTCACTTTCCACAATTCTTCTATGCATCAACTCGACCGAAGGACATACTCGATGATGTTGAAACAGTGCACTTCATACTTTCTGCGAGTTTGCGTCCGTGTCAGTGTTACATTTGAAGTAAAACTTCAAATTAGGACGTTCGACTATTCTATCCAACTTGTTTGTTTAGATGTTACGATTTGGTTTCATAAGATAATAAAAATCCATTCTGTTCTTTAGATATGCGATACACATACTTTCCGTTCTTTCTCTTTTTTAAATTTGATAGCACATATAGAACAAGACAATAGACAATCTCATGAAGAATACTATGCCGACATACATTTTGGTATCAGATTTTTTTTTCTCCATTTACGCTTAATCATTTTATTCTGTACTTAATAAACTGATGTGCTTTTTTTCTCGATAAAATCGACCTTAAACACGTGCTTACAATACAACATATTCTATAAAAGTGAGTTAGAAACCATTTTACACTCATTAAATTATTTCTATGTCCTTGACTCGTACCGCTCTTGAACGGGCTCGTTTTGCCACGTCCTCACGTCTCGTTGCATCTCTTATCAATGAAGGTTTAGTCCAGGCCAATGCTGATTCACCGTACACGGCTGTTGTAAATTGTATTGATGATAGCGGTATAGAGTACAAGCTTTTTCTCTCGCTTGTTAGTCCAGTTTCAGTTGGTAATCTGCAATCATTAGATCCTGCTGATATTGTACCATTTCATATTTATGATGAAAATGGCAACGAATTTCTCTGTCCAGTGACGATTGCCGATCGATTCTGGAAAGGATGTACTATTGATTTAAAACAACAATTGATGAGTTCAGTTCGAAATCAAGAGTGGATATACAATCATCTTCCAGCAAAAACTCCATCTCTCTTGTCGTCGGCTATTGAATGGGAACAATATATAATCGAAGGTCATCCAACTCATCCCATGCATCGGACAGGAATCCCGTTCGACGGTTTCGAATCCGTTCTATTGGCTCCTTCGATAAAATTTATTTCCATTCCTCGCTCAGATATGGCCATTAACGGCAATTGGGAATCGATTATGAAAGAATATCTTCCATCGACTATGTCACCTGATACTATCGTTTTACCAGTTCACGAGTTACAAGTAGCCAAAGTACTTTCACTCATGCCGTCAGCAACACTTTATTCAAATTTTGAACGGAAAGCTCTCGCACAAGCTTCTCTTCGATCGATCCTACCAATGCCTGCCTCGGATTTACCTGGTTACCATCTCAAAATGGCATTGACCATTTTGACTACTGGTGCATGGCGAACGATTTCTTGTTTCTCTGTTTACAATGGTCCTCGTATTACTCCACTTGCCAAATTCATCGCTCCTGATTGTCTTGTTATCATTGGTGAAATCGCCTCGATTGGATCGAATTCTCTCGATGAGACGAACAGTAAACACATCGCATGTATTGTTCGTGAAGATCCCGAAGTTCTCATGCCTGATGAGTCAATCATCGTAGTACAATGTCTGATCGAAAAAACACCTGATGGAAGTATGTCTCTTGTTCGAGCCATTTTCCATCTTGATACTGAAGAGAAATGTGTTGATTTCCTTCGAAAATATGCTGAACTTGCCTGCGCGGCTTTCTTACCGCCGATGCTTAAACATGGATTTTGTTTCGAAGCACATGGACAAAACACACTTGCCAGATTCGATCAACATACTGGTCAATTAATTGGTTTTGCTATCCGAGACTTTGGTGGAGTGCGAATTCATCGAGAACAATTTGAAAGTACAACACCGTTCAAATTGGATGTTTTGCCTGATTCTTGTATTGTTACTGATGATATTATGGAGGTCTATACCAAAGTATTTCACTGTTTTATTCAAGGTCAAATGAATCGATTAGTGCGCGCATTAGATCTTCATTATTCTCATAAAGGCTGGACAATTGTTCGTCAAGCTGTGGAGAAACATGTTAGTATTTCTTCACCGGCAGGTCGGTTATGGTTTAAAGAGACAGTTCCATACAAGGCGTTTCTCAAAATGAAACTGGAACATAAATATCGAGATTATATTTATAGCGAAGTACCAAACCTTCTTCTGCTCACAGAAAATGATAAGATCTGTTACTCGTTTTGAAATAAAATATTCAAATCCATTAATATTTGAAAATTAGTTGCTAGAATATAAAAATAATATGATAAAAATGTGCATATCGAAGGATTTTGATAACTTATCTCTTCTTTTCTTTATACCAATGCGCAACCGCACCAAACTGTGAATCCAGTTTATTTTATTCTTTGCAGTAGTGAGAATGAGCAATTCATTGCCGAAGTAAAAAATAATTGATTCAATCAGGTAAAGAAAGTGGAACATAAGAAACTAGGTGGAAATGCCATTCAAACTCACTTCTGATCTAAACCCATTTCTGTAGGAGCATATCGAATGGTTGTTAAGTATTTGCGATAATTGTTCTAGTGAAATTCGAACAAATATTCACAGCAGGTGTAATAGAAGTCGATTGCGAAAAAGTACTTGGTGACTCAAGATACATATGGTCATCGATCGGTCGTATACGGAGAGAGGAAAAGATCTACTTCAAACATTAATAAGTACGTCAAATGTTTTTTTTTCGAAATATTTTACTCAAATAACTGTAATAGCTGAAATCATTGAACGACCGTTTTATGTTCGAAATCACAATACATTCCGAAACGGAAATTGTTTAAGTTATTCAGCTGCTGGATTTGCGAATATTTACATTGAAGACAAACAAGGATATCCAATTTACGCCAGTCAAACAATCGGGACACAACATTTCTGAACAGCAGAGATAACTGACACAAAATATGAGATTTGTCGCTTGAATCTTTCTGATTTCTTCTATGTGTAGGTGCCTATTACAACCCCAGAGAAAGTTATCGGCATACTGTTCTATTACAATGTCCAAATCAGTCTCGAATAATAAAAGACATACAAAATAATTTGAATGTCATAAGTCAATATTCACAATTGGAGTGTGATCCAGTCGTGGAAACAATCTATAGAGTTTATGATAATCCAAATTCTGTCGATATCGCCGAGAATTGAGTTTATAACAATTTGGGCTTTTTTTATCGAAGGAGAACGAATGTTCGGAGGGAATCGATCATCGGTGACTAATTATAACTTATATTTACCTTTTCTAAATGGCCACGACCTTTGATCAATTGACTAATTAAATTCAATTATTACTGTGTAGTCGTGACGATAGTTATACATTTGAGAACAAACAGAATATTCAAGTTATATTTAATAATATTCAATCGAAATTTGTGATGATAAAACATTATAAGATCGATTCGAACAATAACAATGTTTATTCCAAATGGATTAAAATGGGTCGACTGGATTATTTGAAAGATAATCAACAGTTGAAATTCTTCGACGAGCCGATTTTGTGTGAAGTTCAAAATAACTAAGTTGTTTTAGATCCATTTTATGTTGCAATTCATTCGATCGATTTGCTTCAAATCACAAATTTAGACTCTTATCACTCGTTATTGACGAACGAAAAACTATCAATGACAGACACTTTCACCATGTTTTTCATTCTTTGTTATTATTCTTGAGGGTATGGTTTAGAGTGACATAGCTAAAAGAAAATCCCCAGCCAATCTCGCTCTTTTCACTTTTTTTCCCACTGACGTCAGACAGAACAATAGTTATCGACGAACACATTACTAACGGTGACTTTTTTCCTGTGCTTTCCCACACTGCATAATTCTGTTGCATAAATGCGCCAAAATACATATGAATGCAACCATCACATGCTCATTTCTTACATACGTAAGTTGCTTAAGGCGACTGAAGGATAAAAAAGTGGCAGTAACTGAGAATTTCTTGCATAAGTCGAGTGATGTCATAATCCCGTTACACCCGGTATTTATCCAAAAGCACACAATTCACTGCGTTACCATATGCAGCTGAGTCAGTGTATCCAACACGATACCCAAATAGAAGCGTATCCTTGGAAGCTGAGAAATATGAGTGAATTTCGCGTATCCAGCGACCACTCTCACCCTCAATTGCACCCACACCCTTACCCTCACCCACACCCTCATCCTCACCCACACCCTCACCCTCAACCTCACCCTCACACCCACACCCTCACCACACCCACACCCACACCCTTACCTTATTTGAGTATCGGGCTGGATACACCAAATCCACCCAGATTCCTCAAACTTCATGATGGTCGTATTCTTTCTGTAGTATAAAAGTGGTTACCCGCGGATAGAACGGGCTGGTATCGATACCGGTGTTCGTTCGTTAATCAGTATCAGGGTATCGTGACGTTTGGTTGTCGATACCCGGTGTAATGGTATTATGACATCTATGCATAAGTCATACCTTCGCTGGAAAAGTGATATGATTTTATTATTCACACCTGAAATTTGAGTGTTCTACCGGGCCCTTATCAAAATAGTATTTTATCACGAAAAACAAATTTACACAATTTTATTTCCTATTTGATTATGTTCCTTTTTTTCCAACAAAGCATTCACACGCAGCGTATAAGAAGAGTGTAACCAAGCATTTTCAGTGAGAAGTATGTCTTTTAAGTAGAAGAAAAGAGTGAAATTTAAACTGACCTTTGAATTATCGCGCATAACATTTTGCTTTTTCTTCGACTTTTAGATTATTTTGATTTATTCGGCATCATGTCTTTCATTAAACGTCTCACGATTCATTACAAAGAATTACAAAAAAATCCAGCTCCCTTATGTCATGCCGAACCTGAAGATTCAGAAAAAAGTATGTTTCATTGGACCGGATGGATAGAGGGACCAGAAGATACTCCATATTCCGGAGGGAAATTCCACTTAATCATCGATTTTCCACCTGAGTTTCCTTTCAAACCTCCTACTGTACGATTCACTACACAGATTTTCCATCCCAATATTAGTTTAACAGGAGAGATTTGCTTGGATATTCTACATTCACAATGGTCGCCTGCTTTAACTATACGAGGTCTCCTGATCTCATTATGTTCGTTATTAACCGATCCTAATCCAGAACATGGTCTGAACAAAGAAGCTCTGCAACTCTATCGAACAAATCGACAGATGTACAATGAAATAGCGAATGAATGGACAAAAAAATACGCTACAGGGAAGAAAAGTTGATAATCTGTCTTTTCATACGTTTTTGAAATAATATTCAATGCTATAAATCCTTTTTTCAGTCAATGTACAGTGTATTGTTTGAAGTAAAAGACAGTTACTATACATAGAATGTGATCCTTAGCCATATCCAAATCCAAAATCGAAAAAGTTGCACATTTACAAAGAGACAGAATCAAAACGCTCGCTGAATTCGCACAAAAAGCTTTCTTTCCTTCTTTTCAATGCTTGCTGAGCTTTGCCAAATGTTTACCTCACGTTTTCAACTTTTCTTTCGTTTTTGTTTGTTGTAAGAACAACATCACGCAAGTTGTTGTTGTTTTTTTCTTCATTTCAATTCAAAATTACTTCCTTCGAGAAACCTATTCGGCGATCAAAATATCACAGTTTCTGCGCTCCTACTCTTGGTGAGCTTTATTTCAAGTTGTTTTCATTTGCAAACATATGACGCATAGAAGCTGATGCGAGAATCTCATTCTAATTCTATCCTCCACGTTTCACCAGCATTCCTCACTGACACTCTATTTGTTTTGTAACCGAAGAAACTTCGAAGTGATGAATCATTTTTGTGACCTCAATCATCTGTTTTCGCCTATCGAAGTGTTAAACTCGTTTCACTGAAAGAATTGTTGCAACCAATTCAATCGCAGAGTGATGTCACAATACCATTACCCCGCGGGTATCCGGTTAAAAATCGACAAGAGTGTATCCAAAACCCGGAGGAATTTGAGTGAATTTGATAGACACCCAGCAGGTAACAAGATGGATATCGACGAATCGCGTTTGAAGAAGTTAAAATGTTTACGACCGGAGTTTAATGAAAACAGGTAATGGTATCAGTGATAGTAAGAGCTATCAGGATCTAGAAGCGAATATAGTTCGGTACTTTACGCCTAATTTTTGTAGCTTGAGTAGATGATCATACGAAGCGCTCGTCGATGCATCACGTATTAGAGTTAAAGGGCCTAAAGGGCTTTGGTTAAAGTACCAATCCTTTCCCCATATCCTCATGTTGTGATATGGCCACTGATTGGGCCTTTCCTTCTACCTAGATCATCAAGATGGTTCAGAAGTATGTAGTGTTGATTTCTGACAGCGAGATGGTCCGACCAAATTCACTCAAATTCCTCACATCTCGCAAGATACTGTTTGGCTATTCGGAATCGGGTAACGAGATCAGCTGACGAAATCCATTCGGTATCCTACTGGGCGTCCAGCGTAATGATATTCTGACAGCTATGTCGAATAATGCGTTGGCATGATAATTGCTGGTGGAAATAGTTGCGGAGAAAAATCAAACCGGTTGTACGGCCTCGCTGGTTTATCATTTGATGCTAATGGAAATCTTTACGTTGTTGAATGGCGGAGTTCGCAAATTTCAAGATTTAATTCAATTGTCTGAACAAAACTGACCTTCTTACGTGAAAAATTTTCGCAACGATAGTAAATAGACGAAAGATTTCTAAACTTTTTCGTTTACGACTCAAAGAAATTCACTAAAAATTCTTTTTATTCTCACTGTTTTTATTTAACAGTTTGAACCGAAGAATAAATCTAATATTCATCATGTATAATGATTGTCAAGACTGACTTACTTAGCCTTCGACATAATATCTATTGAATGTGTTTCATACTCACAATGAAATTACAGATCATAGCTTCTCGTCAACTCGTATCTCCTATCGTAAGACACAACTCATTCACACCGTTTTATCGCAATACCAACATAATCCAATGAGAAAACATAGAATATTTGATGGTTATAAACATACACCGGCGAGATTTTCTATTAATATGACAAGAAACATTACTGGTAGCTGCTAGATGTCCGTCGGACGACCCTATAAAGCATTGTTCATTGTAAACACTGAATTAATCCGCTTTAAAATCCTCCGTATCAAATTGAATAATTTGATAAATTTCTATCTAAGGATCAAAGAAGCGCCCATAGTTTATCGAAACGATGTTCTTTGAGTTTGTAACATTTTCCAGACAAGATGCTTTTCTCACTCTTTACTCTGGTCAACGACAAAAGATACATACGAATTAAGTAGAGGTAAAATTTCTAATTACACATCTAAAATAACGTATCGAGTTCTTCTGAGATTTTCCAAAGTTAAAAAGAAAACATCACGAAAGGATTTGGATGACTTTCAAAGAACTTCGTTCCTACGGATTAATCTATTTCTTGCACATAGTACATGAATTGTATTGGGTGATGTCAGTCCGAAAAATAGAACTGGATGAAGTATTATCTTTTTTTTTACTTTAACTCTATGGAGGAACGAGAGCAGTGTATATACCATCGGGATCTTCTGAAACACAATTATGAGTTAATTTTACTTTTCGGGGGTGTATAAAATAAAAGCGTTATGAAACAGTAAAACCAATGAGATTACAAGTATTTACAAGAAAAAGAACTATAGGAAAAAACGAATTAATTTATCTAAGAAGATTTTTCATCAAACTGAGTTGTCACAGCACAGTATAAGTATTTTCACAAATGTATCTCTTTATAAGCACTTTTATGAGAAAATCTTCACATTATCTTTTTATTATCACTTTCTAATTTTAGCAAATGGTCTCGTTAAACACAACCATCTCAGACGCTATGATTATCAAGGAAAATACTCTTATGTTCATACGAGTTTGGTGTTATACGATGATTGAATTGGGTAGTGTTGGTCACGCATCAAGCGTGTACATGTTTACACGTCCTCCATTTCGTTCAAATCCATGTACCTGGTATTTTCTGGCTTCGACGATTAGTGGTATATGTGTTATTGTTATGAACATACCTGCCTGAGATTATTACAAGCAGAGTACGTAGTGGACATTTATGTAAATTCATTAATAGTATACAAACTAATTACTTTTTTTGTTGCTATAGGCTCTAGGTAATTCAAAAGGCTCGTTCATGAAAAATATGTTCATTATTTCCTTGTATATATCTATAGATTACCAAATGCATGGTTCATCGCTCTAGCCTGTATTGACAGGTAAGTGTTGTCTTATTCTCAAAGATGAATGTAGAAAAGTATAGAATCAATCATCATTATTTTGTAGATTTTCGTGCAGCTCATCTGTTGCAACGCTGTGTGCTCTCAGCAATATTCGTGTTGTTTGTCGAAGTGTTCCTCTTGTAATTTTTCATAACTGGTGTTGTCTATATATTCCAGTACCTATACTTTACCAAATCAACGTACGTCAACATACATGTGTTCCATCGATAGAAATTAGTCAAACATTTTTCAGCACATGGAATTTGATCGTATACAGCATAGATCCACCAATTGTTATGGCTTATTTCGGTGCACATACTGTCCAAAACACTCGTCATTCCGTTAGGCGGGTTAAACAACACTGCGTTCCGATGCACAATCCGCAACAACATCACATAGCAACTGATCGGCAGTTAATTCAAATGATGCTGCTTCAATGTGTCATATTCACTGTAAGTTTTCTGAAATGTAAGGGAAAACCTCTCGTTTATTTGTAAAGGAAGAAGAACTTGAAAACGAACGAGAAGAGAAATGAGAATAGCAAATATAGCTGTGAACGAGAACAGAATAGGTAGAAGTAACACGAGAGCAAATCACATACTTGCATATATATACACATATATATTGACGCATGTGAAGGAAAGGAAAATACCGTGAAAGTGTATGGAAATATCCATACATAAAATCCAAGATTACGTGGTGATTTTCCCTGATCAGATCCTGGACATTTTCGAGAACAAATCACCAACATTCACATTAACAGCAAGCTCTGGAAATTGCTTGATTCCAATATGCAAACTATTCGATCAGTTGTCCCTGTTCGAAACCTGGTCAGATGAAACTAACGTATCAATACACTTTCTACCTTATTCAATCTACTTCCCATATGACTATGACCCTCAAGAATTATATGTTGTCGTGGTATACATGAGTATTAGTCATTAAAACAGACTCACAAAAAACAAAGTTTACCCTGTCAGCGGATGAACGATAGGATAACACATTTTCACGTTCATATCACTCTCAAGAATATAGTTTATAGGGATAAAATTTAAGTGAGTCTTCGGACAAGCGTCACTTGTAAAATACCGAGATAAATATCATGTTATTGCACAAACACATGAAATCACTTTTATTAAGCGCATCACATTCCTTTCCAAACTCTTTTAGCTATGGGTCGCAACGATAAACGACAACAACCTTCTCATGACAACATTTATTGTAAGAAGCAGAAACTCCGAGCAACAACACTTGATAAAACGAAGTCAGTGTTGAAGTCATAATCGATTTAAATCATTTCGATTTGTTTTATCTATTAAGATGTATTGTCACACAATTTGAAGACCTTTCCAATGAAGTTATCTGCGATATTTTCGAATATCTAAATGCCTATCATATTTACGAAAGTTTTCTGAATCTTAACACCAGATTTCAAAATCTTCTTAAACATTTACCCATTCCTCTTATAATTAACATTCCATCATTTTTATCCAAATCAATATTTCAACAATATTACACTGATTTCATTCAGCCCAATATTTACCAAACCCAATCATTTTATGCTGTAAATCCATTCATAACTAATTTCTTTCTATCAACAACCGAAAATTTTGCTCAATGTTCTCAACTTCAAACATTAATTCTTGATGAAATGCCAACCGAACAACTCGAAAATCTTCTCATTAGTTTAAGTTCTCTACCCAAATTTTCTTCATTAACTATGCATGTGATGGATGATACTCATCGAAACAATATTTGCAACTTGATATTTCAATTACCAAAACTGAAATTTTGCAAAATATTCTTTGCAGAGACTATTCGATTAGCGTATTTATCCATATGTATATCAAGTCCAATCGAACATCTTGTTCTTACTGGTACATTTTACCTTAATGAACTTAGTGTTATATTATCACATTTACCTCAACTATCCCATTTATCAATCAAGAATGTCCGTTCACCTTTAAACAACGAATTTGTGTATGATCGATACACTTTGAAGAACTTAACTTCAATTTCTCTTCGACTGAATCAAATAGAATTTTGCCATTTCGAACAATTTGTTAAAGAACATTTTCAACGAATTGAAAAATTCTTTATTTCGACAAATTATGATGTGAATTATATCGATAGTAATCGTTGGGAACAACTTATTTCATGTTCTATACCAAATTTACGAAAATTTAATTTTCAATGCATCGGTAATACATTATCTTTTGATAATGAAGTCTTTTCTCGTAAACAATTCAATTCCTTGTTTTGGCATCAAAGACACTGGTTTTTTACATTGGAATTCAATCGTGATGAATTCCGAGATGGTTTACGTGGAAGATATTTTTTGTATTCAACTCACCCACACAGGTAAAGACTTAACCGAATGTGCATTTTCTTTCTTTTCTTTTCGGTACTTTCAGACAAAAAACTTACGCCTTATCATGCGACATATTTTCTAAAGAAATGACGACCGCTACCGAAACCAATTTCAACTCAGTTCAGCATCTGACTATAGAAAATGGATATAACATTGCGAAATGTTCGAAATATTTTCCGAATGTCAATGAATTAACTGTTAAATATTGTGAGTCGGTTCCCACATGGGAATGGTTTACTCGGAAGAATATTGGTCGTATTCTTCCTTTAATGCAAGTGACCAAATTGACTATTCATGTGAAATATGACATGAATTGGATCACGGCATTGTTATACATAATGCCTAATATTCAAACACTAAAATTGATCAATGAAAGATCGAATTCATTAGATTGTCTGTCATTTAAAGACACAAAAATGTTTCGTTCCGTGTCACAACAGAATAAAATCAACAATATTATTTTGACAGATAATTATTCATTACAAAAACTCCAAGGATTCATCGATCTATGCCCAAAATTACAACATCTTACTATGGGTATATCTGAATGGTGTTTGTACCCGGCAGTTCGATTTTTGTTATCGAAAAAGAATCAAAATCAATGCCAACTATCTTCTCTGTGTGTTTCTGGAGTGGATGCAATATCGATCGAGAAGTTGAAATCTTTGCTCTTATCGGAAAATTTTGCTGATGAACATATGATAATTATAGTAAATGACAAGTTTTACTTACAGTGGAGATAATAATCTTGAATTCTCTGTCAAGATGTTTCAAGTTATTTTCATCTAAGGAGATATTTTATATCGCAATAAAACTACGTAATCGATTGTGTAGACAAAGTTTTTCGTAGAGAGAACATGTAACAGGGCTGTTAGTTAATTTTGCAGCCTATTGTTGATGGTACGTTTCATTTGTTTGAATAGTAAACAACAACTTGAACAAGTCATTGTATTTCTCGACATTGTCGTACAAAACCTTCTGCATTGGTAATTGCAAAGCATCTCAGCGTTTTGCCATTCATCAGTTCCATTTCTGTATTTGTTTGACAACCGTAAATATTAAAAATGTATTTTTCTTTCGACTTTTTGAAAAGATTAGCATTTGCTTCATTCGCCATGATTTGTTCGCTTTTCCGAATAACATATTCCTCAGAAATGATCTTTATTTCTATTATAACAATTTGTTTTTCATCGGAAATACTCTTATAAAATTAAATCAAATCGTTGAATTCGATGGTTAGAATAATTACTGGTATAGAAATTTCCTTGTGTATCGAATGATAAGCCCGTAGGACAATCCAGTTGGTGTGATGCTTTGCCTTTTTCATTTGCATCGACAGTTATTTGAGCTTGTCTTTATTTTCAATTTAGTTATCGTAATTATACTAGTCATGATTGTCGTATATTTGTCACAATTGATGAATAAAAGCCATAAAGCTGTGAATTCCAGGGCAAGATGCAAGATTTAATGTTTTTCTACATACTACTAGATTGTGGTGGACAAATACTTTCTTTCAGTATTGAGAATGACTACATTGGCCATGATGAACACAGATATCGTCTGAATCCGAGCAGTCATCAAACTGTCCACATGGAACAAGTTGAGAACAGAACTTTCAAACGAAAATACAGACATCAGTATTCAACATGGGTAGATAACTGCATACTTTGCGAACAGCGACTGTACTGTCACATGTTTGAGATTATTTAGGCACAGTTGTATCAGAGAGCATATCTATCAAACTAAAATAAAACATGTTTAGTTTCAAAAAAGCTAAGCAAAAGAACGAAGTTTTTAGTACTTTAGAAGAAGAAAAGTCAAAGATTCGATTGTTATGCGAAAATTTCAGTTTCATTCTTTGCTATATATGGACAATAATGTACAATGACATTTCAAAATTGAAAATTGAAATGTAATAATCCTTCGATAATTGACGAGTTGACTCCGTTTTTGCGCATTTTAGTACAGTTCACTATATGACGAATGAAAATGGATATGGTGAGAACATCGACAAATATTTAATCGTTTTTCATATGTTAAACGGTTCGATTCCTACTAGTCGTTCCGACCCATTTGACTCTTCACTGAAAAGAATATGAATCGAGTCAGCAAACTAATGTACAGTAGCGATTCATAATCTGTTCGTTTTCTAAATGTATTTCTAATCGTGACGTTTATAAACATGAAAAATCTATCAGAAACCACCTAGTAGAGAATTTGAGAATCTGAAGGTATCACATAATACAGCGCATAAGGACCAAAGGGTACGACTTCAATCGACTGAAAGGAATTTCTAAAATTTGTTATTGTATTTATGTTTTTTCGACCTTTGACCTTGACATAACTCGCAAGCAAAGCCACAACCGAACTTTTTCATCATAAGAATGCGCTCTATATATTTAATGAAATATGCGAACTAAATTGAAGTAGGTTCAATGAATGTCGAAAACGGTCTGATTTGATACATAGAGAGAGGATATATCGCATATTGTTTTTTCTCTTTCAAGGCAAGTGCATTTTGCTCTGTACAATTGATTGATATTATTTCGTCGAATAAATTTGTCGGAGGCGCACTCAGAGTTCATTTGTAAATAAAGGAGCAAACCTCTCTCTCTCTCTGCTTATTCATAAAAAGGAAAAGGTTATTCCGTGCAGCTTTTGCCCAATTAGTCAAACAACTTTTTCTTCTCTACTTTGACATCCTATTATTCATATATTCCTTGTGATATTCTTTCTCCGTCGGTTCGCTCAAATAGGAAGATAAAGACATTTTTTTCTATTCCTCTCTCTCTTACATCGATACTATCGATGCATTAAAACCCATATGTCACTTGTAATCTTTTATACTTTTTCTAAAGTGCGCTTCGATATGAACCGTGAAAACAAGAATGGTTGCACTTCAAAGTTTCGTTACAAATGTCAAATCTGTGACGAAATCGCTGAACATTCTAATTATGGCGCCATCTGTTGTTCAGCATGTAAAATATTCTTTCGACGAAATGCGATGGTTAGTGCAAATTCACATTTCTTCTCGTTCGATTTGTTTGCTTCTAGAAACAATTTCGATGTAATTGGAATAACAATTGTGAGATAAGTGTAAACACTCGTCATGTATGTTCTGCGTGTCGGTTGAAGAAATGTCTCGACAATAGAATGGATATTGGATTGATTCGATCTTGTTTATCAAAGTCAAAGCAGGCGAAGCAAAAGAAAACAAAGATCGTGCAATCGTCAATACCAACATCAAATGTTTTAGTAAGATAAAAGCAATTCTTTCGATGAAAACATTTTGTTTCATACTTTTAGATCCCAACATTGAATCTTTTACATTCCGATGAATCGAATTTCTCAATTGAGCAATGGAATTCTATTTCAAACTTAATTCACTGTTATGATCAATATGGCCCATTTTTAATGAGTCAACAATACGTATCTGAACAAACTCAACTTCCAACAAAGATACGTTATAAAACTTCATCTATCAACAAATTCTATGCATTGGTTTATATGAAAATTCAGCAAATATTTGAAAAGAATGACGATTATCAATCTTTATGCTCACAAGATCGAGCTTCATTAACCCATCGCGCGGTTAAACATGCATCAGGTTATGCCACTGCTGTTGTCATAAAACAACTGAAATTGTACGATGATCCATTATTCTTCAAAATTAGTGAATTTCTTTTCAATTCTCACGTAATGACATCTGCAAGATCTCTCAACAGCTATGTTGATGAAGATCTCACATTTAATAAATTAGTCGTTGCTGCTTTATTTTTTTCAACGACGTACGTGACAATCTTTGACAGTTCTCCAATCGACAATTTCATTGACATTAGACGTATTATAAGCATACAAGACCAATATATCGAATTAGCGTGGAAGTATATGGTTTACAAGCACGATTATCGACACTCTGTTCTACGTTTCATTCAACTGCTTCGATCAATTTCATATTGCCAGCGTACATTGCTCGAAGCTGATCATACTCGCGGATATGAATCTATAGTGGGTTCTCTTCTTCACCAAACTGAAAAAACATTTGTGAGTACTTTAGATGATTGATTATCATCTAAGCGTTTTGTGTCAAAGGCAGCGAAAAGTTTTGTTTTTCAATATCGATTGTTATGCCTAGGACGTTGCTCTTGGTAGAATAAGAATAAAGAAATTTGAAACTGAACCCAATAGTTAGTTTTCAAAGCTTTTCTCTTCGGTTTCATCGTACATGGAATGAGAGCAATCATCGTGTCTGCGTGGATATATGTCCGTCTTGATTAGAAATAGTTGTGTTCAAGTGACTTTGTTACCGATCTCAACACATGAAAAGAATTACCTTTATAATTGTTGTTTTCAGTGTCATTGTCGATTGAATATGAATGAAACAAATATTTTCATATGATGATTCAAAATACAAAACAGAAACATGAGCTTTGCAATACTGTTCCTTTCATATTCTTAATCTGATAAAATATAACAGTACTGAAGTTAGATGACAAACTAGATGTGTTATTATGATTTTTTCGAAGCATGAGAATATAATATGATGCTCGGAAGAGAAATCAAAAGCGTGGTCAGTAAGTAATATTTAACGTTCGTATTAACCTTTAAGCTGATCATTGCGAAACCAATGAAATTGTAATTGATCAATCAGCAAACCAGATCTTCCAGTAACATATCCAACAAAATAACCTTCAAACTCTNGTATGATCGATACACTTTGAAGAACTTAACTTCAATTTCTCTTCGACTGAATCAAATAGAATTTTGCCATTTCGAACAATTTGTTAAAGAACATTTTCAACGAATTGAAAAATTCTTTATTTCGACAAATTATGATGTGAATTATATCGATAGTAATCGTTGGGAACAACTTATTTCATGTTCTATACCAAATTTACGAAAATTTAATTTTCAATGCATCGATAATACATTATCTTTTGATAATGAAATCTTTTCTCGTAAACAATTCAATTCCTTGTTTTGGCATCAAAGACACTGGTTTTTTACATTGGAATTCAATCGTGATGAATTGCGAGATGGTTTACATGGAAGATATTTTTTGTATTCAACTCACCCAAACAGGTAAAGACTTAACCGAATATGCATTTTCTTTCTTTTCTTCTTGGTACTTTCAGACAAAAAACTTACACCTTATTATGTGACATATTTTCTAAAGAAATGACGACTGCTACCGAAACTAATTTCAACTCAGTTGAGCATCTGACTATAGAAAATGGATATAACATTGCGAAATGTTCGAAATATTTTCCAAATGTCAATGAATTAACTGTTAAATATTGTGAGTCGGTTCCCACATGGGAATGGTTTACTCGGAAGAATATTTGTCGTATTCTTCCTTTAATGCAAGTGACCAAATTGACTATTCATGTGAAATATGACATGAATTGGATCATGGCATTGTTATACATAATGCCTAATATTCAAACACTAAAATTGATCAATGAAAGATCGAATTCATTAGATTGTCTGTCATTTGAAGATACAAAAATATTTCGTTTCGTATCAGAACAGAATAAAATCAACAATATTATTTTGACACATAATTATTCATTACAAAAACTCCAAGGATTCATCGATCTATGCCCACAATTACAACATCTTACTATCGGTATATCTGAACGGTGTTTGTACCCGGCAGTTCGGTTTTTGTTATCAAAAAAGAATCAAAATCAATGCCAACTATCTTCTCTATGTGTTTCTGGAGTGGATGCAATATCGATCGAGAAGTTGAAATCTTTGCTCTTATCGGAAAATCTTGCTGATGAACATATGATAATTATAGTAAATGACAAGTTTTATTTACGGTGGAGATAATAATCTTGAATTCGCTGTCAAGATGTTTCAAGTTATTTTCATCTAATGAGATATTTTATATCGTAATAAAACTACATAATCGATTGTGTAGACAAAATTTTTCGTAGAGAAAACATGTATATCAAGTATAGTTGTTAGCCTTGTAACGTATTTGTTACACATTCGAATGTTTCTTCAGGGCTGTTAGTTAATTTTGCAGCCTATTGTTGATGGCACGTTTCATTTGTTTGAATAGTAAACAACAACTGGAATAAGTAATGGTATTTCTCGACATTGTCGTACAAAACCTTCTGCATTGGTAATTGCAAAGCATTTCAGCGTTTTGCCATTCATCAGTTTCATTTCTGTATTTGTTTGACAACCATAAATATTAAAAAGGTGTTTTTCTTTCGACTTTTTGAAAAGATTAGCATTTGCTTCATTCGCCATGATTTTTTCGCTTTTCCGAATAACATATTCCTCAGAAACGATCTTTATTTCTATTACAACAATTTGTTTTTCATCGGAAATTCTCTTATAAAATTAAATCAAATCGTTGAATTCAATGGTTAGAATAATTACTGGCATAGAGATTTCCCTGCGTATCGAATGATAAGCCCGTGGGACAATCCAGTTGATGTGATGCTTTGCCTTTTTTATTTGCATCGACAGTTATTTGAGCTTGTGTGTATCCTTCACTCCAACGCACGATTCGACAGTTGAAGGTATCTGAAACATGTACAGATTGTTCATCATCGACAAAGATAAAACGAGAAAAAACGAGCTGATTTCCTTGTTCATTCCCACCAGCAATAAAAATATTCTTGTTTATACCGATGAACATTCCATAAGGAGAACTCAACTGACTCAATATGTCCCATTTTACACCTTCTCCAGCAATAGTTGTTGCACTTTATTTCCATTTGCTAAACATTATCTGTAAAAACGAAGTAAGTAAGTCGGATATTCGAATATTAAATATGCGTTCCTTATGAACTCGCATAGTTCGTCAATATTGGTATGAACCCGCGTGCTGTAGTCTTTATTTTCAATTTAGTTATAGTAATTATACTAGTCATGATTGTCGTATATTTGTCACAATTGATGAATAGAAGTCATAAAGCTGTGAATTCCAGAGCGAGATGCAAGATTCAATGTTTTTCTACATACTACTAGATTGTGGTGGACAAATACTTTCTTTCAGTATTGAGAATGACTAGATTGACCGTGATGAACACAGATATCGTCTGAATCCGAGCAGTCATCAAACGGTCCACGTGGAACAAGTTGAGAACAGAACTTTCAAACGAAAACACAGACGTCAATATTGTTGGTGTTCAACATGGGTAGATAACTGCATACTTTGCGAACAGCGACCGTATTGTCACATGTTCGAGATTATTTAGGCACATTGTATCAGAGAGCATATCTATCAAACTAAAATAAAACATGTTTAGTTTCGAAAAAGCTAATCAAAAGAACGAAGTTTTTCGTACCTTAGAAGAAGAAAAGTCAAAGAGTCGATTGTTATGTGAAAATTTCAGTTGCATTTTTTGCTATCTATGGACGTAATGTATAATGACACTTGAAAATTGAAAACTGATATGTAATAATCCTTCGATAATTGACGACTTGACTCCGTTTTTGCGCATTTTAGTACAGTTCACTATATGACGAATGAAAATGGATATGGTGAGAACATCGGCAAATATTTAATCGTTTTTCATATGTTAAACCGTTCAATTCAATCAAAATGTGAGTGAAAATGCGAACATCGTCGTGTTGCTTATTTCTACTGGTCGTTTCGATCCATTTGACTCTTTACTGAAAAGAATACGAATCGAACCAGCGACTCACAATCTGTCTGTTTTCTAAATGTATTTCTAATCGTGACGTTTATAAACACGAAAAATCTATCAGAAATCACCTAGTAGAGAACTTGAGAATCTGAAGGTATCACATAATACAGCGCACAAGAAGCAAAGAGCACTATAATCGATTGAAAACAGTTTCTAAAATTTGTTATTGAACATATGTTTTTTTGACCTTTGACCTTGACACCACTCAAAGAAAATCGGTCGGTAAACAAATAAAAACTAAATTGAAGGAGATTCAATGAATGTCGAAAATGGTCTGATTTGATACATAGAGAGAGGCTATGTCGCATATATTTTTTTTCTCATTCAAGGCAAGTGCATTTTACGGCGTACAATTGATTGATATTATTTCGTCGAATAAATTTGTCGGAGGCGAACTCTGAGTTCATTTGTAAATAAAAGAGCAAACCTCTCTCTCTCTCTCTGCTTATCCGTAAAAAAAGGAAAAGGTTATTCCGTGCAGCTTTTGTCCAATTAGTCAAACAAGTTTTTCTTCTCTGTTTTGACATCCTATTATTCATATATTCCTTATGATATTCTTTCTTCGTCGGTTCGCTCAAATAGAAAGATAAAGACATTTTTTTTTCTATTCCTCTCTCTTACCTCGATACTATCGATGCATCAAAGCCCATGTGTCACTTGTAATCTTTGATACTTTTTCTAAAGTGCGCTTCAATATGAACCGTAAAAACAAGAATTGTTTATCTTCGAAGTCGAATGATTGTATTTCAACGTATCGTTACAAATGTCAAATCTGTGACGAAGCCGCTGAACATTCCAATTATGGTGCCATCTGTTGTTCAGCATGTAAAATATTCTTTCGACGAAATGCGATGGTTAGTGCAAATTCACATTTCTTCTTGTTCGATTTGTTTGCTTCTAGAAACAATTTCAATGTGATTGGAACAACAATTGTGAGATAAGCATAAACACTCGTCGTGTATGTTCTGCGTGTCGATTGAAGAAATGTCTTGCCAATAGAATGGATATTGGACTGATTCGATCTTCTCTATCAAAGTCAAAGCAGGCGAAGCAAAAGAAAACAAAGATCGTGCAATCGCCAATACTAACATCAAATGTTTTAGTAAGACATAAAGCAATTCTTTCGATAGAAGCATCTTGTTTCATACTTTTAGATTCCAACATCGAATCTTTTACAATCAGATGAATCGAATTTCTCAATTGATCAATGGAATTCTATTTCTAACTTAATTCATTGTTATGATGAATATGGCCCATTTTTAATGACTCAACAATATGTATCCGAACAAACTCAACTTCCAACAAAAATACGGTATAAATCTTCATCTATCAACAAATTCTATGTATTAGTTTACATGAAAATCCAGCAAATATTTGAAAAGAATGACGATTATCAATCTTTATGTTCACAAGATCGAGCTTCATTAACTCATCGAGCGGTTAAACATGCATCAGGTTATGCTGCAGCTGTCGTCATAAAACAAATGAAATTGTACGATGATCCATTATTTTTCAAAATTAGTGAACTGCTTTTCAATTCTCACGTAATGACATCTGCAAGATCTCTCAACAGCTATGTTGATGAAGATCTCACATTTAATAAATTAATCGTTGCTGCTTTATTTTTTTCAACGACGTATGTGACGATCTTTGACAGTTCTCCAATTGAAAATTTCATTGATATTAGACGTATTATACGCATACAAGACCAATATATCGAATTAGCGTGGAAATATATGGTTTACAAGCATGATTATCGACAGTCTGTCCTACGTTTCATTCAACTGCTTCGATCAATTTCATATTGTCAGCGTGCATTTTTCGAAGCTGATCATACTCGTGGATATGAATCTATAGTGGGTTCTCTTCTTCACCAAACTGAAGAAACATTTGTTATTTTACACGATTGATTATCATCGAAGCATTTTGTGTCAAAGGCAACGAAAAGTTTTATTTTTCAATATCGATTGTTATGGTTAGATGTTGCTCTTGGTAGAAGAATAAAGAAATTTGAAACCAAATCATCTTGTTATGTTTGAAAGTTTTCCTCTTCGGCTTCATAGTACAGGGAATGAGAGCAATCATCGTGTCTCTGTGTGTGCGTGTATATATGTCAGTCTTGATTAGAAATAGTTGTCTTCAAATTTGTTCAAGCGACTTTGTTACCGATCGATGATTGGTAACCAACTTGCGACACGTAGACAAATAACGAAAGAAAAACTCATCAAAACACGGCAACTAGTCACGTAATCTGGCTCTCACCCTCACCCACCTTTATAATTGTTGTTTTCAGTGTCATTGTCGATTGAATATGAATGAAACAAATATTTTCATATGATGATTCAAATTTAAAAACAGAAACATGAGCTTTGCAATTTTGAAGTAATCAAATTCACAATGCTGTCCCTTTCATATTCTTAATCTGATAAAATATAAGTACTGAAGTTAGATGACAAACTAGATGTGTCATTATGATTTTTTCGAAGCATGAGAATATAATATGATGCTCGGAAGAGAAATCAAAAGCGTGGTCATTAATATTTAACGTTCGTATTAACCTTTAAGCTGATCATTGCGAAACCAATGAAATTGTAATTGATCAATCAGCAAACCAGATCTTCCAGTAACATATCCAACAAAATAACCTTCAAACTCTTCTGTATATAAATCTCTTTCCAGGTGATCAATTGACTGACTCGTATGTCCATTTTTCGTAAATAATCGAATTCCTCTAACTAGTGGAACTAACTTTCTAGCACCATTAACTAAAAGCTCGACGCAATTCACGACAACTTGAACTTTATTGATTCTTTCATCTTCGTTAATGATAAATTGTTCGATAGTATTACTTCTTTCAGTCGTTCCTTGCAGTCCTGCTTGAATAAGCATCTGACAATCATCATTTAAAGACGAATAACAAAATTGACACCAATCTAATGGATCATCTTTACACCCGGTCATCATTCCACGAAGATAATGTGAATATGTCAATTTATTCTCTGTAAAGTCATCAAAACTGTGACCACCTGTGCCACCAAATCGTTTTCCTGCTCTCACGAATGGACTGAGACCTAACGATGAGCTGATCGACTGTTTCGAATTCGGTGCTATGAAATAAATATCGTTTCTTTTCAAGGCACTTGTTATACACGGTACTTGCATATTATTCGTTTCATTTGCAACTGCATCTGCAACGCCAGTTAGCATCAACAGAATACCTTCTCCAGGTTTTGTTATATTTCGTAATAAATGGTAAGTAAATGTTCCATTTCGTCCGTTTATTCGTCGATCTTTAGGCGCACAAGCAGAAACAACAATTGAACCCGGCAATGCTATCATATGTGTCATTCCTTGTACATAATATTCTCTTGAACAATCAAGTAAATAAATAACTGCTAATGGATTTTTCAAAACCATCTGTTCCAGAACATTTTGTGCATTGATTGCTCGACATTTGAAGTCTAGTTGATCATTAGTATCACATGGAATCAAATAGTTTTCATTTTTCCATTGTGAACCGTGTCCGGAAAAGAAAAATAGAACAATATCATTGGTTTGAATCAATTTGATAAAATTTTGTATTTCTTTATCCATTATTTCGTAGGTCACATCAAATTTTGTTATAACGAGAAATCCAAGCATTTCTAACGTTTGACTTAAATCTTTCGCATCATTGACACTAGTTGCCAAACGATTGCTTTGATAATTATCATTTCCAATAACGAACGCAATTTTTCGTTGATTTTCTTTCGTTAATTTGAATTTTGGCTCTTCATATAAATGAATAATTAGGAGACGATCTTCGAAATTCATTGGTTGATAGCGAACTATCAAACGAGTGCCAGGCATAAGAACAACTTCTTCTTCATCTTTAATTGCTGAATATTCAGAAATATCTTTTCCTTGAAGAGCATTTATAGCAAACACAGTACCGGTTGGACCTATGTACCTACCGACGATGTCGGGGTTTTTCGAGCAGGAATTGACACTCCACCAAATTTCTTCTCCTTTATTTGTAAACGATGAACTAACATCTCCACTGACACCTCTCCAAATTGTGATTTCAAGCGATGATAGTTTCTCTAATGCTGTTATGAATAATTTTAGATAGGGAAACCAGGGCTTTAACGCGTTTCGATTCTCAGCTCGTAAATCATCGTTTAACTTCGAAAAGAATGGTATTGGCATTGTGTAAAGATAAATAGCTGCCGATTCATCTAGTGTTAAAGTAGTTGCCGTCTTTGTACAATTTTCTCTTGCTTGTGTGACATAATATTGTAGACCAGGAAGCATTGGAAGAAGTTTTACGATAGACTCTTCGAGTGTAGGGATTGGTAAATGTTGATAACCATAGATCGGACTATGATTGGCTTCTCGAAGTTCACAAACTTGATCGTTAATGAAGCGACTGGAATTCGCCATTTGATTCAAAAGAAAACAATGAAGTCAACGAACATGGGCTGTAAGTACTGACAATGACTGTCGATTCTGACATTTACTGATATGATTTTCATTTAGAATGCTGTATTCATTCTTTAAATCGTAAAAAAGGACGTGTCTTATCTATTTATGGAGTGAATAACTATCTCTTCGCTTCTCTTTCTGTACCTGCCGCGAGCCATTTTGAGAGTGACAGCAAATCAGTATGAAGTAAATAAATCTTGGTAGCGCTTCGATGACGATACTGAAGACCGAATCCTATAGAACGCAACATATTTATTAGATATGTAATAAGCGAATGATTACGATCAAGAAAAGCAAAGCAAATCCATTTGGTTCAAACTCAGCAGCTATTTATGTAAATGCTCAAGCCTTTCATTTCGGAGGCTCTTTTAAGCAACACGCGCATGAATTGAGAAAAATAGTCATGTTGGGATATGTGTGATCTAATACAATAAAATCCAATCGGTTGTCATTATTTAAATCACCTGTAATTATTCCATTCGGAGAGCTGCTAGGACCCGTCGAATACATCGTCGGTGATAAGAATGTACCATCGCCAACTCCTGACCAAACACCCACTTGACTCTTGTAAAAGAGACTCACAACAAGATCAATTTGGCCATCATGGTTAAAATCGGCACCAACAACTGAATGTGGATTACTATATATTCCTGTTGAATATATTGTTTGCTGTCCAAACGTACCATTGTTCTGCTGAATAAAAATGCCTATGTTAGCTTTATTCGAATTCGTAATGGCTATATCCAATAGATCGTCATTATTAAAATCAGCTACTGATAATGAAGTCGATCCAGAAAAGGCCACCAAACTCAAAGTTTGCCACAATTTACAATATCCATGACCATTATTAATCAGTATTAGTATCCCATCAAGGTTCATTTCAATGATGAAAAGATCTAGATAATTATCATCGTTTATATCAGCACAAGTAAGAAAATTCGGTTGAGCACCGTCATCATCGTAAAGACTCACAGCGGTACTAAAAGTACCATCACCTCTGCCAAGCATAATACCTGCGTCGGCGCCATACACAATAAGATCTATATGAGTGTCACTATTAAAGTCAGCAGCTATAATCGCCATCGGGAGCATCACAAGTCCAATCGGAAACTTTCGTTGGGTTAGGAAAGTGCCATTACCATTACCCATGAAAACATCTACAGTGCTAGAACCGTAATTTGCCACAGCAAGATCCTTCCTACCATCGTTGTCAAAGTCGTCCGAAACGATTCCCCACGGTGAATCAGTTGTTGTGATTTTATATATCAATGGCGCTGCAAAAGCTCCACTGTTGTTGCCAATCAATACATTGAGATTACCAAATATATTATCAATAAAAGCAAGATCTAAATAAGTATCGCCATTAAAATCATCGACGGTGAGTGAAGTAAGCAAAGAGGTGGGATTAAATGAACATAAATTTGATCGGTCAAAGGTCAATTGGCAGGATGGTTCTAAAGCAGAAAGATAAACAAAGATTTGATATTTCGACATGTGTCCAAACCTGTTGTGAATATCGTTGTTGTAGATATTATGGTGGTAGCAACCGCTGGTTCTACAGTTGTCGACAAAGCTAATCGAAATAAAGATATTCAATTTTACAAAAGTAGGTCGCAAAAGAAACAACAATACCTAACGATGTCGTGGAGATTCCATTGATCCTTCCGTTTAAATAAATAGATACGACTATTAATGCTACTATCAAACCAATGAACAAAATCATTCCAAAAGTAATGCAACAGTATATTTTCGAAGTGAACTGCGTGCTAAACGATGATATTGAACTGGACAATACTTCATCAGCACCATTAGGATTCTCCTCCAATGATTGCTCAGATATCTGTTCAACGGTACCTCTCTTCTTTCGATAGTATTGATATATTTGATTGAGAACAAGAATAATTTTAGGGCACAACCACTTCAAAATGAATGTCAAACCACCAAACGAACTAAGTAAGACAGTAACAGTATAGAACCAATCAAATCTCTGACGATATGAATATGAACACGAGCTGGGCGAACACTGTTGAAAATATTCTGAATAGTTGATTGA